CCGACACGGCCTCGTGGAAAGTCGACGGGTCGGCTTTGCTCACAGATGCAGTATTCAATGCGCCTGCCGTATACACCTTGCCGAGTGATTCCAGCAACCTTCGTGAAGGCCTTCTTCTGCGGCCATACAACGAATATCCAAGATCCTGTGTCAGGTTAGTTCCCTGTTGGCTTGGATTAACTGCTGGAGGTGTCTCCTCTTCACGCTCAGATGGCGTTTTCTCTCGCTCAGCCGATAAAGGTAATGGCGAAGCAGGTGGTGTGGGCAGCCCGCTGGCTGAACTTATCGGCATTGACGGAAAGACGGGCGATGGAGGAGCGTTGTCTGGGAGGTCGTTGCCTGTTTCCCCTCGACGAGTGGCGCTACCGGGGTCCTCTCGTCGAACTCGACATCACGGGAAAAGACCGTCTTTCCAGAATGGATTTCATAGAGCTTATACTGATTCGGTTCACAATAACCTAGTAGTCGGCACTCGGATGATCTCGGTCCGAGTTTTGCTCGATGCTCTTTTGGAATTAAGACCCATGCACAGGAGCCAATCCGTTGTAGATGTAACAGCGATGGCGGCTTCCCATAAATAATTTCGTACGGGGTCTTTTTCTGAAGGATTGAAGCTGGAGCGCGCAGCTTCAGATAGACGACTGTGTCTACCAGCTCGATCCACCAGGAAGGAGGAAGGTTTGCATCGGACAGGAGCGTGTTGATCCGCTCCCGGATAGTGCGATTGGTACGCTCGGCCAGTCCATTCTGCCCTTTGCAGTAGGGCGACGAGGTGTCAAACTCAACTCCCTGGGATTCGAGATGTGTTCCAATGGGCAAATATTCTCTCCCGTTGTCGGTGAGGAACCTTTTTATCCAGGCGCCGAACTGTCGTGCACCCAGGCCTCGAAGTTCTGGAACTTCTGGAGCGCTTCATGCTTCCATCTCATGGCATAGGCCCACGAGCCTCGAGAATAGTCGTCAGTAAAGGTGATCACGTACCTGGAGCCATCTTTGGCGACCGGCATCGCCATGATGTCCGAATGAATCAATTCGAAAATTCTCGTTGAATGCAGACGTGGCCGTCGTGCACGGGAGTTCCTCTTCTGATGCTGCTTACCCGACATACACGCCGGGCACTGTGGCGTTGCCTGCAGCTGCGCCGGCTTCAGCGGTCGGTACGGAGTGCCGGTCTGCCGGAGGACCACCCGCAAGTCGCCCCGGTTCAGATGTCCCATCCGAGCGTGCCACAGCGCTTCGGAGGCCTGGTCCACTCCTATGCTCGCATCTTCTTCGGGTATCCGAGCTTCACCACCGAGTTCAGAGGTTGACGCTGTACATTTTACGTCACTTGACTCTCGAGGGTCGTCGACGTCCATGGCCACCGCCTGCGGTTCCAGGGAATCTGCATGGTCATAGGTCGCCGTCGCCGTCGCCAGTTGGACTCGCTCTCCGGATCTCTTGCTCACATGGCACCGCAGGATCAGTAGATCCTCCTCCGCGTGGTAGGCGGTCCCCACCGTCCGTCCTCGGCGTTGCACAAAGACGTTCTGCGGGTGCGCCACCACCGAGTAGCGGTCTCGCAACAGCTTCGGTACGCTGATCAGGTTCATCCCAACGCGTGGCGCGAAGTATACATTCTTTAACACCAGGGGTTGGTTGAACTTCCCCCGGAGCGTGAGCTTCACCGTACCAATCCCTTCGGCTTCCACTGGATCGCCCGCCGTGTCCAGCATCTCGCGATGGGGCCGAAGACTGCTGAAGCAGCGGCGGTCCCAGCAGATGTGGCTGGTGGCGGCCGAGTCCAGGATCCACCGGGGTTGCGGTGCGTGGGTATAAAGGGTCGTCACCCTCTCCCTCACGATATTGATCCTCGGTCTCTTGGAAGTCGGCGGGCCCTGCCGTTCTTCCACCTGGCTTGATGGTATGTTGTGTAGATTGTTTCTTGGTGAGCCGGAAACACTCCGTTCCGCCTTCAGGGCATGGTCCCTGGGCGGCTGCTGTTCGCGCTGCTTCTTCCAGCACTCCGCAGCTACATGGCCGCGCTTCTTGCAGTAGTTGCATTTCTTGGTGTTCTTCTGCACCACGTTGATGGAAGGGCTGCTCGTTCCGCCGGGAACTCTTTGCGGGAACGTCGCGGTGTCCTTTCGCTGCACCGTCTGCTCAGCATTCGCTAGGCGGTTGCCAATATTTGCCGGGTTGACAGGATCCTTATCATTCTGGATCGCATCCACAATCAGGATATATTCTGGTCCAATCTGCGTCAGTAGGATTGCAATGTGCGCTTTGTCGCCGATGGATCCAGGGGCGATCGCATTCAATCGATGGACGAGCATCCGTACACGATCGACGAATTCACGTGCACTGCCGCAGCGCTCGCCGGTGGTCTCGCGCAGCTGGGCGAACAGCTCGCAGAACGTGGCGAGTTCTATCCGCCGGTACCGTTCTTCGAGCTCATTCCAGAGGTCGCGGGATGTCTCCAGCCCCGTGACATGGATACTGATATGGGGGGGACAGATAGCGGAAGATGGTGTGGTAGGCTTCGGCCTCGCGGCGCGACCATTCACGGTGGCGCTCGAACGCCTGAACCTCCACTTCGAGGCGCGCTTCGATGGCGCGCTGCCTCACCGCCCCAACCAGGTGCGGTTCCACCAAGGGGTGAATGTCCGCCGTAATGCGTTTGGCGTACTTGAACGAGCAGTCAGGACGCTGAAGGTCGCCCGACACGACATCCCAGACCTGTCTCGCTTTGAGGTAGGAGGTCATGAGACGTTTCCAGGTTGCGAAGTTGTCGCTTCCTGTCAGAGGTTCAATGGCCGTGACGGCTCGGTCGGGCAAGTTGTGAACCAGAGCAGACATGGTGATGGTTGTGAAAGCGGGGTAGATATATAGTTAAGAAAATTAAGATGATTCTCAGATGAGTAGAGACGGCACCTGAGAGTTCTCTGCCAGGCTCATAACCTGTTGTAGTTCAGAGGTATGAATTGTCTTTCTACTCTAGAGGGAAACATGAGGCTATATATACAGCGAGAAGATCAAATTGATTGGAAATCAACTTGGTTCTTCGTATACATACTTCGGGATTAATTCCGATGGTTCGGCTTGGTTCCTGATCTGCACCAGCCTCATATCACAACAACATGTTCTTGTCGTCGACGCTTTGCTGGCGGATCAAAGGGCGGATACGTACAGCTTACGAGAGGCACAAGCAATCGCGACCCATGAGGAAATTCGAGGGGCCATCCAGTACGAGATCGATGATCGCAGAACCCGTCGCGGATGGATGAAGGCACACTGGTCCCTGGCATAGTGGACGCGGGTTGTTTGCCGCAGACGGGTGCTGAGGTGGTACTGCTTGAGGTATTGAATGTGGGCTACAGAAAAGTGCCGATTAGCTATAATACACGATGCGCAACGTGCACTGGAGCGTACAGCAAGCATGAAAGGAATATACTCATCAATCTCACGTTGAACAGTATTAAACCACTCACGTGGAGACTTTGGAACTTCATTTTGAGCACGTTGATAGTCATAGCGTCTTGAAAATCGTGTACGAAGCCCATCATGACAATTTATAAAGTTTGATGCCCAATTTTTTCCAACAGTAGGTGAGGGGGTAGATCCACAAGCCGCAAGCAGAATATTAGCTATCTCTCGTACAGTTGAGGGCCTGGGTGCTGCTCCACGTGAATCCATAGAGAGTATCCATTGAACAAGTGATTCCTCTTCTGTTTAAGTCAACTTTTGACTATTTGCACGCATTGTTGCGTGAGAGGCAGTACCATTAACGCGTCTGCTTAGTGTAGTATAGGGTACACTATATAGCTTCGCAGCGGCATTTAGGGTGCGAATTTGGCCTTTTTGAAAGCTACTTATAGCTAGAGAGATCCTTTCCTCACTATCAGGCGAGTTCGAAGATTTTTCAGTACGTTTTGGTGGCATGGTGGATGCTTGAAGATGGGGGGTACGCGAGGATCACGCGTTTTTGGTGAGGTTCTCGCTTGGGTTCACCGCTCGCTTGGGAATTACGTTAACTAGTTAATGTTGGGGCATATATGCCTTAGGTATGCAGATCACTTGCCGAGGTTGCCTTCCCTCTTTAATAGCTTGTCATTCACATACATCTTCGCATGCATCACCACTTCATGGTTCTGCGATTCCATTAACTAGTGACCACACTTTTCAGCTGTAGGCTAGGCTTACAGTATTCCTGCATCGCAGCATGTATGTATTTCAAACAAGCCACATTCGGCAAATGAACTCGTCATCAAATTCAGCGACGAAAAAATCAAAATAAAAATAAATCAAAATAGAACTCAAAAAGTAAACACAAAATAAGAAAATTAAACAAAAAAGAAAATAACAGGAAGAAAGTAAATTAAAATAAATCAAAGAGCTGAAACAAAAGTATAAAAAAGGTAAAAACAGGACTTGATTAATAGCGTCTCCACTTGCCTTGGGTATCAAACTCCACAGACCACGCCGTGTATTAACTCTGAGGCAATAAATTCTATTTTTTTTTGTTGGCAATCTTGCACCAGCGCTACAATTCCTTTTTTCCTTTAGTTCAATTTTGACGAATCTTCATGCATAACGATCTCCACAACAATGACCTTGTGCTTTTGAACTAGCGATCTTGAGAATTGGCAAATAGAGTGTGATTCGGTCCTTACCTCCCCAGCGTTGTTCAAAGGATCTCCACTTGACAAGGGATGTCTAAATACCTAATGTGTATTTGAAATACGATCCCTTGAGCGACGAACATGTACGATTTCAGCCAGCCTTGGTCTGCATGTTTAGTAAAAATACACAGTCCCTGAGAGACGTGACTTGGTCTTCGATTTCTTGCATATGAAACAAGATGATGCAATTTTAGGTATAGTACATGCCAGTAGAATCTTCATGTGTACTAGTACATAACCTCTCCCGACAGACTTTCAATGCCGTTGTTCATTTCCTTCGATCAAACACCAAGAGTGGGCACACCGTAATTGCGACATCAAGAGTTGAATTCATGCAATATGTTGTCGAAAGTTTCCTCCTACCAGAACATTGAAAAGATGATCCATGGGACTCTCCCAGTATCCTTTTTGAAGTTTCTATATCCTGCCCTTCGCCTTCTTCTGAGTCCCCATGCATCAAGCACCGTCAAGCGTATCACATCGCCTCCAAAACCGACACCGATCCGACGCACGGCCATTCTGATCGAGATTGGCAATATTATTCTCGACCTATCTTTCGAAAAAATCACTGCGATCCCACTTTACACATTCAAATCCATAATCTGTTGCTCAGCCACTTCACTTTATCAATGCGGCAGATTGACCCGACAAGAGTATTTCGAACGCCTGCAAAGAGAGTTCAATTTACCCGCTGCCAAAGTCGAAGAAACCTTCGCTCAAGTTGAGTCCGCATATAGCGTCAATTCCACCCTGGTTTCCTTTTTGAAGGAGCTGAAGGCCAGTTGTGTTGGATTGCAGATCTATGCCGTGGCAAACATCGGAAAAGAAGATCATGCCTCTATCCTCAACCTACCATTCGAATGGGATATTTTTGATCGAATTTTTACATCCACCGATATGGGGATGCGCAAGCCGGAGCCTCAATGCTTTAGGCACGTTATTGAGGCTATCGGGAAGAAGGACGAAGAATTGATTTTCGTTGATTGGGATACGGACAATGTGATGACTGCCCTTTCCCTGGGTATGGAAGGCATCGTTTACAAAAGTTCTACGGAGCTCCAGCGGGATTTGAGGAATTTGCTGTTTGAGCCCACGGGAAGAGCGAAGGAGTTCCTGCGTTGTGGAGCGAGAAAGTTCGACTCCGTGAGCTCTAATGGAGTGACGATTCGTGAGAACTTTGCTCAGCTGATGATTCTGGAAGCCACAGGTGATCCGTATGTTTTTTATACCGCGACAGGTGCCTTTGAATGATCGAATGCTAACTCGGTGCCATTTCTAGAGATCTTGTTGACATTGTTCCTCATGAAGTGACGTGGAACTACTTTATCGGCACCCCCGTACTCACGCAGACGGAGTTCCCTGATGACTTGGATACGACGTCTTTGGCATTGATGCTTCTCAATAGACCAGACCACATTGCCCACCAGGTCCTCGACAGAATGCTGGAATATATCAACGAAGACGGCCTTGTTCTTGTACGTATCGCAATACTTGTCAACCACTGCCACCTTCCAAGTTTTTGTTTCCAGAGGAAAGCTAACATCATCCTAGACGTTCTTCACTGACTTTAAAAATCGCTTCGATCCCGTTGTCTGCGTTAATGTCTTGGGTCTTTTTTATCGCTATGGGCGTGAGGATCAAGTCACGAAAACCCTCGAGTGGCTCCGCGACGTGGTTATCCGCCGTGCCTACACTGTCGGCACCGCCTACTACCCAACCCCGGAGGAATTTCTCTACTTTTTCGCCCGCTTCCTGGGCTTTATTCAGAAGACCCACCCGGCCGTGTATGGGGAGTTTTCAGAGCTGCTGATCCCACGGCTGAAGGAGCGCATCGGGATACCAGTCGACCCGATCGGGCTAGCCATGCGACTGATTGCGTGCGAACAATTTGGAATTGCCGACGAGGCAGACCTAAAGGCACTCCTAGCGGTACAGTGTGAAGACGGCGGATGGGAAATGGGCGTCTTGTATCAGTATGCGTCGAAAAAGCTGAAGATTGGCAATCGTGGCGTCAGCACGGCCCTGGCGCTCCAGGCGATTGAGGGATTTCCGACGATCATTAGCAGCCATACACACCGTATAATGTCTGGCAAATGGGCACAGTGTCCTTGATTAACCTGGTCGATCACTGATCGCTTTGCTCCTGGGAGCTCACGATGATGTATGCCTTTTCGCCGGGAACCCTTATCGCTCTGTGTCTTGGTTGGTTGTATGTCTGTTCCTAGGATCGACTGGATCTCAGCGGCCCATGTAACCGTATAGGCATGTTCTTCTGGTTACAGATCATCCGTACAGACTAGTACTGAAGGAGCAATACACACGATTTCTTGCTGGAGAGCCATCTCAGCGATAGTGCATTTGAAGTGTCCCTGAGTCTGCAAGGCTATTCAACATTTGTACCATGTCTGTAGAATGTCGGTATCTTAAGTTGATCCGGTTGACCATACTGAACATACGATGCATACCGCACTCCAGGGCCAGTAATTGGGTTGCAGCTGAATCAACCGGGATCTGCAGAGAAAAATGCCGCCACTCCGATCGGCGGTTTTCTCAAAGGTACTTCCCAATTTGAAAGATTAGGCAGTGAGATATGTGAGTATATACAAAACACAACTACGGATACCTGAAGGCAAATACGCACTCCATGCCCTTTCGGCGAAGATTTTTTCGACTGGTCAATATCTGCCCGTCGATCCTCGGACCCATTCCGTAGATGGCGCTAACTAATCTCTCCCTGCAACATGCAAGCGAAGTGGGCACGTTTCAATATAAACCTTGCAGAAGTGTTCGGTAAACATAAATTCCCCGTGGTTATTGCATGTTATCATGGAAGGCTTAGCTGAAGAACCATCTACTTATTATGCATGCAGGTGTACGGAGTAGTGGCTGAAAACTGTCGCCTTTTCTCGCACTAGGTGCCAATTGTACGAACGAACGATTCGCATATTATTATGCACAAGGTTCGGCGGTAAGTTCCGGGGCCAAAAAGCCCAACGTGACAAATATTTAGGCAAAAGGCTGTTGTGTCAAAAATGCCCAGATCAATTTCTAGAGAACAGTTCGACTTTCCGTTTACCCATCATTTTCTTTTGGCCGAAATCCATGTCATTCGCCACTTCCACTCTCAATTGCTTGGGGAATAGCCCAACAAGGCAGAGAGAAGCGTTGCAGCCGATGAAAAGGGCTTTCCCTCGCGTCGTTTTGAATACGAAGACCGGGTGGATCGCTGATCACCAGAGCAATTCAGCAGCTAATCGAACGGTAGAGAGCGGAAAGAGTACTCCGTACAATTCTGGTAATTTCAAAGGGCCCACATTGTGGATACCGCGAACGCTAGATGTATCGATCTCAGCCAGCCACTTTAATTACTACTTGCGTACTCCGTATGCATGTTAATCAATGACTCGGGCCAAACAGCTCTTGCAAGCTACTAGTATCTTCAGAAGCTTCAGGCAATATAAGTAAGGCGTTCCTGACGAAATGTGATATATAACATGACATGCGCCACAAAACCAAAACACCACCTAATCAGAGCAAGAACAAGAAAGTTTATTATTATTACCCTCAACATAATCGCCTTCCAAGCTGAGGTCAACACCTAGGCAGGAGGAAGAAGTTGAGGACAAGTCGAAAAATTTAGCATTGCATCAGACGAAATGCTCGTACTCGGTACCTATCTGGGAAAGGGCCGTGTCGCAAATCGATCAGATGGAAGTGGCGGTTCATTGCGTGATACATGCAGTACTGAACGATTAATTTCTGCACAGGTTTTTGAGAACACTGTAAGGAACTTTGGAATGACATGTTTCGAGGCCTGGAATCTCAGGGCTCCTATGCATCCGTCTATCTAGTCTTCCTGTTTACCCGCACCCTCTCTTCCTCTCTCCCCATGCTTAGTATTTTGGTTGATGTGTTTTGTCATTGTTGATCATGAGGTAGCTGCGCTGCTACGAACATTAATAAGCTTATCATTTTCTACGGTCGCCTTTACCACGAAATAATTATATCTCAACCACAGACTTGAATATGAAACTGGAAATATAAAATCATTCAATATCAAATACAAGAAGTACTCGCTGGCATTGCAGAGTCATCAGATGCGGCGAAAGCGTTCGGGTTCAGGCATACACCTGGGCAGCCTCTAGTATAGTGTGGTTAGTATATTTCGATCAAAAACCTTGATTGTTCTGCTGGATTCATCTGCCGCAGCCTTTGATTGTATGAGACAATCGAGTGAAGGTAGGCCTGTACCAGCGGCTGCCCCAGATATGTGGCCAACACGACGTCCCTACGGAGACTTTCCGTTGCCTCTTCAATATCGCGTGGGATCTTGGCCACAATTCCCAGGTCAGAACGATCATCTTCGCTGAGATCCACTGATGGGAATTGACACGGACCCGCCCGCAAATTGACACCACGGTGCAGCCCATCAGATCCGGCCGCGAGAATGGAGGCCAGGACAAGGTATGGATTGGCAGTACCACACATGAGACGGAACTCGAAGCGATTCGATGTGATGCGCCTCAAAGGCGCATAACGGTTGTTCCATCCCCAGAAAACATCATCAACACATAGACGCTTAAGCCGTTGGAAACTGACGTCCAGAGGTGCTGCGACACCCACAATGGCGGGCAAATGCTCAATCATGCCCGCAAAGAAGGATTCGGCCTGAGCTGTTTCCCGATCGTCGGCTTGCTCTGCGCCCACCGGGGAGTTCCAGGAAATATGCATGTGGACGCCAGACCCCAAACGACCCGAAAATGGCTCTGGGTGCATCGTCGCCATGAAACCATGCTCACGAGCAATAATTTCTAAGACCTCACGAAATTGTAGGAGCATATCAATCGCTTGAACAGGCGTCTGCGGGAGCAAGCTGAATTCCCATTGACCTGGCGTCATCTCGGCGTGGTACCGATCTATCTCGATTCCCATGTCCAACGCCTTGGTCACAATTTCTTCAACCATAGCAACAGTAGTGCGCTTCATAGCCGCAGTTGCACCTGCGAAAACATGGCTGCGATGCACGATAGACTGATCCAAAGGGTCCAGACCGTCGCGGTCAGAGTTCCGAATGAAGATAACTTCAACTTCGACACCCACTAGGATGTTAGATTGGTATTGTTGGGCTAGTTTTTGTTCGAGCCCTTTAAGATTTGTGCGCGGGCATTCCACCGCAGGATCTCCGTGTTCGTTCAGCGTTCTGGTGAAAACCTCTAGGCGAGGCGCTCCCGAGGTCATATGAAACCAGGGAAAGACTGCTTGTAGGTCGGGTTCCAAGTACAAGGAGCCACAGAATGGAACATCTGAAGCCATAGAGTTGTCGTGGCCAGAATGCGTCAGATTGAATGTACCGACACTACATTTCTGGCCGTCTTCGATCATTCGGGAGAATCGTTGAACAGGAACCATGTAGGCAAGGAGCCCACCCAGTACCGGACTGAATCGAATCCAGACAAATTTGACTTCCGGGTACTTGCCCAGCAATGATGCCCATGTCTGCTTTGGAAGAACTGTTTCTGACGGCTGCGGATCGGTTGCGTCTCCCATGTTTCTTGATGGTTGTCCGATGAAGGAGGAAGGGGTGAACAAGAGTGGAAATCTTGGTTTCGGCAAACGATAGACTATTCAGTCAAACTGATCAGATTGATTGAGTTCCCGGCCTAAGCTTTGGCAATTGAAAATGTGCATGGGTATGCTCTTGCTGCAGGCAGCTCGGTGATCGTGGACGAAAGGTATTCTCCTCGGCACAGGTGTGCCCCACTGCTCTCGAGTCCTGTGGGTAGGAAAAAGCAATGGTTAGGCTACGGAAAGCGCAGTTCAGCTCCAGGGTGATGATTGTTACACAAAAAAGCGGTGTAACCGATTCTCATGGAAATCCGTTTCCTTTTTGCCTACTGGGCATCTTTCTTCATCTATCACTTACGGTATGTTCACTCACCCACTTTCTACACCTAACTCAGCCTAATTAGTCCCTAGTGTATTACATTTACCTAGAACCCCCTGCGCCATTTTATTGATACTTGATACAACGTCTAACTTTCCGTATTGTCATGTTTTACAGCTAAAAGAAAGGTCGGGCGGGGTAGATTTACGCTACCAGTGGGGCTAGTCGATACCGATATATTGAAGTCGATCGATTTATTAAAATATGGATCCCGAGGTACAGAGTACAGCGATACAATGCAGCTAGGATCGATACTTTGGGATTATGCACATATGTGGATCACAGTGCCGATCTCTCAAAACTCTACCTAGGGTGAATGTGAGGAACCAAATGCAGATATGCATGTACGGAGGGATATTGACTATGGGCAATTGCATGCAGATCTGCGCAGAGGAATAGTATGGATAATCGCATGCAGATATGCACAGCGGGATATTATGGAGGATCGCATCAGAGAAAATATCCTCGGCTACGTGGCTACCTCCATAAGTACCTAAGCAGAGCAGTGTCGAGTTTGGGATCTTCCTGTGGATCGATCGCACGGGATGGGGTTTCCATTGTCCGCCGATGTCTCATGGGATTTGTATGGTAAATTCAAATTCACTGGAAATACGGTGTCGTAAAACAGCAGATAAGTACGGACTTGTGACGATCTCTCGGCAGACCCCCACTATAGTCAATGAAGAGAAAGCCGATGGGACATGTCAAATACTAGTCGATACGTGGAATCCTAAAGTTGACATTATGCTACCTGCGACAATACATGGTATTGTGTATGATGTGATATATGGCAAACACTACCTGGGCAGACATTTGGTATTCTCGCCGATACACAGCCTGGCTGCAAATATCCTAAACATCACATTACATAGAACGGTCAGTTAGTTTCTGGTTCGCAAAATAACAGCCCGACTGACCTTCACAAAGGTCTAAAAGAAGAATGGATCAATTGAGCGCGGGCGACCGTCACCAGATCCTGAGACTGGAATCGAGAAGTTCCCAGGACCATCAGCCTCTGCGCTCACAATGTCTTTGCTCTCCTAGTGGAAGAGCAGCCTGATGCACAGGCGGTCGATGCATGGGACGGAGAATGGACATATGACGAACTTGACCAGCATTCCTCCGCTCTCAGTCAGGTCTTGATCCGCTCGGGAGTGATGGTCGGGGACTTCGTAGCCCTCTGCTTTGATAAGTCCAAATGGACTTCGGTGGCTGTTTTGGGTGTTCTGAAGGCCGGAGGGGCTTTTGTGTTCCTCGATCCAAGGCATCCAGTGGAGCGACTGCGGCAGATGTGTAGGACAGTGAATGCAAAATTGCTGCTGGCCAGTTTGTCCCAAAGGCACCTCGCGCAAAGGGTGTGCCCGGATCTGACGACTCAGATTCTCAACGAGGGACTCTTAGCAACTACCAACCTTGGGGAAACCTCGCTCAATGTCAAGGTTCAGCCACACCATCCTGCCTATGCAGCATTTACCTCCGGCTCAACGGGCATCCCGAAAGGTGCAGTGCTCCGCCACGACGCTCTTGTGACATCAACTCAACTTTCAAAGGAGGGCCACAATCTGAACCGCAAGTCAAGGATCTTGAATTTTGCTGCATTTGCCTTCGATGTTAATATTTACGAGCACTTTTGGGTCCTGTTACTCGGTGGTTGCCTATGCATTCCCTCGGAAGACGAGCGGCTAGGCGATCTCGAGAGGGTCATCAAACAAAGACGAGTGAATTGGGCAGCTATCACGCCAACTTTGGCTCGTCAGCTTGAGCCCGAACGACTTCCAAGCTTGAAGTCTTTGGTCCTTCTCGGAGAGCCCATGACACAGAAGGACATCGACATTTGGTCTCCACATGTAAAGCTCATCAACAGCTATGGTCCTGCTGAATGTTCAATCGTGGTCACAACTCAGACAATGGGGCCATCTGTTGGAGTAGGAACCATCGGTCGCAGTGACGTAGTGACCTGTTGGGTGGTCGACGAATCAGATCCACAGCAATTAGCTCCAATTGGCAAGGCGGGAGAGTTGGTATTGGAAGGCCCAGCAGTCAGCTCAGGATACATGAATAGCCCTGAGCAGACGGACAGAGCATTCATGACGAACCCTGCGTGGCTTCCGCTCTCGCGGTATTCAAGTCGCAAACTCTATAAGACAGGGGACATCGTTCGCTACAATCCAGATGGATCGTTGTGTATTCTGGGCCGCAAGGACAGACAGCTGAAAATAAATGGCCAGAGGCTTGAGGTCTCTGAAATAGAGCATCATCTTCAGAAGGCCCTAAATGGTGGCGCCCAGCAAGCCATTGTGGATGTGGTCACTTTACCTCGTCGCCCGAAGTCACTTATTGTTTTCATACATATCTCGACTTCGACCTGTGTTACGTCCTCCGGTTTTATCCAAGAACCTGACAAGCTGTTTTGGAAACAGGTTAGTCACATTAGAGCGCATCTACTCGAGCATCTTCCCGGTTACATGGTACCTGAGCTATATTATCCCGTTAATTCTATTCCACACACTATGACTGGCAAAATCGACCGGAAGGCTCTTCGTGAAGAGATTGAAAGACTATCCAACGACGAAGCTGGCTTGTATATCAACCCTCTGGAAGAGGACAGGGTCCCCGAGGTGCCACGCACTAAGGAGGAGAAGATCTTACAAAGACTCTGGTCAGAAGCTCTCGGCATACCTCAGGATGAAATTTATCGAGAGGATAATTGGGTGCGTCTAGGTGGAGATTCTGTCCTAGCAATGAATCTGGTACGCAGTGCGAGAGAAGAGGGGTACGCGTTTAGCGTCGCTAATGTGATGACCGAACGCACGATCGCGGCTCTGGCGCAGATCAACCGCATCGCTGACGGTCGTGATGTGCATGCCGATGGTGAAACCAACTCTCTCAAACCATTTTCCCTCCTCACTGCAGATAATGAACTGCTTCATGGGTTGATCCAGATCGCTGCCGATCAATGCCAGGTAGCCCCAGAGGTCATCGAGGACATTTACCCTTGTACGAGGGAGCACTGCACTATGATTCCGCGCGAGCCCGGCGATGTCGACTTTACCCTACGGGTGGAAGCTAGTATCTCTCCGGATCTTGATCTGGATCGTCTGTCTAAGGCTTGGTCGGCCACCGTCGCAGCCAACCCCATGCTCCGCTCCCGCGTGGTAGAATTATTGCATGGTCGGTTTTTTTATGCTGTCTTACAGGATTCCACACAGTTGGAATTCAAGATGACGGAACTGGATGGCCTGGATCGACACGAGGGCAGGATTTGGAAACCAGCAAGACCCTTAGTCTGTATTGCTGTGAAGGATGATCGGTTCGTGATGCTCATCCATCACCTGCTGTATGATGGACATTCATTGCCATTAATCTTCCGGAACATCGAGCGGGCCTACCAAGGTCAGCCACTCCCAGTCACTCCATATCGACCATTTCGGGGGGCGCTTGCAGAGGCTCAGGACGTGAAGCAACAGTTTTGGATCGAGCGGTTCAAAGGGTGGAATGGCGGGTTGTTTCCTGCGGTGAAAGAGGGTACTCGCTCATCCAAAGAAACCAAAAGTTTAGAGCGTCAGATGCCCATTTACACGACGGACTACACTGCCTCTCTCACGCTACACTTTGCCCTGGCAGTTACAATATCATGGTACTTAAATGAAGCCCAAGACGTTGTTTTTGGGACCACTACATCCCGGCGAGGGGCCTCCGTTCCAGGCGTGCAGGGAATTATCGCTCCAATGTTCGCCCTCCTACCGATGAGAGTTCAGCTGGCTTCTTCTGCAACCATTAGAGAACACTTGAAAGTATTACAAAAGGAGTCACTTCAGGCGATGGAACATGAGTTGGTTGACTCAGGGACGTTTGCCGACTTGGGCGGGGAGTTGGCCACTGCAATGCAATACCAGACCATGCTGGTTGTGCAGCCCGATACACCGGCCGATGACATGAGTCTCTTCCACAACATCCACATGCAGTACGCAGATGGAGTAGCGTTCCCTTTAAATCTGGGGCTTCAATGCTTCCTGTCCACTCATTCCGTGCGACTGGATATGCAAATCAATGAGCCCACGACTCGGGATGAAATAGACTGGGATCGCTTCGCTGATCGATTTTGCACCGCATTCGGCACCATACAACAGCAACCTGACTTCGAATTAAACCGGCTTTTTGATAGATTGGCTACAAGATCTGTCTGTCAGAATCGCTGAGACGGGAAGATCGTATTTAAAAGAACTTTGTTGGCTGGTCTATGTTATCTCTTTCTTCCTAATTTTTCGTTTCAGCTTTCGCCCTTGCGTTATTGAGGGATCGGACTACCTCGTATTTGGTACTTTCGGGTTCGTGTTCATTAGTATTCCAGGTTTATCAGTGACATCTAATACGTATCCTTTTGAGGGTCGGGATTAGTATACAATACACAACTTGTACCTTGCTATTTCCGTAACGATTAGCAGAAGCAAGCCAAATCTAGGACTTTGAGTTCACTGTCAATTTATTCATTCATTCATTTACTCCCTAAGCCTTTCACGACCTGAGGTCAAGAATCGACCGCCAGCTCGCATACACCGCTGCGTAGGATATACACATTTAGGATTTATTCCAAAAAAACTCAATAAATACCAATCATATGGTGTTAGCAAAAGTAACAAATCTGAAGAGGATGGAGAAGGGGAAGAAAAAGGATCGTCAACGATGGCTACGGAGATTGAATACTCAGGCGCGACTGCCTATCCGGGTGATAAGGTCCAGTCTCCGTCCTGCAGATTGCTACACTTTGTAAGCCCATTTCTAAGGATCGACTCTTGTGATCATAAGCTTGCGAGTAAAATGCGAGATATGTCAGATGCAGCTTTCTTTGAGTGAATATAGTATCTCCAGGTATAAACATATTCAAGCTCCACCCGTGGACGTAAGTGGAATTCTTCCTAACCATACATAAAAAGATGTGGACCTAGGTACACACAGACAATCCATGGATCCGGGTCCTTTCGTCCATGAATCCGTTCCAGTTCATAACCTAAAGAGACGTCGGCAATTCACAGCTACAACCACAAGATATCATGTTGGGCGAGTACAAACAGCATCAGAATCACTATGCCGAGCCTGCTGGACCTGGATTTGGCTAGGCCCTCTTCTGCAGAACCACATTCAAGGACGGGGGATGAAACGATGCGAACGCCGCTTGATCTTGAAGCCAATTTGTCTTATCGCTTTTGTTTTCGAATTCTAGATCGAATCGCCAAAGTAGTCGAGATAGAATCAGCTTCATGCTGTCGTAAGCAAATCTAGGGATTGTATTAGTCATAACACGTAACACCAAGCTAGAAGTCAAGCCCAAATACACTCACTTCTTTCCGATGCAGTTTCTGGGTCCCACTGAGAAGGGCTGACAGGCATCTAGGTTATCTTTGAGGAATCGAGCATCTCCCAACCATCGCTCCGGAATAAATTTCTCCGGCTGAGAAAAGTTATCAGAAGACTGAAATGCCGCCCATTGGTGGACATTGACACTGACCTATGTTTTTTATCATTAGAATCATCAATTCATTTGAAATACGCTTCGTTGAAAAGTGTGGGCATGTACGAAACTTACTCCAGCTGGCAGAACATGGCCATCTACAATAGCGCCATCCTTCGGCGTCTGTCGAGGAAAGCCATTGGCAATTGGTGGTTGGCAACGCAGGCTTTCTTGAAGAATAGCTTGTAGGTACTCAAGACGATTGAGGCTTAGTATGTCAATGTCATCTTCACAGCTGAAGTTCGCCCTCAACTCTGTCATAAGTCTCTCCAGAGCATCACGATGTGTCATCAAAAAGTATGTAGCATAAGTCAAGGCAATGGAAGTTGTTTCGCTGCCAGCCAGAATCAAAATGGTAGCCTGGCTGTCCAGTTCGGCAGAGATTATTGTTCCCTCGCCAACAGCTCGCATCAGATGCTCCGCAAAATCATTCCGTTCACTAGATATTTGTGAAGTGCGTCGGCGAATCTTTTCAAGTGCCATCTCAGAGTGCTTTCGCCGTTTTTCCATGAGAGATGCAGGAAGGAGCATTGCCAGCACTTTGTGGAGCGGAGAGAAACGATGCACGACATGCAGCAAGGTCGACGTGTAGAAGTGGTCCAGGACGAGTTCCACCCATTCATGAAAGCGTGAAGTTGCGAGGCAGTCGAAATTCTCCCCGAAGGCCAAATCCCCAATGAGGTCAAAAGTTGTATAGTTGTACCATGTTCTCAGATCGGAGGAAATACCTTTCTCCCCACGAGCTTGCAGTTGCTTCATCAAAAGATCAACGTTGGCCTGCAGAATGGGCTCTTGTCCCTGAAGCGCCCGTGTGGAGAAAGCCGGATTCAGCGCTCGGCGCAGTCGTGAATGGTCTGCGTCGTTCATCATGGTGATTGATTGGGGCTCAACAAGCATGTCATTAAAGAACTTGCGATCTCGAGGCAGTGCAGGCTTTCCATTACGACGGGCATAGATATCTTGCCATGCCTGTTTGGAAATGAAAGAAAGTTCGTTTGGTGACAGGCGCACGACAGGGCCATAACGATCATGGGCATCTTTCGCGATAGTGTGCCAATTTCCGCGTAGTTGAGCCAACGCAATTGGAATGGAGCTTGCCGCATATAGCCTCGGGCCGGGATATTTGGATAGTGGATGGAAGTAGATATTATATAAAACTTTAGTGGCGGCAATTATGACAAGACCAACAAGCCACCTCCATGACGCGAGGTGGCTCGTAGAAAAGACATTTTCCAGCAAGAGAAGATGAGCCATGGGTGTCAGAATTGATCATAAAAAATAGTCGTGCTAAATTATCAACTTTTTCTTGTCAGTATGTACAAGTCCAAGTGCTCAAATGGCATAGATTCACTTTGTCCAAGATCTGTGGCTGGCTGACTGATCGACGGTGTTCATCTCCCGTTTCGGCTACCGCTACCCATAAATGGTTTTCTTTTTTTGTTCCTTTTTTACAAAATTTCTATCGATACAGCGGTGTAGAGCTGCATTTTTTTTGCCTTTTTCGTATGATGCACACAAATACAATGTGTCTCAGTGGTGAAAAATAGTATGCATGCGCTATGGCGATCGTACTGCGGCCTTCAAACTCTATACTGCATCCACACCCGCATTGTCCCGCCATAGTTACCTGTCAGCACTTGCTAAAAGCGTATGGACTAGTATGCATTCAGGGCGAATGATATCAAGCGGAACCAATTCAGGATAAAAGGATTGACTGGTGACGCGCGCTGCGCACGCTGTGGCCCTGAAACGATGAAAAAGAGGGCAGGGACGAGAAAGCCAGGAAAAAGGAACGTTGATTTGCTCCACTGATACTTCATAATGTCGCGACCAAAATGACCATTGCCAGTCGGATACACTGCCAAAAAGCTTGGCATTCTTATGTAAACTGCTTATTAAGCAGTAAACCTTTTGTTAAATAGTTTTCATCCCGTATTCTAAATTGAGCAGACCCATACGATTTTCCATACAGTACCTAAATGACGATTAGTGGCCTATTTCGGGCCACGAAAATAATGCAAATGAGCGGTAGCCAATGAGAAGGCCGATAGTATGACTAATAGCCGAAACACCTTAGAAAACAGAAAAAGTAGGAATTTGCTATCAGGCATTGTATTTCGGTTGTGCAAGTATATCGGCGTATGATGTTTTACGTTGTCTTCGAGAAGGCTTCTCTGGAGGTGGTGTGGTAGCCGGTGGCGAGGGCTCATTTTCGTCGGTGGTTTCTGGCCATGTAATTTGTGTGGTGTCCTCATCCTCGAGTAGGAAATCTCCGGGGGAAATGCATCGGAGGCGACGGCGCGAGCCTCTAGCTCATCATGTAGGAAAGAAAGTGCCCGATCTAAACTGGCCTGGAATGTACCCTGGGATAGGGTTCTTTTCCTTTTAAACGTAGTGCGCAAAGGAGCCGGATTGGACGTTTCTTGGGGACCGGTCGGCGATAGTCGTGAGATCCGTGGCGGCTGGACGCACGGCTCCAGTAGAGGACCTGCAGGAAGCAAAGCTCTTACCGTTCCCGGCCCTGTGGAAAAAGCAGCGTGACGGCAGCGATAACAGGTCGGCGTATCATAGGATGAATGACAGGGACCCCCACACCTCGAGCAAGCCAAAAATAACGTGGAAAAGACTGGTATGGCGAGGGAATTCCGAGACGGAGGTTGCTCGGTAGAGAGGTTATGTTTTCCGACAGTAGCAGCGACTTGTCTCGCCCCAAACCCGCGCAGAGATACCCCCTGCCGGCAGTCGACACGGGTCTTAAACTGTGTGGAGTACCACGGTCTAGCGCAACGTGAACAGAAAGGAGTTGGGCCAAGGTGAGAAGATATTAAGGCTAGACAACGTTGAAAGAGCACATGGCATCGTTTCCAAGGCTCCCAGAATGATTGAAAGGCCGATGGGTGTAGAAGCAAAACGCGGAGGAGTATCGAGCAGCGAGAAAGATTTCAGGGCATCGAGGATGATAACGCACAGAAATGAAAGCGCAGGTATAAAACTATTAGTGTAGGCGTGGCCACGTAAGTACGGGATACGTAGCGGACATGGATCAAGCAACAAGAAGCAAGGAATCATATCAGAAGATCGGGACGTCGAAATTTATTCAAGGTCATGAGAACCAGGATCCCATGACAAGGAGAACGTATCAGGATACGGGAGAAAACGCACGAAGCCAAAGAAGGCAGATGAGAAAACGGAATGAGAGCAACTCTATGCACGATATACATGTTTGCGTAAGATCGTTACTATACATAACACCGGCAGCCAACCACATTTGTTTGAGTAAACCGGGACAGTATAAGCTAGTAATCCGATCAGACAAATGAGAGCAATTCTTGGCAGGAACTGGTGAAGCGCGCTTCGCAAGCTCCGCACGCCGATGCCCTGAAACGGCAAGGAAAAAGGGAACAAAAGGTTGGTGCTCGATATATAGCTTTTTATTATTATTATTAGATGCCGCGATAAGGGGCATAAGAATCGAAGGTTAACATAGTCCGAAATGGGTAAGGCCAGAGCTTGGATACGAGCCCAACGAAGAGAGGAACTGTTGCTGCATGGTTCTAGCATGTTTAAAGTTCTGGAAAGCGCAGCCGAATCCGATCAAAAACCGAAAGTTACAAAACACAAACAGAGGTGCGGATTGGACAAAGAACGGGAAACTAGAGTCCTTTGCGGTATAAGCCTTTATCCAATAGCACTGAAAGCATTCTTCCAATAACACCGAAGCACAGCGAGCCAATAATCGCGATTTAGGTCAATTTTCGCCTCAAATTTTGTATGTATAATGGCATTTGGCAGTCTCACGAATCGTCTGGAAAATAAGGTTTCAAGTCTTGTCACGTGCAGGGAGTTTCCCCTTCCTCTCTTTCGCGACCTGGAATGGGTCATTTTGGGGAAATGTAGTATGGTATGGAAAATGGTATCAGTCTGCTCAATTTAGAATACCTCGAAAACAAATATATAACGTAATCCACGGCCGAGCTGCGCACACGGTCGGCCTGCGCACCCCATCGAAAATCGCGTCTTCCAGCCACTCTGCCTAGTTCAATTACCCACCATGCCACCAATTCGCACTGAATCTTCGCAGAAATCGGCCAATCAAGAGGGCAGGATCTTATTAGCCCTATCCGATATCAAAAATGAACGTATCATATCTCTTCGCGCAGCAGCAAGGCTATATGATATACCCGAATCAACACTCCGCAGTCGCGCAAAGGGTATATCATCACGCGTCGATATACGCCCAAACGGCTATAAATTGACCCAACTTGAAGAGGATTCGCTTACTGAATGGATACTCTCTATGGATTCGCGTGGAGCAGCCCCTAGGCCCTCTACTGTACGAGAGATGGCCGATATTCTTCTTGCAGCGCGTGGAACAACCCCCCCATTGACTGTTGGTGTTAATTGGGCGTCAACCTTTGTTAAACGACGCGATGAGCTTCGAACACGCTTCTCGCGACGATATGACTATCAGCGTGCTCTTAACGAGGATCCAAAGGCTATACGAGAGTGGTTTTTGATGGTACAACGTACGATTGAGGAGAACGGTATCCAACCGGAGGATATCTATAACTTTGATGAAACTGGCTTCGCAATGGGCCTTATATCAGCACAGAAGGTAGTAACGCGAGCAGAATACTACGGTCGGCGATCAATCCTACAGCCAGGAAATCGTGAATGGGTTACTGCGATTGAAACGATATGCGCTGATGGCTATTCGCTACCGCCGTGTATTATCTTTAAAGGCCAGGTTTATATTGCTGGTTGGTTTGAATCAAATCTCCCTAGGGATTGGCGAATTGAGGTTTCGAATAACGGCTGGACTACTGATGAGATCGGCCTACGTTGGCTACAAAAGATCTTTATTCCATACACTAATTCGCGCGTACGAGGGCGATTTCGTCTCTTGATCCTCGACGGACATGGTAGCCACCTTACACCTCAATTCGATCAAATCTGCTCTGAAAACGATATTATACCACTCTGTATGCCTTCACATTCATCGCATCTTCTACAACCGCTTGATGTTGGGTGTTTTGCTGTTTTAAAGCGTGCGTACGGTCGATTTGTGAGCGATTTAGCCCGAACTGGCTATAATCATATCGACAAGCTTGATTTTCTAGCAGATTATCCTCGCGCACGACTAGAAGCTTTCCAGCTAAATATCGTACAAAGCAGCTTTGCAGCTTCTGGTATAGTACCAGTTAATGCAGAAAGGGTACTTTCTAAGCTTAATATCTCTATCCGAACACCTACACCACCAAGCAGCAGACCAAACAGCAGATCTAGCCAATTCACACCAAAAACACCTAGAACAGCGATTCAGCTAGAAAAGCAAGCTTCTATGCTTAAAGAGCTATTAAACCAGCGATCACACAGCCCGCCTACACCATCAAAAATCATGCTTGATCAGATTATCAAGGGCCACTGTATAGCGCTACACAACACTGCGCTACTAGCAAAGGAGAACTCCAATCTACGCGCAGCGAATGAAAAGAAACGTCAAAAGCGCACTCGATCGACTAGGCAGATTACTCATGAGGGGGGGCCTATCGATCGAAGAGGGCCTACAGCTAGCTCAGCAGCCAATTCAGCCGGTAGAAGCTAATGAGGTGGTATCGCATGAACAGGGTAATTTGCCTACTCAGCAGGATCAGCCACGCAGGAGGGCTCTGCCTACCTGTAGTGGATGTGGAGGAAAAGGCCACAAGATTAATCAATGTAAAAAACGCTAGATTAGTATTAATTAATGTGTTTCGGTTGCGATATTCTGTTTTAAAACTATATCATAGGGGTGGGTGCGCAGGCCGACCGTGTGCGCAGCTCGGCCGTGGATTACGTTACGAAATATTACGATGACTAATAGAGTGCCAAGCCTTCTGGCTGTTGTAACCATTCGTAATGGTACGCCAGTTCTCGATACTCTCACTTCGTTCGTTTCAGGGCAAGCGGACGAACCAGCGTCGAGATCTGCGGCGAGTTTGATAGTGGGAGCACAGCAAAGTTTCGCGGGCAGGTCGCGCAGGGTAGTATACCCTTTCACTACGTTCCTTCGTTTCAGGGCATTGATTGAATAGAAGACATGCGATCGAGGGCAGGTTGAATACCCCCGGAATGTGACCATACTCGGTGGTTATTACACCGAGGTTGCGAGCTGAACCAATTTACCATACAAAACACAAAGAAATGTGGGTTCCTGGGTAACCGATCTCTTGCTAGTGGTAAGATACCACTCCATGCGCTGACATTACCTATTGACACATCTACCAGCATACTTCCTCCAGACACCCATATGTATGTATGTATGTATGTATGTATGTATATGCACTAGGTACGAATACACGCTCCAGCGAAATTTTCGTGTCCCTTGAGCGAGGCACAGGGCTCATGCATTGAAAAATAATACATCTCCCACACTAGTCGCACATGCCATCGACAACATTCCACTTTTGATACCGTCATCGATTCCGTCTGCTGAAATAATTTACACACAATGCCCACAAAAGCCATGTACGAAGATCTGAAAGGGAAGGTCTCCCTTGTCACGGGCGGAAGCACAGGTATTGGCAAGGCTGCTGCCATAGCGCTTGCACAATCAGGGGCAATCGTGGTCATAGCTGATGTTGATGAGTTGACTGGCTGCCAGGTTGTCAGTGATCTCAAGGCCGAGGGATCTGAAGCTCTGTTCATCAAAACCGATGTTTCCGAATCTACCCAAGTCAAGGGCACCATAGAACATATTGTTTCCACATTTGGGCGCTTGGATATCGCTGTCAACAACGCCGCAGTTCCACCTGATACATCCCCAATCGCCGACCTTGATGAAAATCAGTGGCGAAGAGTGATAGATGTCAACTTAACCGGGGTTGCTTTCTGTCTGAAATGGGAGCTTCGCCAGATGCAGACTCAGCATAAGAATGGCGGAGGAAAGATCATCAACCTTGCCTCAGCGACGTCCATCAAGCCTGAACCAAATTTACCGGCCTACACAACAGCCAAGCACGGAGTTGTTGGCTTGACTCGCGTTGCCGCCATCGAGAATGGTGGTTACGGAATTCGTGTCAATGCTCTGGCTCCTGGTGCAGTTTCTACCGAGCTGACAGCCAGAACATTAGCTTCAATTGGCTCTAGCGAGGAGGAACAGGGGCCGAAAGTTGGGCTCTTCGGAAGATTTGCCCGTCCTTCTGAGATTGCGGAGGCCATCACGTGGCTGGCATCGGACGTGAGCGCATATGTCACTGGCTCTGTGCTGGTGATGGATTCTGGATTGACGATAATTTGATCATCCTGCTCAAACCAGCTGTCCAGATGTGATTTGAAAAACAAATAATCGCCCATAAAGCGATCGATAATTATCAAACATAAGCTTCCCTGATAATTTGTTCTATTTCTGGGCTATCTTTCAGTTTCCGAAGTTTTTCTGACCCAATTTTTAACATGAGGAATGTATCAATCTGGTATATGTACATAGCTAGTGAATGGTATGAAGAAGCGACTGATTGGTTTGGTTATGTGAGAGGTAATTTCAGGCAACTTCTAGTGAAGCCCGATTTCGAGAAATCAATTGAGAGCACCACATTCGTAGTAAATAGACTTTGGATGCTTCTTTTTGGAAGAATGTCTAAACAGTAATAAAAACTATATATTAATGTAGCGAACAGGTACGGAGTAACCGATATAATGACTTTGGAAATCGAAATTTTAGGACAGAATTATTGGTTTTTTCTGGTACGAGAGAGTGGAAAGAAATGGAAATTGGATTCCAGTTACCATATAATAAGGAGTCTCTCCTCGCTATCATCCAGTTCTATTTATGCGCCCCGAACTCCTTTTGCTGAAGACACATCACATCCTGTCTGACTTCCGACCGCCTCTGAGAATCCTTTTTCTTTTTGCAGAGTCAAAATAAGCCAATATGTCTCCTTATAAAGCGATTATATTTGATATGGGTGATGTTCTCTTCCGATGGGAGCCCAAAATCAATACTACCCTCACCACGGATACTCTACGCGCCATCGCCAACTCAGATTTGTGGGCTCATTACGAAGCAGGCGGGATGACCTCAACTCAATGTTACAAGCAACTAGGCGAAGAGCACGGTGTCTCACCGGAGGAGATAGCCTCGACATTCCGTCAGAGCACAGGCTGCCTGACTCCCGACGCAGGAATGACGGGATTTCTTCATGAGCTGAAGGATCGCGGTCTACCGATCTACATGATGACGAATATCCCACAGCTGGACTATGACCGGCTCCGCTTAATGGAGTACGATTGGCACATTTTCGACCAGATTTTTGCGTCGGGCTATGTTGGCATGCGCAAACCTGATTTAAAGTTCTATGAGCACGTCCTCGCAGAGATTGGCGTGGGGGCTACCGAAGCGATTTTTGTGGATGACAAAAGGGGGAATGTGGCGGCGGCACGGGAAGTAGGCATTACGGGTCTTGTCTTTCAGAGCTCGAAAGCTGAAGATGTTCGTGGACACATCAGAAAGCTGCTAGCGGGTGGCCCCGCAGCTATTGGTGCTTAGGCCTCCTCGATTAGATTGCCCGAAATGGAAATTGATTGTCAGATTAAGGAGCTGTGTATTAGCTAGTAAGGTGTTGATCATATGTAGATCCTCCCGATCTCGTACGAATAGTTACTAGTGGAATCGGGTAGGAGAAATAGCGGGTCATCTATGTACGTTCTATCACCTGAGTTCTTGCCATCGATAGTTCGTCTATTTATCAATCAACTATCTCCGATTGGTGACATGGAGTATTTACTAGCGTATACGTGCAAGTATAATCTTGGAAGACAACCCGAAATTCTATTTTCATACATACATACTAGTACTAGTCACACGGCATGTTACTCCATATTTATATGGAACTTTTGAACGCAAGCTTTCCAGCCTCTTTCACCTGTAGTTGTTTTTCGCAGTAATTGATTCATCATTTTGCCACATCAGCGAGAAGTGACGTATCAAATCGCGTGCAAATTCTGGAAAGGAGAAAAAACGAAAGGCCAACAACAAAGGAGATCTACATAGCTGTGTAGATCAGTGTATGCACGATTGATGTCTGAGTTAGTCAGCCTGTCCAATTTCTCAACTGCTAAGGATTGAAGAGTAAACAGACAGCAAATCGAATCGAGCGGGTATTAGACCAACCCTTCAATATCGGCACCATGCTACAAGAAAAGACTTGGCTCTCGCTTGTAAGTTCCTGGCAGTTGATTATTCGAGAGGAGAAGAAACCTTACTTATTGCTACCATTTTGGGGGTTCCTCTCTACAGGTCATTGTTGTGATCTGTTCGCGTTTCATTTGGAGACTGTTCTTTCATCCACTAAGCCGGTTTCCCGGCCCAAAACTGGCAGCAATATCGAATTTGCCTTATGTCAAATGGTCACTAAACGGCGAGCTTCATACGAAAATCCAGAAATTGCATGATCGATACGGCGATGTGATTCGGATCCGCCCTAATGCCCTAACCTACCGGAGCGCAGAGGCCTGGGCGGATATCTACTCGCATCGGAAGGCCGGCAAACCGTCTTTTGACAAAGATCCTCAATTTTATATCGCCTCGTCTAGCGGCGGTAAGCCAAACTTGATCAATAGTAATAACGAGGACCATAGTCGCCAGAAGCGGCTATTGACACATGCATTTTCTGAGCGGTCCTTGCGCGAGCAAGAAGAACTGATTCTTGGATATATTGACCTCTTTATTGGTCAATTAGACAAGTATGCCACCAGAAGTTCAAATGTCCAACATAATGTCCTAGACCTTGTTCGCTGGCTGAACTTCCTGACATTTGATATTATTGGTGACCTTGCCTTCGGAGAGCCTTTTGGCTGCCTTAAGGACTCAGAATACCACCCTTGGGTCAGCACCATGTTCCAGAGCATCAAGACAGGGGCCTTCCTTCGAGCGCTTTCGATCTATCCTATTCTCGCTTTCTTAATTCGCAAGGCAATGCCTAAGCGTTTGATCCAAAAACGCATACAGCATTACCAGCTTAGCAAAGAGCGTGTGAATCGACGACTAGAAATGAACACCTCGCGTCCTGATTTTATCTCTTATATCTTGAGATATAATGATGAGCGGACGATGGATACCTCGGAGATCCAGACAAATGCGGCTCTCATCATTCAGGCTGGCAGTGAGACCACAGCCACAGCCCTAGCAGCATGCAATTTCTATCTTCAGAAGAATAGAGACTGCTACTCCAAGCTTACTGAAGAGATTCGCACATATTTTACTTCTGAGGACGAAATGACGTTTCTATCGGTCGCGAAGTTACCGTTCTTGAATGCTGTTATTGAAGAAGGCTTGCGGATGTATCCTCCATCGCCAGCAATTGGACCGCGGGTTGTCCCTAAAGGAGGAGCACCGGTTTGTGGAGAGGTTCTTCCAGAAGATGTGAGTCTACGAGCAACTTCAAAAATATAGACTTCTATAGTATTCCCAAGGGACTGCTTAAGGCGCTGACGTTACCCATTTTGTGACCCAGACTTCCGTATCTGTCGCCCATTATTCGGCATTCCGAGGGGCGTCTAACTTCGAAGAACCCAACTCGTTCCTCCCACAACGCTGGCTTAAGCAAGATGGCAAAGGCAGGTTCCAGAATGATAAGCGCGAGGCCTTGCAACCATTTTCAATGGGTCCCCGTGCTTGTATAGGTCGCAAGTAAGTCTTTTCCCTTCGGTCGGCTTTCGATTCTTTTACCAACCTAAATTACCATTCGAACAGTTTAGCCTATGCGGAAATGCGCCTCATTCTCTGCAAGTTGTTTTGGAATTTCGACATAGACCTGGACTCGCGGGCGAACGACTGGGACAAAGCCAAAAGCTACATTGTTTGGGAGAACCGGCCACTCTGGGTGCATCTTCAGCGAGCCCGTCATTTGTCAGAAAATTGATAGTTAATAGCCTATGGATAATTGGCTGTTATGGGGCAGCTATTTAGCTGTGTCTGGCTCAACATGAGCGAATAACACGAGTTCCAGAAGACGCCGATAGGACGAGCTTACTTAATATTATGTCTACAGAAGGAGTTACGCCCTATCCCGGCGGCCCCGATTTGGGAAGCAAAAAGATCACAACGTAAAATCGAGAGAAGCAGCAAACTTCTATCTGCACGCAGGTATGGAATTTATTCGCATTAAATGGGAATCGAATCGCGATTCGAGCTTGAAGCACCTGCTGCACGGACACGCATGCAGTATGTAGAACAGAATTGAGAATTGCAAATAAGGCTATAGTGAAATATTGAAATGCGCATCTGCAAAGAGAACTGTGAAGAAACCCAGTTGACGGGGACGGGAACCATCGCCCGAGTACTACTCCGTACGTGGTAGACATCCATAAGATTAGCTTTCCGCATGTCGTAAATACGGCTTGCGATTAATCATACCTCTACGGCCAAGATTTCACCAACTCCACTTTAGAATCCCAATATAGATAGTATCTCGCCGATCAGACTGGGTGGCTGGCTGGACTGAACGATTTACTATTTTAAAGTACATAAACTTACGGAGAGCTAGCGTGGTAATAAATTACAACCCGCTAGTGTATGTGTATGCATGCATCCATTTCAATGGGTCTGCCTCCAGAAAATATAGCCGAGGGGCAAAAGCAAATAGGAACCTACGGTGAACAGCTTCATATCGGACATTAGGTATGCGTTTGAAGCCTTTCATGCTGTGACTATCGCTATCAAGGCACGCCAAAATCAATAAAGGGTTAAACTTTCAACACACGAACCTTGGAAGCTTCCGATACTGGGTGCAAGGACTTGAAACTTAATAAAGTTTGTCGGTCTTGAATTTTACGATTTGCACTTCCCCTTTGTCTTACATTTCAACCCAGAAACCACCAAAGCTCCTACCCCGCCACCCCAAATTATCTCACGAACTGTCAATAATGCCTAGCGTTCAAGCCCTCATCTTCGATTTCGGAAATGTTCTGTGCAGATGGACACCGCCCAAAAGCTCTTCAATTGATCCCACGAAGCTGAAACAAATAATGACCTCGGATATCTGGTATGACTATGAACGAGGTCGATATGCGTCAGAAGATGAGTGCTACAAGGTACTTGAAGAACGCTTCGCCATCCAATCCGAGGATTTGTCTGCGACAATGGCAGAGGCTCGTCAGAGTTTGCGGTTGGAGACTGCAACTCTGGAATTCCTCACAGCCCTTCGGGAGCAGCACTCGTCCCTGAAGCTCTATGGCTTGAGCAACACACCACACCCAGAGGAAGATGCGGTACAATCAATTGGGAGGCAGTGGCCTATCTTCGATCATATATATATTTCTGGAAGTTTGGGGATGAGGAAGCCAGACATCTGCTGTTATGAACATGTGTTGAAAGAGATCGGGCTCTCCGCGGAAGAGGTCCTCTTTGTCGATGACTCGGCAGAGAATGTGCTTGCCGCACAGTCTATCGGTATTAACAGTATATTGTTCCAGAATCACGAGCAGATTTCCAGTCAGATTAAGGACGCGTTAAACAATTAGGTCCCTAAAAGCGCCAATGTCCTCTCATCAAATGCGAAAATAGTCTCGTGATGGGGCCCTCTTAGTTGGGCAAAGGCTTCGGAGATCCTGCCGCCTTTTAGTCGGGTAGGTCTTGTTACTTGAGCTGGATAGTGAGCTTCCATTTTGAGTTTCGTGATAATGCGACGACCTCGGGATTCATCCTCTTCTCAACTTTGGAAGTCAATCCGTTCAGCCATTACCTCTTTGTTCCTGCCTGTCCGTCTTGCGCATATATCTGGTTCTTCGCGACCAATCCTCATCGCTATTTGTACATGGTTACTCAGAGATATTATTGCTTCTACATTGTTCTGTTAGAGATTAGGCTAAATTGCATTTTTTAACGGCATGTCGTCCGTACTAATTTCCCGTAAGTCTGGCACTGAACTAGCGCGTTTCTTCACGTCTACTCACATGAAGGCAATTGACGGGTGTTTAGATTCTATTCAGAGGCATGGAGACGTGATATTGTAAATGTAACGCCTCATGTGGGAGATATTTCACAGATGGCTGGGCTGGAATCTGGCTTCATGGTCGATTAAAGCTAGTGATTACGGAACGGGACTACAAGTTAGACTGAGTTGTTTTACTTTTCCTATGCCTAGGTAACATTTTAATCACGACTGCATCCTACAGCTTTGGAAGTAAACTGCAACAAGATCCTCATTCTCCATAAATATGGAATATCCTCTGGATATGCAACATGACAAACATGCCCAGCTGCATGCACTTTTTGGGCGCGCATCAGTTCTTCGGAGCTTTTTTGTATTTTGCAAATAAGCATAATAGTCACCTGAGGCGGTGGACCTGCAGTGCCTTAACCCTAAGGTTGACAAACACCCTGAGGGTTAAGGCATCGAAGGTCTGCCGCATCAGGTGACTATTAGTCTGATCATTAGTTATCAAAGTTTTCGAGTGCGTTTGCTTTTTATTTTGTGCCATTGTCTCAGCCGTATCTTTGTACCTATGGATACACTAGTGGCTGCGGGTGCATCCACATTCGGCAAGGATCACTCAAAGCTGAACATGTACTCCGTACTCCGTACTCCATAAACCTTGCTTGTCCCAACTAATAGCTGTGGAGGGTCCAATTAATATTGGAAATTTTTAATGTGGGGCTCATTAGTTAACTTCCATTAGGTACATTGATTCACCCTTCACATTTTCCCTGGCATATATCATTTCAAGCCATCCATGGATGGCATCTTTTAATACTCTCCCTACACCATCACTCTATTTCTCCTGTTTCGGTTACCATGGGGGCACTGCAAGAAAGTCACACGGAAGCCGATACCACCGAAAGGCAATCGCTTCTCCAAAGACAGGAATTTGGAGATGTGCAGTATGCTGACAGAAAGACCATGGGCTGGTCTACAGCACGGAAGGCTGCCATTTTGGGTGTGGTATCTTGGGCTGTGTTCAATGAGTTAAGATCATCCAGTTTGCAGATGGGGAGCGTGTACGCTAACGAGAGATAATATGGAATTAGTGCTCTGGTCTCCACCATAGTCTTTCCAGCTTTACAACAAATCACTGATGAGTTCCATGTCTCAAGCTCAGTGCTAAAGCAACTCCTACTCTCGGTGCATGTAATTGGATTTGCGCTGGGCCCGCTTATTGTGTCGCCGGGAAGCGAGTTATTAGGACGAAATCCGCTTATGCATACATCAAATTTCATGATGGTCTTGTCTATGGTCATTGGTGCGCTGAGTAACAGCATGCCGTTGTTGCTGGTGTCGCGCACCATAACTGGTGCGGCAGGCTGTATACCGATTGTTTTGGAGGGGGGATATATTGCCGATCTCATCCACGTGGAAAAGCGTGGAAAGATCATAGCGGTTTGGACTCTGGCACCACTTGTGGTATGGTTCCTACATTTTATATGGTGCAATACTATTTGTTGTCCAACTTCAGCTAAACAAGGCTTTCCAGGGAACTGTAATAGGTAAGGTGATTCAAAATGTCAAGCAATACTACCAACTAGTAGTTTTTGATACGCAGAGATCCGTTCTAACACTTGAAACCTCCTAGGTCCAATTATAAGCGGCTCCATCACTCTCAGGGTGGGATGGCGGTCAGTATTCTGGCTTATGGCTATTCTGGTAAGGTCACACTCTTCTACCCAACTGTTCCTGTCGCTAATTCTGAATGATAAGTCTGGAGTCCAGACTGTCGCGGGAATGCTCATACTTACAAAAGGGAAGTTTGAGCCCGTGGCTTCACAGTCGGATCAATCACAATCGCAGTCAGCAGAACGTCTTTTGTCTAAGGGCTGGGGACCTTTCAAGGCGGCATTTTCTCGTACTGCCAGGGTCGCTTTTCAAACGCCGGTTGTCATTATCACTACATTGAACATGAGTATGGCATTTGTTTACTTCTATATCATTGTTACAAACTTGCCAACCTTGTTTGCCGAATCCTATGGCTTTGACTCTGCCCAGATAGGGTTTGTCTATATATCACCCGCGACGGGCACAGTGATTGGATTGGCGATAATCGGAATTCTTTCTGATAGAGTCATCAGCCAGAGGAGAATTGCAAGGGGCGTGTCATTGCCTGAGGACCGCTTATTTCCACTAATTGCCTCTAATGTCATTACTGCCGTTGGGATGCTAGCGTATGGATGGTCTGTACAGGCTGGCCTTGCTTGGATGTGCCCTCTTGTTGCGATTGCATTTACTACAATTGGCATTTCAGCTATCTTTGTGGCTCTCCAGCAGTATTTGACCGACCATTTTGGGGGTTCTGTTTCAAATGCTATAGCGTTCATAGTCGTGGTACGGAGTATTCTTGGGGTTCTGCTACCTCTGGCCGTCCCATCACTTTACAACAATCTGGGCTACGGGTGGGGTGACAGCCTTCTTGCGTTGGTAGCTCTGGCCTTTTGTCCGACGACATTTTTGCTGAAGAAATATGGAGGAGAGCATCATACTCCATGACCTTCTTAGCACATTCCTACTGGCTGGCGCATTATTCTCTGATGATAAAATCGTGCGAGCCGTGAAGGACAGACCTGATCAGAGTGCTCTTCCCATGCAGTGATTAGAACATTCAAATTTCTCTGGCGCGGAAAAGTCGTCAGTGTACAAAATTTGGATTGCAAAGTCTTCTTGAGGAAAATTCTGGGCTAAACATCTTTTGTTAAGCTAGTTCAACGAGCCACAACCAGAAGTGAGTTTCTATATACCATATGGCCCTAATACCATTTCCAAGATACAGGAAAATCACTAGGCTTGATTGATCGTATAGAAATCCAGCTATGCCAATATATAGATATAGTGGAATGCAACATGACATACAAGATCATCGGACTCCTTCATCCCAAATAAGGCTATTTTGATATACCTGAGCACCCTACACCTAACCCACCGTAACCAGACTTTGCCAGAGGACGTGATTTTATCTCCAAAATGGCCCGTGACGGTTTTTGAGGTTTACTCAACTGTGATTCTGAATTCAGTGCAAGCACTACTAGTAGCATTACATGACAGATTTCTTAAAATGGGTGATTTTTCGTCGTACTAGTAGTGGGGGATATTTATGTTGCTGCATGGATAAAAGATATCCAGAAAATAGCATTTAAGATTTTCCATTGCACGGCGATCTCCAGGGCTGTATTGCGTGTTCAAGTTTATAGTCATATATCCATCCAGCAACCTTGAACGCTTGGGAACTTGACAAGGGTTTGAATCGCTATTGAGAATGTACATAAGGATCTTGAATACATAGTACGAGAACTTTGAAGCTACCACACCTACATGCGATATGACTACATACATGGCTTTCGGTTAACCGCGGTCTTTATGTTTAGTGCCGCAGTCTAAATCCAAGGCAAGCTTAGAAGAGACATGCATAAACGTGCTTCAGATGAATGAACCAGAACGAAAAAGCACAGATCTTTCGAAGTTGTTTCTCGAAAATTATTCTCAAAATTTATCTTGAACGGGTGGCCCCAGCACTAAACCCCACAGCAAAGATTGACGCTTGCGTGTCGACTACAGGGCGACCGGTCTGTTGAGAAAGAAGCTGAGATACACGACCATCTTCTCACTGGTCAATTTCCAATACCAGTCAAAAGGAATCAACTCCAAATCCCAACCTTTTGTAGAGTGAGATCGAATGAATCCGCGATCTGTGCTTCGGGGACGGAAGGGCATTGCGCACATTCCTTTTCGATGACCCGCAGCAATCCCCACGAACGATCTACAACACTTAAGCAAGGCAGAACTCACCCACTGCCAATCATTTACCGCCATCTGCGGAGTACCGAAATCATACTGCACGGGCACACGGGGCGACATGGATGAACTCCCCCTTGGAGATGTGCAAACCCCCTCTAACCACCCTGGTCAAAGTGTGGTACTTTATGTATTACCGGTGTCAAACGGGGGTATTTTTGGCAGCTATTTGACGTCTTTGTGCAACGGGATATTCAACACCGCCCACGTGATTGCTGACTAAGATCCAGCCCAACCGGTTGGGTTGTCTTGGGCAGGTTTTGGCGAGGCCAAGCTCAGTCATAACTAGTCTTACTCGGATCGGCCAAGGCTCCGCAAAACTGCATGCAACTCTCCTGCCATCGCCGTTTCAAGCCAACAAATTTCTTTCGATGTTCAGCACAAAGCTGCTGGGTGTAATCGCTCTCGGTTGAAAGCTTCAAGTTGATATTTTATATTTTGCTCACCTCAGAAAAAAAAAGAAATCTCGGAAGCTCGGCGAAGAGCAGGCCAGCCTCTTCAATCGAATCTCTCCCATGTCCCTACCAGATATGCCAGCGACACAAACTTTCCACTCTCACAGGCGGTAAAAGCTCGCTGACGCATTCTTCTTTCCAAAATGACATGTTGGGCGTCACGGCAAGTCAACAGAAGTTTGATCTCAGACTCCCGCATAACTGACAAACATAAGAAAGTGCTCTCAAATCCAAGGATGATTCCTGCCGATGCCCTGCTCAGACCGAAGATCCAGCCGAAGACAGTACAGCCGTCCCTAGGTGCCCGGTTGGGCCGCCCACAACTCGGGAAGCGTCTGACCATGATAACCTACTACGGTCGGCAATTACAGATGAACCATTCCTGTCCGCTGTGGAACCCCCTGCCCACTCGCATCCGGCCCGTCCGCAGCTTTATATACAGCCATGCCAGACTGACTCATTGGACTGCAAAGCATGTCGGGAATCAAACGTCCACTGCGATCACGCGCGACCGCAGTGCTCACACTGCTACCAACAGCAAACCCTTTGCTTCTACGTGAGCCCCAAGCAGAGGTTCAAGAGCAAGGCGGATATTTGGAGGTGGCTGGATATGAGCAGTCTTGAACCGAATGTGGATGGTTGACGAACATAGAGGGAGATGAAGCAAGGAAGTGACCATGGCAGTAAAAACGATGAAGCCAGATTGTCAGGTCTCCTGTCTTTTCATAGGAGATTCTAGCAATACACAATGGTACACACTGTATCGCACCCTTATACGTCATACATCACCTCTCCACTATATATATGGTGTTCTCATGCCAACTGGGTACGGGCCTAGAGCAAGGTATGAGTGCCTTGGAGGTGAACTGTTTCTGACTTCTACTGTAGCAGTGTATTATATGGATATTAAAGGTGTGCACTTGGTAAACCAACCGTTTGAAACCATGTGTCAAATTCATGTAGGGAAGTAATTACCGAATTCAGCTGAAAAATCTCTATTCGCTTGGAATATCTAGACTGAAGCACTATTGTTTTCGCAGCAAGTAATTTCTCCACGTTGCTTCACCCAAAAACCGATGTCGCGTACGAATCGCCAGGCGGCACCTACCTTAACACCACGCATGACAAAGAAATCCAGGTCTTGATCTTCATAAATACGCATGAGATCAAGGCATTTCTCCAGAGCCACATCGCGTGCTTTGTTGGTATTATACCGTCGATGATGGTGATGATTTCATTTACCCTGACCCCTCGCAATTTTGAAAGTTGGTTTACCCAACTAGACCAAAAACGAATCCGTTATCAGCCTAGTGGGTGAGGTTTATAATCAACTTTGAAAGCGATATGCTGGTTACCACAAGCTATATATATCCCTGTCCGTACATCTAGCGTGTCCCACTTCCTGACAACGAACGTAGAGCCTCGTCACGGCCTGCCATGGCCTAGTTGCCGCTCCCACTATTAGGCTGCCCTTATGGCGAGCGATTGCGGAACCGTCGTGACGCCTCGGCGAAGTCCAATATGGCCTGGACCGTCTTCGCCCTTGAGACGGTGTCTGGTTCACCTTTCTCATCTTGTTTTGAGCCTCCCGGCACACTCGACACGCTGCTGAACGCATCCCCAACATTCCGTCTCAATTCTATCCGTAAGTCCTTCAGCATTGGGCAGTCCACCACGACATGGGTGACTTTTTCTTGCGCGCCGCACACGCCCTGATCGTGCTATCGGAAACGAAAGAGCTTGGCGTATGTGGATAGCCAATTGGCCCGTGTACAGCTAAGTCAGAAAATATGCCCGGCCCGGCCAACTTTCCGTACAACTTCCAGTAGATTTCGAAAATGGATTCCCTATGGAATCTCACGCGTTGTTTCTCGGTCCGTACTAGAAATTACGCTAGGCCGTATTAGGCTACTTTAGAAAACAACCCCTGCTTCGCCGTTCCTTGGTTCTGGAAGACGCGCGCGTTGCACGCATCGGCCCTGGAACAAAATAGAGAAGGAAATAGAGTACTTCCGACAAATCAATCTACCAAAGAGGTCGAAAGAGCTGAACGATGAATAACTAGTTCATATGTTTCTCGATGACTAATAGCTGCTAACTATTTGAAATGCAGAAGACGAACTATACATTGATATTCGGCCTCAGATTTGCTGAGTTTTTATGGCTTCAGACAATCCCCGCACAGGCATGTAAAATCAGCAGCTTGACAGCACCATTCATTTTAGGAGGCTCATACTTTTATTCGAAGATTATTGGTTTTTTTTGCTAGTTCTTCACTGGCTGTACGTTCGTGGGGGGGAAGGGAAGCTCCCCTAGTCTCAATTTTCTTTTTTTCAGGTTGGAATGGTTGTGCACTGGAGTGGCTAGTGGCCTGAACCTTGGGTACGTCAACGCGACGCGAATTTTTATCGACACTTTGTGTGGCACAGAAAGATAGGCAAGATAGATCTGGGTCAAACCCCCAGATTTTATCCTCTCCGGTCGCATCTTCCATTCGGAGGACGGATTTTTGGTCGTCTGGTTGTCTTGCGGAAGAAGATCTTCGCTTTGGATGAGAAGAACCAGGTTCTATAATATTTGAATACGAACATTCAGATACTCAGAATAGCAATATTTGACTAGTTGACGAAACAACTTGAGTACTAACCTTTCGAGTCAGAAACCAACGCTCGTTCGTCCTTGATAGCTGATGGCCAAGATGGACCATCAAATCCCCAAAAATCATTTGCCATCGCTGTTTTAAATCAAATATGAGGTCTCGATTCTGTTAAAGGACTTTTAAGTTTCCAGGATGGATGGGAATTGTGGCCTGGAAAAGACAGGCTCATTCGTTATAAATAGCTCTGATTTAGGTTTATCTACGACGGGCATGCAGTCCAATGAATGCATACATCAAAAGTAACTTTGTTTCCCATCGTAGATTCCGTTTTGAAAAGAATATTGGATGGTATAAAAACCCTCCAACCGGAACCCGAATTAATTGAAACTCCTTGCTGTAACGCTGCCCGGGAAAGCGCTGCTGGTATGGACGGCAAAAAGAGCCGAAAGTTAATCCAATTTGACTAGTCATGTGATGCAAGGCAGCAATGCGCTGGTGGTACGGTTTTTGTTGGCCAATAACAAGTACACGTCAGGGGCTAATCAAATGGGCCCTAGTGATGTTATCACTTGCGCCCCCGCCCCCTAACTCCCTTGACAAATTAACATACTCTTGATTTGATCCAGATATGAAACGCCTTTCATCTGTTGTCGAGTACATATCCCAAGGAGGCTTAGCTAAGCTTCAACTATAGACCGACACACAAGGGAGACGATCTTGCTGAGCAGGTCTGGGATTATATATTTTGCAGATATCAGTTCATCGTAAAGCGACGCCACCTTACGGCTGTGTATCCTATTAAGAGAAACATAGTGTCATCAAAGAGCACGCGACAATTTTCGAACCGAATGGATATCGCACAGAAGAGCGACCGGAGTAGAGATAAGGATACATTTTACTATACACTTGAACATAATTTTAGACTTGGAAACCCAAGTTAGTTGCATCACGCAACCCCTAGCTCATGGCCGAGATGTTTCAGAAAAGGCCATATGTACGGCGTATTGAATACACTGCACTTTGCTGTGCTACCAGATTCAAGCCGATGGACAGCATAATTTTGCACTGTATATCAGCTTTTGAATGATTAGTGACGGAACGAAGATTCGCGCTATGCGGCGATGGGTGGTCACCGGTGGCAGCCACTTCATTGCTCGGCAATCGCACCGCACTGCACATCAACAAAGGGACCCACTGGTCCGGCCCCGTTATCACCAACTCTTCACCCTCAACTCTCACTCACCTCTACCCCTCACCATCAACACACCATCAATCACCGTCAAACCTCACCTTCAACCTTCACCCTCACCCTCTCCCTCATTCTCAACTGTTACACTCAACACGCGCCATCCTCGAAGTCCACAATACTCGCCTCTCCGGACAAATTAGACCGCCACTCCTAGGCAAGACACAAGCAAGCATTCACACCAATGGAGACTACTTTTGGATTGGAGCCGTCGCCCAGATTGGCCACCACGCTGTCATACACCGAGATCTCAACCGGCCCCATGACTCAATGCTCTACTTCACACTACGCTGAAGAAAATGCCCATCATCGGAACTCAGGGCGTGATTTAAGGCTATAAAATACCCTACGCGAATAAGGAACATGAATATTGAACTCTACAAACAGGCTGAATGGCATAACATACAAAGCCTCATTGGAGGATTCTTGATTTCTATCGATTCTTTGGAGCAGGTCTTGGCTTCTTCGAGATCTCAGACAGACCCGAATACTAGTCTCTGACACCGCGAAGTGGTGCCTGCAATCGCCAGAGGATCAGGACGAGAACCGCGGCGCCACTGGTCGCCTAAACGAGCACAAATTTGATAACGCAGGGCTCAAGGCTGCATGGAAGCTCATGATTATACAATCACAGGGCTCATTGCTGCGAGGGAGAACTTGTTGACGCAGCACTCTCCAGCGGGTCTCCCTTGGTAACGCAGCGGACCCTGCGAGGCAAACTTGATTACGCGGGGCCTTTCCCGCGAAGACTTTTTGGTAACGCAGATCTGATCCTGCGAAGAACACCCGGGTGCTCGGGAGTGTGAGGAGGAAAGTCCTGCTTTTCTTTTCGACCAGAAAAGAGCGTCTTTTATGCCATTCTGAGTAGGGGTTTTGGCAGCGACCACTTGCGTACATTTTGCCGGACCCAGAGATTTCACTCGACATTCGTACCGGGCGGCCGCATTTTCGTAGGGCGTTGAGGCGGTTTATCAACGTTGAAATAAGAAATTTCAAGAGTTCGGGGCGGAGAGAGCGGGTGGAGTGGCACGCCCCACCTGGACCCTTGGCTCTCCTGGGTCTAGGCCTGACTGTTGTGATATGAGGCTGGTGCAGATCAGGAATCAAGCCTAACCATCGGAATTAATCCCGAACTATGTATACGAAGAACCAAGTTGATTTCCAATCAACTTGATCTTCTCGTTGTATATAATTTCCAATCAACTTGATCTTCTCGTTGTATATATAGCCTCATGTTTCCCTCAGAATAAATAACACAATTCATACCTCTGAACTACAACAGGTTATGAGCCCGGCAGCAACTCTCAGGTGCCGTCTCTACTCATCTGAGAATCATCTTGATTACCTTAACTATATATCTACCCCGCTTTCACAGCCATCACCATGTCTGCTATGGTTCACGACTCGCCCGACCGAGCCGTCACAGCCATCGAGCCTTTGACAGGAAGTGACAACTTCGCGACCTGGAAACGTCTCATGACCTAGGAACACGACGAGCGTGGCAAGTCCCGCAAGCACGGCGAAGCAAACGAAACGATCTCACATCATGAAGAAAAAGAAATCAAAACGACAGACAATCTATTTTAGTTCCGTAGAACAGGGAAAAAGGCGTCGCGAAAAGCAGGGTGGGCAGCGGGAAAGATAATAAATATATTCCATACAACCACACCAGATTCAAGAGAAATCTTACGTAAGTGCAAGCAGTGAGAGCAAGGTAGGCAAACAGGGCAAGGCACGCAGATGTGTACGCTAAACCCAAGAGAGCGAAAAAAAGCAGCGAATGAGCAGTGGGCTTGGCGCGGAAGTCCGTAGTGGGAAGGGCAGCAGAGGTTGGTGGAGCGGTCAGGGGTGGTCCTATTCCCTTTCTCTCACTGCGTTCGTTTCAGGGCACCAATGTCTGGCGCTACACATGCCCATCCTCTATTAACGTAATTCCCGCTCGAGTGAGCCACCCGGCCGTGTGGGCCACCCCAAAACACATAGTAAATTCCATTTTCTGTCCCTCTATATTTCAACCACCAATTATCAATTTTGTCTGGTTTAAAGTATATGTACTTTTATATACGCAAGTTATAATATCTCTTGATACTAAGATATTCAGTTCAATATTTTATTGCATTACTGTAAAATACAGAGTAATTTAGACATTTTAGCAATGAATATGTATACCTCCACCTTTAATTGTCTTATTGCTTTCATACTCTATAAATTAGTTACAGATACTATTCAGACTAAACAGGTTTGATTTCCTATTTAAATCACTCGTGGTTGTTGAGATATGAATTTGTAATTTATTGCATTTACTATGTGTTTTGGGGTGGCCCACACGGCCGGGTGGCTCACTGGGCGGGAATTACGTTATGCATTTATGGGGCTTGCCTTGGCCTAACGAAGGCTCAACTTTTTTTTGGCTTTATTGTCGTGCCGTACTCCTTTCTGTTGAAAATTGTCGTCAGCCTTACCTAATTAATATTAACTCAACATTGAAAAGACCAGTGCCTTTACTTGGTATAACTAACTAAATCAATCCCAGTTCCCTATTTTCACTCGCAAATCATCTTATTTGATCTCACTGTACACTGCCGCGTATGCTCGCCCCTTAAATTCTAACGGGTCGTAGGATTTCCGTACATGCTAGTACTCAGGGAACCGATTGAATGAGTTGATTGAAGAACTATCCAGGAGATCGCTGCTGAAAGCGTCTCATGCTCTCAGGAGTTAGTATTAGCGTGTTACACAGCTGGTATTCCGAGTTGACCCGGTTTACCATACAAAAACATATGGAGGAGTGGGTAGTCGCTGAATCAGCTAGTTCTTAGTGGTAAAATACCACCTCTCAGCTTGACAGAGTCTTAAAACTTACTCCAGGGGGTTTTGCGCCAGTCCCTGGCTTGGGCTTTGGGGAGGGCCAGTTGCGATTTCGCCGTCTGCATCATTCCCTTGGGTCACCGTAGCCACTGGCATCTGGCGAACCAGGCCGGACCTCGTGGTGGGCGGATCGAGCGCTGCGTCGGGAGCGGGAGGGCCAGACGCGTCTGTAGACGCGTTCCCTCCGCGCTCGCTGCGCTTCACCAGCATCTTGCCTCGCAGAGGAGGTTGAATGGTTAGTTAATAGGCTGGAAATACTTAACCTCTCTCCTATCAATTCCTCGCTTTTTCCTCTCTAATATTCGGAATCTCAATCAATCAATCAATCAATCAATCATAGCAGGAGAGAACTGCGGGTCACCTGATTAACCAAACAATGCAAACACCATCCCCCAAAAATTACATCATCGGGACAACCAGATGGACCAGAACATGGCGGAATCTCTGGGAGAATATCAAGATCAACCCTTTGAAACTACCGGGGGTCTATGATGGCACAACAACATAACGCTGCCCTAGTCCAAGGCCGTCGGATGCCTAACAAGGTCGACGCTTGGATACTAGGGAGCAGTATTGCGTCATTGGCGGCGGCAGTTCATTTGATTTCGGATGCCAACGTGCCTCCCTCTCAGATCCATATACTCGAGTCTCAAAGTACCCTGGAGACGGCATAACTAGTATTGGTGATCCACTGAACGGATACGATCATCGACCTGGATGCTTGCCAAGTTTCAATGACGTCTGCTTGGGAAAGCTGCTTGCTCTGGTGCCTTCCGCCTGCGGTTCGGGAAGAACAGTCAAAGAGGATATCGAAAAATTGCATGACCATGAAGGCTGTCAAGACGTTCCTATCACACACATCTTGGCTCAAGAAGATGATGGGCCGAAGAGAATGGAAATCGGGAAACTCGGCCTGGGCCTAAAAGATCGAATGAAATTGACGATGCTCATGTTGCGATCCGAGGAAAGGCTGACCAGAAAGCGAATTGATCAGCTTTTCAACAAGCCCTTTTTCGACAGCATATTTTGGATTGTTTTCTCTACTATGTGAGCTGCCTGACGAAAAGAAGACAAAGAGATCGCATAAATGCTAAGAATGAAATATTAGATTTACCTTCCAGCCGTGGCACAGTGCTGCCGAATTCCGCCGATGCCTTCGAAGATACTTCCACGAATTTCGAAACTTGAACACTAAAAAACCATTGGACTGCATTCAATTCAACCAATTTGAATCAATCATCATGCCAATGATCCAATTTCTTCAAAACCAAGGTGTTGATTTCCGACTATGCACCAAGGTCACGGATATTGTAACACATTCAGACCGTGGTACAGAAACCGTTTCAGCGATTAGTATATTGCGCGACAGCTTCCAGGAAACATTAAATGTTCGTCCTGATGACATCGTTATCGTCACCCTTGGATCTGTCACATCAGGCTCGTCGAGTGGTTCCAACAAAAGCCCGCCACCTCTGAAGACAATGATAGCCGAAGATGAGCTAGATGAAAACTGGTCGCTTTGGCTGAATCTGGGAACAAAGTATCCGAGCTTTGGAGATCCGTACAATTTCTGCACTCGCCTCACTGAGTCTAGGTTGGAGACCTTTACCGTTACACTCAAGGATGCTGAGTTCTTCGATCGTCTCGTTAAACTGACATGCGACAAGCCTGGAATAGGGCACTTGATATCTCTAAAACACAGCAATTGGAAGATCAGCGTCTGCATACCCCGCCAGCCGTTTTTCTCTTGTCAACCTGACAACGTACAAATTCTCTGGGGCTATGGCCTTTGTCCAGAACGTGAGGGCAGTTTCGTGAAAAAGCCGATGCTCGTTTGCTCTGGTGAGGAAATAATGGCCGAACTGCTATGGCACCTGGGATTCCCTTTGGAGCCAATCCTTAACAACTCCATCACAATCCCATCTGTGATGCCACGAAGGACAGCATCACTGTTGCCTCGAATTCGTGGAGATCGGCCAAGGGTAATACTAGACGAGATGACCAATCTCGCTGCGATAGGCCAATTTGTGGAAATACCAGATGAGACAGCCGTCAGTATGGATTATGGTGTGCGAGGAGCCCAGTTAGCAGTGAGCCATTTGATGGGTCTTCCTAAGCAACCAGAGGAGGCAAGGAAAAGACCTAGTTTTCCTTTCTTGGATTTGTGGGTTTGATGGAGCAGACAAAAGATACAATTTTAACATCATTCTCTGAAAAAATACAGTACAGTAAGCGCTGTAGCCCTCTGTCAACGAGGCCTTCATCGCCAGTATTTAGACCGCAGGTGCCCTGTGCGGACCAAAATACCTCACTCGTCTTCATTTGTAACAGTGTACACACACACACAATTCATTAACGCCCGGCGGCTGAACCAAAAGGGCAACTATCACTGATCTAAATGTACATGCTTTAGCTAATGCTGTGTCTCCTTGGAGCCCATACAAGATTCCTTTCAGGGTATGTCATCTCAGAATATGATAATCGAAATTAGTTTTACCTGCACTCTCTCTCTTTTTGTTTCCCGGGTCCCATCTCAAGGCACTAGTCCGTATTAGGATATTTATCCATGTATCCTCAATGAGTCAGCGTAAATTACAGTAAGTTCTATAGGATCCGATACGGCGTTCTAGACAGGGTCTTAAATCCCCATGGGGAAAGTGGATCTGGGGCGATCTGGCTTGGTACTTGTGCCCTCCCCTGCCTTTTATCATCGCTGGAAACCTAGTGGAAAGATATCTGAGAATTATAAAAAAACCAAATAATTTCCTAGCTCAACTCAGAGAACAGAAAGTCACGCTAAAGAAATGAAAACAAGGCATAACTAGGGAACAAAGAATATGGGGATTTCTTCAGAATGCAATAAACCGGAATCATAAAGAATCTTAACGGCCTGTCTTGAGAGAAAGATAAATTACATATCAACGCATTCTGTTACTAAACATCCACAGGTGGCATCATCACTATGCCAGCTTCGCATAACAAAAGTGGGTATACGCTAAGCATGGCTATATTCTGCACCAGTGACAGCTTGCGGTGCGACTTCTTCAGTCTTAACTGCGTTGGGACCAGGGCCCTGGTATAGCACATTTTTGGTGGGGAAGTCGTCAGAGACCCTGTCACTGATCTCGTGATGTTCGCTCAGGTCAAGGAACGATATCTGGGACAGGGTATAGGTCTGCATGGCGTGAGTATAGGCTTCCATAGAGCTCTGGGTTGAAAGGTTGCTCGCACTAGTGTTGAAGATGGATAAGGGAATTGTGGGCTGTGGAGTTTGCCCGCTGATGGGGATATTGTCAGAGTTCCTGTCGCTGATCTCATAATCTTCGATTAGGCCAAGAGACGATATCTGTGACAGTGTATGGGCCTGCATGGAGTGAGTATAGGCTTCCATGGCACTCTGGGTTGAAGGGTTGCTCGCACTAGAGTCAAAGTTGGATAAGGGAATTGTGGGCTGTAATGATTTGTTGCGTTACGTATTTCCGGTCACTGGGGGAATCGAGTCGTGCTGCTGTCTGTAAAATCAAAAAAAAAAACTGAGGGGTAGAAACCTATGGAAACTTACTGTAATTTACGCTGACTCATTGAGGATACATGGACAAACGAAAGGCGGCGGATAAATATCCTAATACAGACTAGTGCCTTGAGATGGGGCCCGGGAAACAAGAGAGAGATTGCAGGTAACAGTCACCTCAGGTGGCATACGGAGATGCCTTAAGCCTAAGGCTGACCCACTCCCTCCGGGAGTGGGTCAGCCGGGGGTCAACGAAATTCTGCCCTCAACAATCATGAAATTGCTATTCTAGCTACTACCACCACCACCACCATAAATATTGTATTTTAACATGGAAAGGGGTCATCTATGACGTTTATCGGTATATAATCCGGGTACTTTTGTCCAAAAGTAATTGGTGTAGGCGTAGCAGGAGTGCCTAAAGGTGCCTGGTTTCGGACAGCCGCATTGTATTCCTTTCGTTCATCCTTAGTTTTTCGATCATTTGCAAAACGAATAGCATCTTTGGTAGTCAGAGCACCAAATTTGCCTAATTGCTTTTGGGATTTGCGTGCAATTGTAGGTTTTTTAGGTAATCGGTTCTCTAATGTGTCGTATAAGAGACCAATATCCTCAGTTAACTGAACCTGCGATTTTGCCACACGTTGTATCTGGCGGCGTATATCGGCTGGGACGTCGTCACGGTCAAGTAAACCCTTCACTTTATCGCATGTTCGACGTGCATCAGCTGATGACTTAGGTGGCGAGCTTGGAATACTAGATGCAACCTGTAGTTGTGGTGTTTCGTCGCCATCAAATATCTGAAGCTCTGGCTCAGGGGTTTGCGCTTCCACTAAAGGCTTGATAATCAGGTCTGGATTATAGGGTAGTATACCACGTGTAGCAAATGCGTTACGAATAGTACGTGGTTGCAATGCATCCTCACGAATTTGTGTAATTTCCTCAAAAAAAACACCAATATCGCGTGCATCTCCATCCCATTGAGTAATCTGGTTATTCTTGGTCCGATATGCCTGTTTCAATGCGCGGAATGGAGACCCATCAAGTGGTTGAATAATATGGGTTGTATGAGCTGGACAACAATATGGAATAATGTTGTAGAAGTCACATCGATCCAAAAACTCGTAGGTTAGATGGCTGCGATGCCCATCCATGATCAGAAGCCTAGGCTGTATTCTCTTTTTTGGTAGGCGATCCTTAGTATTAAGGTGGAAAAAGTCCAGCCAATCGAGTGCTAATAGGTCATTTGAATATCCAGTTTCCGAAACTGCGATCCTAGTAGCTTCTGAAAGTTTACCACCTTCATACCACCGCATCAAATGAACTGACCCTGGTGCCACAAAATAGGGTTCCATCTTCCAACCATCAGCCGCAATACATTCGATTCCAGTTAATAACTGGCCTCGTTCAAATGAAGGGGTTCGCGTTCGTTTTGTATTGGCTGAAATAACGTTTTGTGGCCGGCCTTGGCCAAGGGTAAAGCCAGTTTCATCAAAATTATACACATGCTTTGCTGGAATACGCTTGATAAAAGGCTCCAGGCGTTCATACCATGCAGTCAAAACGCCTATATCCTCCCCAGTAATTCGATTTTGATCTGCAGGCTTTTGATGAACCCAATTGAGGTCATTTGGCAAGCGGACGTTGACGAATTCATATACCCAGTCTTTGCCAAGCGGACGTGCGGCGGGGTTATCCCTGCGTAGTAACGCATTTGCACTCACAACCACCATTCCAGCCGTAGGTGGAATATGTAGGTTATCAAGGCGCCGAATCCAGCCTACTAATGACGCTTCTTGATCGTCATTTAGTCGCTTATAGGCCATATGGCGTGTGCTGCGAGATGCGCGACCAAGGTAGCGTGCCCGAAGTCGCTGCATTGGAACGTCGTATTCACGCGCTAACGCAGCGATATTGGGTTTTTTTTGCAACCCTAGCAGCCGAACAAGCGGTTTGGATACGCATTTCAATTGCATTATATTGACTAGGCATGGTGGTGGTGGTGTTGGTGGTCGAAATAGCAATATTGTGATTGTTGAGAGCAGAATTTCGTTGACCCCCGGCTGACCCACACGCGCAGCGTGTGGGTCAGCCTTAGGCTTAAGGCATCTCCGTATGCCGCCTGAGGTGACTGTTAAAACTAATTTCGAATATCACTGTAGCAATGGTTGGAATAGAATGGTGTCTGATCCCGGAATGATAGTCGCAAGGTTAAGTTGACCAACGTGGAAAAAAAACATCCTCGCAAAAAAATGAGTTTCACATGACTGATCCCGCGGTAATAATTAGGTTGAATTGATGCCTCAGATGGTATCAATATTAATGGCTCTTTCAGCTGTAAAAATCCAGGGTATAATGGGAGATATGGTATAGGTTCCACGCACACAACATGGAGGAATTAGAACGCATATTACCCGCGAGAAACATGCTTTATGTTTCCGAGCGCCCAGCCCCAGCTGTACTGTAACAAGCCCTCTTTGGTTGATAATGTTGTAATATGAGGCTGGTGCAGATCAGGAACCAAGCCGAACCATCGGAATTAATCCCGAGGTATCTATACGAAGAACCAAGTTGATTGGAAACCAACTTGCTCTTCTCGTTGTATATATATAGCCTAATGTTTCCCTCTGAACAATAAGATAATTCATACCTCTGAACTACAACAATCACAACTCGACCTGGCATTTTTCGGAGAATCATCTGGCAATTGTAACCGTCGCGGCAATCGACCTGGTCGTGCTTTGCAAGGCGGCTTTTGCCGGCGTGTCCGTGCCACTCGGTGGTGAAATCGGGGAGGCATTCGGTCGGCTCGCGGCTGCATTGAGCATAGCATTGAGGGAAAATAGCCAACTTCATCATAAGCGACCTGACAACATGGTTAGTTGGCTTCCAAACTATCTTAGTGATGAAAACGTACTTGCTAGCTTCGTTAATCAAGCAGGCCATGGTAGCAGCTTTAAATCACCATCTGCATCGTGACACGGCCGAAGCAATTTGCCGTTGGATACAATCGATCTAGCACCAATTATCAGCAGCTGGCGCAAGATAGGTGTTCGCAACTCACCGTACTCGTGGCCTAGATGAGATCCCCTTATACCAGCCACAATACACTATTCCGATCGAACTCGTGGGAACGGCCGAACCAGGGCTGTGTTTCACTGCCCCTCCATGTCAGCACGATTTCTGGTGACTGAGGGTAGTACAGACTTGCTGTCAGTGTAGTTTGGCATCAGCATAGGCAAGCCAGGTACGAGTTAGCGGGCTCAGCTCGATTACACATGCACGAGGGCCCGGGATCACTCCGTATCGCTGGAAATGGATGTTGGCAATATCTGCCAATGCATAGCTGTTTCGTCTTTGCTCTTCGTGTGACAGGCAAATCTTCAACCGTGTCAGGACAAAGTACCACTGAAGGAGATATTCATGGTATTTGGTCTAGGGTAAACTAGTAGCTGACCTGAAAGCGACTGCTCTCACGGCGAGAGATCTGGGGTAGATCCAGTGCTGCAGCCTGGCTTGTCGCTTGCTCAGCTACAACCAGGCTTGACAGCGCTGACCCTCAGCTCGTGATCGGTAATTTGATGCATCATTGGTTGGCTCTGCTCTCATAAAGACCGTGGTCTCTCTCGGTGGTCGTCGATGCTAGACTTCTCTTCGTTGTCATCGGATGCTGCGATGGCTCACTCAGTCTAGTATGGGACCGGGTCATGGCTGCCGACGAGGCTTCGGATCGGACGTGGGCAAGAGGTTCATAGCCGTCGGAATACGGAAATTTCCTAATGCAGGGACAGTTAACCTTTGATCGGACAGGATAATGCAGGAGGGATCAAAACACTTTGGAATGCTACTTTATGGCTAACCGGAGGGCCTCAAGCCTTCCTGAATTGGGCCCGCTAAATACGCCAGGCGAAGTGACCGTTTCAACCAGGACTTTAGAAACAACGAAGGCGCAAGCTTACTAGGAGTCAGTGGCTTGGCCCATCAGGCTAGTGCACCTGGCATAGTTTCAAGGACGATTGGGGAATACGGCTCGGTCGTGTCGAGTACAATATTGACATTCGCCCTATCACGAGAAAGAGACATCAGCGATATTTTCTGAAGAATAGAGAGCCACAAACAGATAGATTCCGCACTGAGGCTCAAAATGCAGTCCCGGGCATTGGGAATAGGCAGTGGCAACGCGTGGGGCAACTCACAAGACATGGGCTGGCCCATGGTAAAACAATCGGCTTCCTATACGGAGAATCGTCAGCACAGGCTAACTACTCTCAAAACTGCCATACTGATCGAAACTTACTTTGCCAGCTACTGCTGCGCGCGGCATTCTAGTTTGGTCAACTCGGCTTGGTAGTGGATGGTTTCGATCTATGATAAACCATCAGTAGGTAGTTTACGGGGGCTGAGTTTATTATCGAGACCATTCCAGGTCCGTTGATTGAATTCCGAGAGGAACAGCCGAGACGGAACTGATATTAAACATCTTCCACGTTAGCATGGTCTCAAATGATCGGGTAACTAAACTTACCTGTCGTTAACAGATTCCAGTGTCGAGCATAGACGGACTACGGGCGATACAACAGGTCAGTTCGATCACAAGTGCATGACATTTCGGGGTCGGGTCAGTCCATACTGGAAGAGAGCAGCTGGCGAAGTCGAGAAGTGTTCGATATTCTTTGCTCCAGGATGACAAGGGAATGCTTGAGAACGACCGTTCTGCTGGCGAGAGTTCGGGTACTTATAGCATTGTGCTCAGCCCTTACCCTTGCCCTGATGTAATGATTGCTGCGAATTGTGAGGGTCTCAACACCGCTGACCTCAGATCTCAGCTGGTTCAACATTTACCCATTGATCTGATGCAGTATTCGGAGGCATCGCGGCTTTTTCTTGATGATTGAGTATATCAAAAAGCCTCCCTCACTGTTGGCACCGTTTCAACACCCCCGGTGGTCCGCAGAAAAGCGCCGACGACGTGTTTCAACGGCCGTCAACATGGCGAAAAAAGACAAAGAAGATAAAATGCGATATCTAGGTTGTGGATAAGAGGCTCTGCGAACCACATGGTCTCTGTCAACGTCGCATCATTTTCTTAGTACTCCGCACGGGCTTCAACTGGCCTTTTCTATTAACATTGCACATGAAAGAATCATCTATCTGACCACCGCGTTGGATGTTAATGCTGCGCTCTCCGTATTCGAAAGCTCTCCCTTGGACCTATTCTGCGAAGCTGCTAGCTTCGCCAAAGTATGTGCTCAATTTGCATTTTAATTCTGCGCAGTACTGAACTTTTTCGCACTACAATGTTGATGAGGAGCTGTTGAAGTTCAGAGCGCATATTGGCGGTTCGCAGGATAATTTCCTGCTGAACGAGAAGTGAAGGAATTTTGGTCCTTGTGCCTATTAATCGGAAAGAGGGGAATGATTATATTCTCATCAACTTCAGTGATAATAATTTACTTACACAGGATGGTAAATGGTAAAGTGATCAGGTTCAGGTTCTCACGGAGCTGGTTACTAACTTTGTTGCAGGATATATGAGTTCGGGAAAGTTCCGCTACATCGATGATTCTGGTTCCAACTTGGAAAATCGAGTCGTTGCTTTCCATGTCAAGACTTAAATAAGGACAGACTTGGTTACTACTTAGAAGTGACAGCAGCTGGAATTTTTTATTTCCCCTACCCACCTAGTACATAGAGGACCAAGTTTTGAATCATCACTTCAGTCGTGCCATAAATGATTGAGAAGGATGAACAAGGCGTGGGCCTGGCTCAAAAAAATGACCTAGGCGCAACGTCCGATATCTTGAAAATAAACGTCGTAAAGATCGTAAACTCCTTTTGACGCATCAAGTGTGTATTAAGGGTAATGAAAGATGAAAGATGCCGAAGATGTGAAAAGAAATGATAGAGGAACTTCTAATTCGAGTGGAACTTTTTCAGCCGGCTGTACCATATATTCGGGAGACACTTCATGTCTTCACCAATCTGATGGCATGAAGGATATCCTCCAGGGACCACCCCGGTCCACCGGGAACGATCTCGACCCAGACTTCCTCCGGAACCACATCGCCAGGGCCCAGAAGACTCCAGTTCCGGCTGGGCTCAGGCCTAATCCATTTGAAATCTTCAACCTCATTCCAGTGGTCTTGGTTATCAAGGTGGTCATGGTTCAGGGCCTAGATAGGAGCATTAGAATGGATATCCGGGAACAGAGTAGAATGTAAAGCTTACGTATGCCTTTGGTATACGGCCAAGTCGGACATTGGAACATTCTTCGATGATGGGATTGCTCGAGCAACTGATGTAGACGTCATCGTCGGTACAGTTGTGCATGTGGAATTGGCGACATGAAACCACAATTATACTGTGCTCTACCTCGGTGATATATGCTGGTCCGTTTACTTGGCCGCAAATCAGCAAGCTCTCTGGGACGCCTTTGACAGTCAGACTAGCATAAGGATTCCCGTCTGTGTTGGAATCGTCATGTCAATGATACAATGCCGTAGAGAGGTAATAGATGCAGGAACCGTAGACGTTGAACCCAAAGCTGGGAGCATTATGTGGAGGTTGTGATGATTTTCAACAGAGACAGAGGATACTCCACTAGCTGCGAATGCCGGGACAGGCTCCGACTCTAGTTGAGATTTAGCCTGCACCTCTGTGGGCGAGATTCCCAGGAATGAAGTTGGCTCAACTTCTGGCCACTCCTGCCGCTGTTTGTCTGGTTCATTGAAGGGGGTGGATGGGTCACTCGAACTTTGGTTGGCAGAAACCCGATAGACGATGTACCTGGGGAGCGGTCGCCTGGGATACTGCGACAGCCTTCAGTGGCCAAAGTAGCGACGTCGGAGAGAGAGATGGAGAGGGGCATTCTGCTTGGTCTTGAAGCTTAATTGAGACTGAGGTTCGAATACAGTACGCGTCTCATTCAGTTTGTCCTGCAGGGCTTTGATTGCCTTGACGAGGTAAGAGCAACTTCCCCATGCAGTGATATTGTTAACTCTGCGCACCTCTGCATAGACCCTCTGACCATATGTAGGAATGTAGCTCGCTGCATCATTGACCTCATTGGATAGCCACACGATTCCGGCTAAACAGTGATCTGTGACTTCAGCACGCTCACCATCGACTAGCGATTCATGAGCGAAACCATCCATCTTCTCCTGCAAGGCTAAAAGAAGAGTATTAGTTTTATCTATTTTTATTTACGGGTAAGTGCTCTTGGATATGCTTCTGTATTAATGGGGATCGGACTATACCAGTGATTTCACGTTGAAAGTAAGGGAAGAAACGTTCTTTCAAAGGAATCTCAGCCTTCGAGACGATTTGTTTGTCAGCCGACAATCGGTGAGCATGTTGCAGTTCCGGCTCCACCATCGTGAGCGATACGAGTAGGCAGATGCTATAAAGGTGGGGATGGGAAGCTATAGCTTTTGGGAAATCGGAACTTGGAAAGCTCTCAGGCGGGGGATGCCACCCACAGTCCAGAGTCAAGACAGGATTAGACAATGGGGCAGATAGGTAGTAATGGGATATAAGTGAAGCTGCAGCAGATGTGCTCCAGTCAAGCGCTGTTAATATACGCAACCCACGCAGGCGCGGTTGTGTCTCTTGTGGTATGAGGCTGGTGCAGATCAGGAACGAAGCCGCACTACCGGAAATAATCCCGATGTGTGGACATCGCCGAAGCACGCCGCATTGCGGACGCGGCCGTGGCCATCGCCGGTGCAGCGGGTGCAGGCGTGAAGGATTTCCTTCTTGGCAGTGGGGAGCCGGGGTTCGTGCGCGAGCTTTGGGGTTTGCGGCTATGGAGTTGATGAATTCGGGCGTTCTGGCTTTGGAGCAGGGGGCGGATTCGAAGATTTTGCTTGGTGGGTCGACGATTCCAACCCGTAGTGATCGGAGTAGTAAGGTTCGGTTGAGGGTTGCGGCGTAGAATGTTAGGTCTGCTTTTCGGGAGGATGGGGAGGCTAAGGGGTTTGGGTTGGGGATTGAGCAGTGAGTTCCATTTGTGGGTAGGTGGACTCTGTATGAACAAGTATGATATATTTGTGGGAAGTGATACTCGTGGTACATTATGGGAGTTTTGTTCCTGTTGGTGTTTATTCTAGTTTTGTTTTCGTGTTGCCGCCACCGGCATGAGGGCTGTGGTGGTTAATTGCATACTGTGATACCCTTATTCAGAAGGATCCTAGACAGGATACTAAGTAGGTGCGTACCTAAGTAACTACTAGTAGATGTGTATGTGTATTGCTGATCCCGTGGATTGACAACTTCTTTTGAAAATTGTATATAGTACTTGTACATGAGATATTATTCTTTTGATCCACTTTCCAGTAAACAATTCCACAATTCCCCGGACTGAATCTCCCAGGACAATTTACAAACCCCGCTAAACTCCATATAGTGCCGTATAGAAAAGGAGATGACGAAAATGAGACCAAGCAGCCAAGTAGGTAGGGAGGAAGGAAGGGTATTAAAGGAGACTCGACTCTGAACAAAAGGTGCGTCTATAGGAGACTCGCGCCAAGCATAGCACCATCTCGCTCTAATACCGGGTTCGACCTAAAATAGGAGCCCAGGCGACAGGGTGAGTCTCAGGTGTGGCATTTTCATCCTGCTTCCACACCTTGATAGCCTTATCCGCCTCGCCGGTGATGAGACGAAGACCGGTCCTATCGAATGTCGACGCCATGATACCCGCCTCAGCATCGAGGGAACCAGGCTGGGCCATCGTATCGATAGATTGGAATTGATGTGCAGTCTTCCAGTCCCAGAAGCACATGGAGCCATTGTCACCGCCGGAGAATATGACATTTTCATCATTGACCGCCAGCGAGTTGATGACGGCGTTTTGGCCGTCGAAGTTCTGTATGAACGCTCCTCGGGACACTTCCACTGCTTGATACTACCGGTGCTGGCACTGGCGAAGGTGAATTCAGTCGGGTGGGTCGCAAGCGCACGAACACCCTTCTTGTTGTGCGTCAATACGCTCATCGATTTTCCAGCTGCAAGATCCCACAACCGCACGGTCGCATCCAGAGAGCCGGAAATGATCTGCGGATCCGCTTCCTGACACTTGATATCCGCGACTGTGCCCTTATGGCCCGCCAGAACGTGGACGTTGCTTCGAGTTCGCATGTCCCAGACACGGCACACGCCGTCCCGACCACCCGTCACGAGCAGGTCGAGATTCGGGTGCAAAGCAAGCGTGTAAACACCACTCAAATGGCCGTGGTAGTGGCGGATAACCTTGTTTGTCTCCAAATCCCAACATTTCACCATCTTATCCTCTCCGCACGAAAACAGATACGGGTGTCGCGGCGACACCGCCAGTCCGCGCACCGTCGAGATATGGCCCGTCAGGGTGAGTCGGAGGTTTCCAGTCGCCATATTCCAGATTTTGATCGTGCGATCGCCTGCTCCACTTGCGAACCATTGGTTATTCGGCTCGACCGCCAGTGCCCGCACCCAGCCCAGATGGCCGGAAATCACGCGCATCAGTTTCCACGGCGCGTGCCAATCTGGCGATTGTTGCTTGGTTGCTGAGGGTCTGGCGATCAGACTCTTTGGCTGATACTCGCTGCCTCCTGCTAGACCGGCGCCTCCTGCTCCCGGCGGTGGTCGCTTGACGAGCGGCATTGATGCTCCGCTCTTGTCTCCGGAGCCTTGGGCTTGCTGCGCGGATTGGATCTTGGGACGCTTGCTGCGGCTGCTTGCTGCGGCTGCTTGCTTCGCGGCGAGGACTGGGGGTAATTCCTTCACGTGCTCGTATTCTGCCTTTCGTCGGTAGGAGAAGCCGATCGAACCGTCTGTCGTGATGGAGGGCGTGACCATTAGGTACTCTGAGCCGAAGAGGTCGGTGGCTCTCTTTGCAGAGGCACGGACAGCCTCTTCGGCTGACTGGGAGGGTGCGAAGTCCATAATGTGCGAGGGATTAGTGGGGAGGTCGGTGAAGGAAGGGCTTAAGACGGTTCTGGCGCGATAACTCCTAGGTTTCTTGCGCGAGGTGAAAACCCTGCGCCGGGTCGCGAGTTAAGTTTAGTGGTGTGGTGAACTCAGCGCATCTAGGAGCTCTGGTTTCAGATGGGGATTCGAAGAGTCGAGAGGAGGTTGGGTTGCGGAGTAAGGATGGAAATTCTCTCGCGATCGGGCTGGACTCTTCCAGTTTGAATAGCACCTTCGTTGGTTACTTGATGCGCCGTGGAAACAGCATGATCATCGGAATCAAAGTAAGTGCGATTCTTCTGGTTGTCAGTCGGAACTCCTTTCATAAAGTTGCATCACATTGCATCACAAATACCTTGGATTGTTCCCGAGTAGATCTCCATGAGGCCGCTTTTCAGATGTGCTGAACTTGTGATTCTTTTCACATCCAGAGAGTGGCTGGGAAAATGTGATTAGCACTTCTGCTCAATATAAGACATAGAAAAGTCTTACCACGGAACACGATTTCTTGTCTCCTGGTTCCATTCTGAGATTGTATTCAAGATGTGAACAAGCACAGGACATAAACCGCATCTGAATCAGGCTTTCTGTATATATATTTGCCACAACCAGATAGACAAAGGTGTCAATGACGCAATATGTCAGGATTAAGTTACAGCTTGTCCCGATCGGGATCAATCATTTCTTTGTTGCCTGATGGACGAGGCATAATAGCTCGTGAATGGCCCACTATTTTTTGCGACCATGATTCGGTCACTATCGTCATTTAGGGGATTGTATGGAAGGAGGTGAAAGTCTGCTCAATTTAAAACACCTCGAAAAAACTAACTAGTGAAAGATGGGAATACTCGCTGGCAGTCTGCGTTGGCAGACGGGTCGATCGCAAGAGGACAAAACCACCACACTCGCAGAGTGCAGGAGAGTAGTAGACAAAGCGGTGCCCTACTGAGAAAACAGCATTCAGAGCATTCGAGCCCCTAGCATAACCGCAGCGTGCATCCGAATAACGAGGATAACATTGGTGACCCGAAAGGTGGATGGTGAGTTAACTATTATCGAGGGCTTATATACTGCATGTAAGGCCTAAGGCCTACAACGTCACCTGACATCACCAGAGCGATTCCCCCACTACACTAGTTATTTAACAACAAATCACGCTTACAAAGTGTATTACTTATAATGTCAGTATGAGGAATTAATGTACTGGCTAGTACTGAACATGTCCGATAGAATCAGATTATTGATTGATTGTTAAGATCGGTTGAACGATCTCAGGGTCTCTATATTCGAACTATGGCGTGTTATGACACCATACTAGGAGCAAATTGGGTGAATGATGAATAAGCCGGTCCCGAAGGGTCTTAGTTGTATTCGACCACTTCTTCAGTTCGTCATATAATGCCAAGCAATCGGACGGTGTAATCGACTAGTAATGTTATACTTGGTTGCGATACTATTTTGTCGGAGCAGCTGTAGGCCTAATTAGCATGCATCAATGAGATAGCAAGGAGTCTTAATTTGAAGTGTCCCTCGTACCATACAGTTCTGTATGGTGTCGACCAAGGAGGGTCGCAATTTTACTAGTGCGCCGGAGGGATATTCAGCACCCCCATAAGCCTGTTTTCAACCATGTTTGCATGACTCTAAACGATCTTACTAAACCCGCATCGCATATATACTGTACTTTCCATAGTATTCAAAATCAAGACTCTCAAGTACTCAATTAGCTATCCCCGTACTAGACCGTCTGTAACGACGACGTTCTGACAGACTGTATTAATTCCCTTCTTTCCGTGATGAATTACGTCATATGCCTAAAGGCAGAAGATGACGCGTGCGTGACGAACACGACACGCTAGTTTTGTAATACAGATCAGAAGGTATAAAGGCGTTACGATTTTATTCGCGCATTGTTCGCTATTATCAATGAACAAATATATTCAGAAGTCAACTGATGAGCTAGGAACCCCGACATGTCCAATACTGAAGAGAACCTGGATGCTATGAATCGTTAGTGGACTAATTGGCAACTAACGCTGAGGGTCTATGGGCAACGCTAATTACAAAATTTTCAATGCAGGGGACTAAACAGCCCAAATGTCTCAGATGAGGTAAAGGGACCCGATCAAGTACAGCTTGATCAAGACATTGGCCGCGACCAGTCCTGCAAAATGCTATCCAATGTTAGAGAGGTGGTCAAAACAAAGACTTAAGCAAAGTCCCTGCTGGACCTAAAGCGTCAGTGCTGAAACCAAAGAAAGTGGCTACAGTGATGTGATATGGCTAACAACGCTAATTTACTTAAGAGCTCAGAATAGTCCTGGCGTAACCAAAATGGACAAGAAGAAGGCATACGAGGAACTGATTCGGATGGGTGGTGAATCTCCCGAGGAATAATGATCCCATTCCACGCGAGTAGTTCAATATCAGCTAATACGGGGATCCTTAAGGTATCACTGCGATCACAATGTATAATGGGGGTAGTTTTATCTAGTTGCCTTAGCTTTTATGACTTAAAAAGAGCAATATTAACACGCTGCACCCAGGTGTCTCATAGAGTGCTTGAACTCCTTTATGGCCGTGTCGACGTCATCGAATGTTAACACAGAGAGCGCTCAGTGAGCATGTTTCTGTGCCAGAGAGATAGACTGTTCGTCGACTGACTGTGATGGTTGACTTGGTGATCCAGTGCGCACATGAGCCAGAGATGCACGTAGAACTGGAGGTGGACCGGACGGCACAGCTGTAGGATGCGGAATATGAGAGCTAGCGCCCGATAGCTCATCGAAGGAAGCTGGGGCCGGTACGGCGACTGAAGAACTAATGGCTGGTGGTGGAAAGGGGTGCAGGGTACGCAAGGCATCGGCTCCGCTGAGGGTTGAGGCCCCGGGAATACCTGGTAGGTTTGGCACTGATGAAGAGTACCCAATTGTCCCCGGGAATGAGGAGAGTTCTAAGTCTCCTAGTTGTGGGTTGCTGATGTCCTTTGTTCGCGCAGGAGAACCAGGGATATCGCCGAGTACAGAAAGAATATCATAATTCGACGTTGCAGGCGGCCACTAAAGGGATGAAACTCGGGAAGTATGAAGCGATTCATCAAGAGACAATTGCTGGGTCAGCTCCCGCCCTTTTAGATGGCCGGATTCTTCTGGGATTTCCTCGATTGGCGGCTGTCTGGATGGAGAGGGCTGTTCCGCTACCGATCCATCGAGTGTTCGAACATCCTGACTGGCGATTGATTCTTGTTCTTCCTCTTCCGGAACAGGATTCGTCGCATTGGGATCTTCACCATTCTTTATTGCCTTCATAATTCGGACTGCATGATACTTTCCGAACTTGATCCTTCCGGCAATCTTCGGGTCCAGAGCCCCCCAGATTTGACGTAGTTCGAGAAATAGAGCCGCCACCTGTAACGTATCTGCGGTTTGCCTAGTAAAATCAGAGAAGAGACATGTTGGTAGCCACAGGCAACATTTGAGAGCTCACTTCGTGACCTTTCTAGCGTTCATAGCAGCTTCAGCGAGAGCAAAGACTTCCAACCCAAAGCACTTCACCAGTGCACTCGCCGCGACGCTATCCACCACCAATTCATCGCCAGAATGCTCGCTTTTGAACTATTCCACAGCGTCGTTGTAAGTCACGTAAAGAGCAGGTAAGGGGTCGAGTTGGGGGATTCGGCGAACCTGCTCAAGCTTATCCACCAGATTGGTGATGTAGATTTGAATTTCATCGTTGGAATTATGAAGACCCCGTCCGATGATCTGATTTACTATGTGAAATTTGCCTGCGATATTGGCGATTCAGTAAGGTCCAATATCTACTGCAACTTCCAGGGGGTTGAGACTCACACCAGTAGGAAATCACGGGCTTGGCCTTCTCGATCTGGGCTGCTCTCATGGCAAAGAGGCCAATTTTAGTGGATCTCAGATCCACTGGAATAATTTTAGCCATGTCCGACGTGTGGGATAGGAAGCTCCAATTCTCAGGAGCCCGAGTTTACATATTATTTTGTCATCCTGATACGAACTACCCATGAATTAGGGTCAGACCTGTACCTCTAATACCGGTCGTGAACAACAGAATTCCCAGACAACACATCCATCTCACAACACTTTACCAAGAGGTTATGAGCCCTAATTTCTCATTATGGATAGCAAATCAAGACATCGTAAACTCAAACGAACGAATTATCACTCTTGGGGACTGGATGCCAGCAATCAACTCACTGGCCTCTCAGCACCCTAGTGAAGGCACCGAGCCTGTTGACCCTGTCCAAATGATTTAATTTCAAGAATGCAGACGCTCTTCGATCTTGAGTTCCCGCCAGCAAAATTTGTCCTCGGAACTGATAATACTAGCAAAAAGAGGAGGACCATGTTGGTGAATCAAACAAATTTAGCGCTTATCATAACGGCTACCCATGGCTTTATTATGGTCCTTGACTTCTTTCGATTTTGATTTAGAGTCCAATTCGCCACTCTCGGTATTAGGTCCTTCACGGTGCATTTTGAGGCTGTAGTATTCATCATGACTTTTGGTTTCATCAGCTACGGAGGACGGCATGGGCAGTTCTAAACAATTATATATCTGTGAGCTATCAATCCGAATTGCATAAGGTTCATGACAACAGGAGAGCAGAGCCATGCTCACTATATTTAACTTTGCTGTTCGAATCTTCTTGGTTTGGATCGGCTTTCGATGACCTTTTGGTATCATGTTCATGATCCTTTGTGTTGGTTGCCATACCCTTGGACTCGTGTTGAAGGAAGATAGCTGATCTTGTAGTGCGGGCCATACTGTCTTGGCGGCAGCGACTTACCAACAGGCTTGTTGGCGCGCCTCGTGTGAGTCTCATTTGGTTTAGGATCTGCATTGTGACAATGTGCAAAATAAGAATTCAGCATAAATTTGGAATCAGCGAGTTCTTTATCTTTGAAATGATAGTAGCATGGCGGTGGCAAAACTGAGGTCTTGTATCTTTGGGTGAGCTAACCATATGACGTCTCGGGTAAAGATAAGATTTCAGAGAAAGTATCACAGCCAGGGTACAGCCAATCGCTGAACCCTCTGTCGCCGCTATTCAGCAGGCTGCTCGTCATGGGTAGGCCATAGAGTTACTCTTGAAGTAATGCCACATAAAAGCCCAGTCAATCTATATAGACTTTATCATATTTGCATTAAATGGGGTGAAAGTGCGCCCACTCGATGTTTGGAAGACAACGGGAGATGGGGCAAATATTGGAGGAGAGGAAATGATTTGACGCGGAGTTAATAAAGTTTCGTAGGATTCCCTACCTAGCTGAACTTAGTGTCTACTGATTAGCCAGCTGTTGTTTCGTTCTTTGTAACCAATCTTTTATTTATGGCATATCCCAGCACTCGACCCCATCAATTTATGCTTGGGGAGTCATGTCATGGTCATACCTGGAAATAGATTCCGCTTGCAGTTCCATATAGCTTCGTCGTTATTTAGACCCTGCATCTTATGGTGGGAAGTGGTCGCATCATCATGACGGGGGGAGTTAACGGACTTTTGCAATACTTGATAGCCCCCCCGCCCGCGGAAAATATTTTATTAATCTTTTGCGCCCGAAAATAATCTTCTGTCATCTCTTTTACAGGCTCTATTTGTGTCTAGAGATACAAATATTCAACCACAATGGTCGGAGGGACTACAAGACAGTCCAAGGTTTTCTATCAGGGCCAGACTGAGGACTTCGTCATATTTGTTGCGGACATAGTCACCGCGCAGAAATGGAAAACATATCATTCAATCCCGCTTGAGCAGGTGATGGATGTGTGGAAGATCTACTCTTCACATCAGTAGGTGCCCGCTCCTGAATCCTTGTATATTGCTCCATGTCAAAGAATATATACTGGCACGGGCATTAAATTTTGGCCTCGTCGGCAACAGAGCCCTATAGGCGCGAAGCTACCTGCTAACGATACCTTGAAAATTTACTAGACATGGACCTCAAGGGATGCATAATGAAGCCAGCAAGGCTACTCTTGAGCATGAATTCGGGACATCCAACGATCGGGAGGTCATCTTCCATATCTTGGAGAAAGGCGAGCTCCAGGAAGGTACCGTACGTAACAATCTCTCTCTTCGCCTGCTCTCTTCAGGAGCACTATCAGATCAATCATTATCCCGTATTACACAGGATCTCAACAAAAAGCCATTTTCTTTAAGACGAGTTCTAATCATCCTACTAATACTAAATGCAGGCCTCTGAACGACAAGCAGTTAGGAACGAGTCACAAGGATCACGAGGCATTCATTAGAGTCCAATTGAAGACAGATCATTGTGAGGCCCCTTATCCCTCCTCGTATTATCGAGACTGTCATTCGCACTTTATGACGACCAATTGAATAATCCCGCCAGCACCATAATCTTATCTTCGCACATTTTGAGAAGATGGATCTGAGATTGATTATCCTAATGACCATAGTATAATGAAACTGTAATTGTATCTACATCATCACTTCTTAGAGAGCGTCAGTGCTTCATACTAGTAGTCAATAGTCAACACATTCTCCCCCAATCGTCCCAAGTAGTGGAATTAAGCTGGTGTGGGTCTCAGGAGCCGTTGTTTCTTTAGGAACAGCGGGCTTTGGGTTGACAAATTTACCCGATAAGGACCGACAAACAGAAGTGAGGAAGATAAATAATTGGCTGGCATGTAACATACTTGACATCTTAGCATATTGAAGGCTTTGCTCGTCCCTCAGTGTCAACTTCGCTCGTTAGGAATGAGGAAAATATTTCAGAAATTGTGCGCAGAATATCTTTGTACTGTTAAAGGGTCAAATTGGCTTAACGACCGTACTGGGACTAATTTCTCACCTTTGTTGTCACCGTGGCTTCGTCATCGGGTATTTCAAATTTCATATTCCGAAGTGCCGACCAGGTAGTGGCGGTGGATTCTTTGACTTTTACCCATTTGTGGCCTTGGGAAATGACCCATTGGCTCTCATCATGAAAAAGCATAAAAGCCTTCATCATATACTCGGTTTTCCAGAGAGGGCAAAATTGGTCATAATCACTATAGCCGTTCTGCTGTAGAAAATCTTCTTCAATCATTGAAGCCACATCAAGTGTAATTTTGTCGTGGTCATTAAGTGCAGCCTTGCCGACCAGTTGTACGAGCTGTCTCAAAGCTTCAGAGTTCGATAGAAGCTTCTTCATTTTGTCCCTTAGCTGTGGGAACCCAGGGTGGTGCTTCTCATAGTGCCGTTCTAAGACTGCTGAGTATTTACTGTAAGATAAGGAGATGTTGATGGAAGGAAAATGTTTCCTCTGCGCGAGCTTTTTGTCCAGACCCCAAAATACCTGAACAATACCAAGGGTGCAGCTAGTGACGGGGTCTGAAAAATCCCCACCGGGAGGGCTCACTGAACCTATAATACTGATGCTACCCGTCCTTTTCGCACTGCCGATAGCCAGAGCTCGCCCTGCACGTTCATAGAATGAAGCCAGCTTGGAACCTAGGTAGGCAGGGAACCCTTGGTCTGCAGGCATTTCCCCGAGGCGACCAGAAATCTCACGTAAAGCTTCGGCCCAGCGAGAGGTAGAATCCGCCATTAGCGTTACATTTTTGCCTTGATCGCGGAAATACTCCGAGATAGTAATACCGGTATATATTGAAGCCTCGCGGGCGGCGACAGGCATGTTGGAGGTGTTAGCTACCAGGCAAGTTCGGCTCATTATAGACTCCATCTTTCCATCCTTGTTTATGGACAGCTATGCCTCGAATTAGAATAGCAATTCTCGAGGACCGGTACGGTATTCTTAACATACCCGAGGAAACTCCACCAAAACCTCTGTCATTTCGTTACCACGCTCACCACATCCAACATAGACAATGATATCGCTGTTTGAGAATTTGGAAATGCTTTGGCTGATGACCGTCTTGCCGCTTCCGAACGCACCAGGGATACATACCGTGCCGCCCTGTGCGCATGGGAAGAGAGCATCGAGGACTCTCTGCCCGGTGAAAAAAGGGGAATTGCAGCACAAAATTTCCGTGACGGGTCGAGGAACGCGTACCGGCCAAACATGCATCATGCTATACTCTGTTTCGTTGCCATCGAATTCGATTGCCAAAAGCTTCTCGATAACTGTGTAGCTACCCGCCTCCGCTATTCGCGTGATCCTTCCCCTTGCACGCGGAGGAAGCATAATTTTGTGGTCATCAAGTAGGATATTCTCGAATACACTTCCCCAGATATCACCGCCAGTGATGTGATCCCCAACTTTGAATGTTCCCGGCTTGAAGTCCCAAGTCTTTTCGCGGTTAAGTGCAGGAACGTCAATCCCACGTGGGATATAAATACTTTTTGTCAGGCATGAAATAGCCTCCAGAGGCCTTTGGGTTCCGTCGTAAATAGTTCCCATCAGTCCAGGCCCAAGTTCGACAGTCAGAGGCTCTCCTGTGCCGATGACAGGGTCACCAACTGCTACACCACCTGCCGGTCCGGTCATATGACGTCAGCAGCGGAAAGTGAGTAACGAACGGATAAAAACGTACTTGTCTCCTCGTAGATCTGTATGGTAACTTTATCGTGCTCTATTCTAATGATTTCTCCGACTAAAAAGTCGTAACCTACCCGACACTGTAGAAAAGTTAGTCAAAAAATTCTTAGCATGTTGGACTCATAATCACTTACAAGCTCGTACATACAGCTGCCTCGCATATTCTCTGCAATAATAATAGGTCCTGAAATAGAGAATACTGAGCCGGTTTGGCCATTTTCCTTGTATAACTGTTCAACCCTCGACGCCATCGCATATGTTTTCGTAAGTACCGGAAGTTGTGGTACGTGAGGTATTTTGTGAAAACTTGTAAAAATGCGGTCGAAGATGTGTCGGAGAAAATCAATACATTAACTTGGCGGCGACTTGAGGGCCTTTCGTTGGCTGTGGCTTGCTTATATGCCAGGTACAGAACGGCACCAAATTAAGAATCGTGAAGTTGATTATTGCAAATTGACTGCGGTCAGGCGCTGCCATTTATACTGAAGGTTTCAAATATTGGTGTTGCGCGAAATCATTAATTACCTGTGCGGCTGTGCCACCCACCCACACCGACCCCACGCACTCATTGTGGGCGGCTAGTTACATCATCATGACTGTAGTCGTTACCTTGACACTATCTTCTAGCTTTTCCTGACGATCTGAATCCTTATGTTGGGAAATCTATCTAGGCATGTTTAAACACACATGGCGGCTATTTAGTCGCTCCATCAATGATGCTTGCACCGCTAGGGTTAACAGATGCTTCGACCGCCCAACAGCAGGTTTAATATCTTCTCACAAGCAGCTTTGTTCGTACGCTACTAACGCCAAACCATCCACTGAAGTCTCTTCGATGCTTCAGCAGAGGATACACGACATTAAGGAGACATCTGACCTTCCAGAGGAAGGCCGAGTTTTGTCTGTCAGTGACGGTATAGTTCGTGCACATGGATTGACTAACATTCAAGCTGAAGAGCTTGTCGAATTTGCCTCCGGTGTGAAGGGTATGTGCATGAACCTAGAAGCTTCTCGTGTCGGTATCGTCCTTTTTGGTTCGGATCGCCTCGTCAAACAGGGCGAGATTGTCAAGCGAACTGGCGAGATTGTCGATATTCCTGTTGGCCCTGAGATGCTGGGTCGAGTGGTGAACGCACTCGGAAATCCCATCGATGGAAAAGGGGCCATCAAAACCACCGAGAAGAGCCGGGCTCAGCTCAAGGCCCCTGGTATTCTACCTCGCCATTCCGTCAACCAGCCCATCCAGACTGGCCTAAAAGCAATTGACGCCATGGTACCCATTGGCCGCGGTCAGCGTGAGCTGATAATCGGGGATCGTCAAACTGGGAAGACGGCCATCGCTCTGGACACTATACTAAACCAGAGAAGATGGAATGGCTCCGACGCCGAGACTGACAAGCTGTACTGTATTTACGTTGCTATCGGCCAGAAGCGCTCAACGGTGGTCCAGCTTGTCAAGACCCTGGAGGTGAATGATGCCATGAAATATTCGATCGTTGTCGCAGCTACAGCTTCAGAAGCTGCTCCTCTTCAATACCTTGCGCCCTTCGCTGGCTGTGCTATTGGGGAGTGGTTCCGAGACAACGGCAGACATGCCATCATCATCTATGATGATTTGTCAAAGCATGCAGTTGCCTATCGCCAGATGTCGCTGTTGCTTCGTCGGCCTCCTGGACGCGAGGCTTTCCCTGGAGATATCTTCTACCTCCATTCTCGTCTCTTGGAGCGTGCCGCAAAATTGAATAATAAGCAAGGTGGGGGCTCTCTGACTGCCCTTCCTATCGTTGAGACGCAGGGTGGTGACGTTTCTGCATACATCCCCACCAACGTGATCTCCATCACAGATGGTCAGATATTTTTGGAATCTGAACTCTTCTACAAGGGAATCCGTCCTGCGGTCAATGTTGGACTATCTGTGTCTCGTGTTGGCTCTGCCGCACAGCTTCAATCTATGAAGCAGGTCGCCGGTTCCCTCAAGCTCTTCTTGGCCCAATATCGTGAAGTTGCTGCCTTTTCTCAGCTAGGTTCAGATTTGGATGCCGCCACCAAGCAAACGCTTAGACGTGGTGAGCGTCTAACAGAGCTTTTGAAACAGAAGCAGTACGCTCCAATGGCTGTCAATGAGATGGTACCCTTGATCTACGCTGGTATTAATGGCCTTCTTGACTATATACCTGTTAACAGGATTATGCGCTGGGAAGCTGAGCTCCTTGCCCACTTGAAAAACAATAAGCCAGAGATACTCTCCAGGATCCAAGATGAAGGCAAACTTAGCAATGGCCTGGAAGCTCAGGTCAAGGAAGTCATCATCGACTTCAACAAAACTTTCTCGCAGGCAGTTGTTTCCGGTGCGTAAACCTCCTCGCATCATATTTCATTAGAGCTTTGGTTCCACGCACATTTCCATTTACGATATTTACACGTGAAACGGCGTAGCATCGGGTTAACTAACTCCTGTTCTTCCGCCTCAAATTGTCACCAAACCTTTGTAGGAATGAGCCTGGGGTATGAAGTCCTCTGAGATACTCTGAGATTTATATCAAATAACATTCGACGCCACTTTACTTAGTTTAAAAATATGTTGTGTCCTTCCGCCCACTAAATCCCGTTCTGAACCTGATTGTCTTTCCTTCGATAAGGTAAATGTATAAATCAGCATCTAGTATCTTAGCTCTCTAAACTTGTCTGCTGTTTTCTCAACAGCCAGGGTAGCTTCTCCGGGCTGGTTTCTCTCATCGTAGTAAGCTAAAAATGATCAAATTGTCTGTTTTAGCACAAGCAACACCTGCCTCACTCACTATCTGATTAGTACACCGTACTAAAAAAAAGACAAAAATTCTGAATTACCGTCCTTCCATATATAAAATTATCATAAGCTTTGATACACGTGTAATTTTTGCCATTCACAACAATGCCTTGTGCGAACACAGATCTAGGGTTCTTGAAGAGATCGATCGGACCATGGAGTTGTTCTTGGTGGACCTATCTATCTCATCAGCTGCAGCGCACATAAATAGGAGCGATATGGTTGATCAGAACGACATACGCTGTATCCAGGTGAGATCGCCCAAACTCCCCCATTCTCGGCATCAAAGAGAGCAGCATATGTCACCGCCCCATTAGAAATCAGGCTAGAGCCAGCAACGAGGCCATTAGCAAGATTTGCTGATTAATATACGGAGAATGTTGTACCTTTATTCCAAAAGACCTACAGTTAATGTTAGAGGTTTCGGGGGGATAAGTCAGGTCGTATAACTAGTTAACTCACTCTGCCAGGTATTCATGATGACCAATGCTACTTAGGTTAAGTAACCAAATTGACTAGTCAGTTGATTGAACTATTTGTTTTAAGAAACATTGTTAAGGGGTATTCTTCCCTGGGACTTTTGAATTTCGGGAACGCTTAATCCCTTTATACCCGAGGGCTATCCTTGTATTACTGTCTCCTATTAATTAAAAATGGTATCTTTTGATCCATTGTTCTGCTGTTGATTTCGGACAGTCCATGACGTCACATCTACTACGCCACTGTCATCTGCGTACGTTTGTAAGCTCCACATTGATACTTCGCTGCTTTTCCTCTGTATCCTTGGATCTTATTCGTCAACTGCCAGTTAATAAGAGTCAATTTATAATATACGAAGGCTCTGCTTTTTAGTTTCCTACAGGTAGGTGGGTGGTGAAGATAGTGTGTGACATCCTAAATGATTATGCTCACGTTGGGGTTCTCACATATATGACTCGGTATTCTCCCTGAGATTGGCAAATATACAGGAGTGAGGTAAGCCTTTGTCCAGTAATATTGCCTTGTGCGCCACACGATGTTACATCATTACGAAGACACCCCAGAGCTGGTGTCTAATGAGTACGGTCTGCATTATAGTTCACCTACCAACAATGTTTCTAGTTGCACGTGAGCCTTGGTAGAATAAAGTGAAATAAATTACCTGGAATGTCAAATGAAGTTGTCGTCCAGTGGTGGATATATAATTGCTTTATGAGTCAGAAATGCGCACCCTGGCAATATCTTTGTCTAGCCGTATATTTTCTTGTTATTATTGACACCCGACTGCTTGACTACCATTCCGGAGTACGAGGTAACTGCATTGTGGTGGACCTTACACTTCGTTTTCTCTGTAGCGCAATACTCTATCTGAGCTTTTGCTTATGGTATTATGGTGACCCCGAGGCTTCCATTTCTCCATCCAAATTTCATACGCGTCGCGCAGTCATATAAAGATCTTCCGGCCGCACCATTCGATTTCCTTTCAGCGGTGGCTCTAGCCTTCACGCCGGTTTCTATACTAGTCTACAATACAATCAACAAGTGCATCCACAGTACAACTGCTCATATGCCAAGCCAAGCCTCCATCCATGCAGGCGATCGAAGGACGGTTCATCCAGCCAGCTCGACGAAGTCACATTGTCCGGAGAAGGCGATCAAAGCAGCAGTGAGAGGAACAACATTTTGCCAGACCAGCAGCTTGAAGATGCCAAAAGGGTGACTACAATTACATTCTTTTCAACATCATTCGATAAGCAAGCTTTTCTAGATTCGAAGCAAGGCAACTCGTTGTTAAATTCAGAGCAGCAAGAGGAGCATGCAATGGGCAATGATGGGGCCCAAGATACCTCTACCTCTTCCGCTCGTCTTGTACGGACGGAAAGCAAAAAGCCACATATATCTCCTTGCCCGAACCAGGGCGCGTTTGACGATGCAATCCACATGCCCACCCCCTCAGCCTATCTGACCCCCCCCCTGGACTAATAATACCACACAACAAACCCCCACGACCGATACCAATTCGTAGCGAGTATCAACCCGATACTTATTTCGTAGTTCGTGATCTCACAAACGGCGGCTTTACAAATGAGCAATCGGTGACAATCACGAAAGCTATCCAACATATCCTACAAAAGAACATCGATATCGCAAAACAATGTCTGATTTCCAAATCCACTGTCGACAACGAGCCCTACCAATTCAAGGCAGCCTGCTCAGAATTGTGATGGTCCTTACAAACAGCTTATAATTTGGAAACTAAAAGACAACATGCTTCACGGATACAATTGGAGCAAGAATATGATACTCTCTCGCAGCGTCTCACCAAGGAAATTGCTGACATGAAGGATAATATCAAGGGTATGTTAACTGACTACAGCATTGCCACCCGAGAGGACCAACGGAACATCGACACCTTGCTACAAGAGCTCGATTACAAAATTAGTGTGTCACTAAACAGCGATGGGAAGACCGCAGTCGATAGTATCAGATGGATGTTGACACGTCGCGCTGCCCTGACTATTGCATCTTGCGCTTGTACTTCTTTAATGTGTCTCCAATATGATCTGAAATTTCATGGCTGACGGTATCCTTTTACCAAGTGATGATTGTCTTCTTCCTGAAGTACTCTTCAACCCGCGCGCAAGATTCAGAGCACAACATCAAAAACGAATGACAGTCTGTTGTAAAGCCTCCTCTCAAAAAAGTGAGACATTCTCTCTTTATTACCTTCCGATGATTATAATTATTGATCATGGTATCTCCAGGTGTGCCCCGAGGTATCAGGACAGAAATAATGGTCTAACTCCGGGGCATCTTATTATGGGTCTTAAGCCTTATCTTATTACCCATTATCTTCGTACTCAAAACGAGGCTCTTTAATCGCGGCTCCATAATACCAATCTCTAACCTCAGGGATACATGGTGGAGTGTGGTTCATGGCCTACTGTACCCTCCACAGATGATACTAGAGTCCTTAACTCCCCCAGAAGAACCACCGCATGAGCTGCTGACTTTGTATTTTGCAGGTCACACTTGTATGAATTGTAGAGCAATAGTCCATTATTATCAGTTGTCTGCGAATAAGACATCTTACCAGATCATCCGCTCGGTTTATCCCAACGCGTAGTCACGTTTTATCTAATTTCGGCGCTTTATTTTCCGTCGATGGGGTCTGGGCCTTCTTCACTCGAGGCTGAAGGTTGAGATTAACGTCTTCTTGATCTGCCCTAATCTAGAGACAATGACCTGTCAGTGGAAGGTTCTTGTATCCAGGATAATTCAAACTGTGGAAGCTTACCGCAGCCTCGCTCAATGTAGCCAGGGCTTCTTCCCATCTATGCCCAGTTTTTGTCTTTCCTGACAGGTCCGTGTCCAAAGGGACTGATCCAAAATCATCATGAAACCTGGTAGCAACAGAAGTTGGAGTAGTTCTCTTTGTAGTGCTGGATTGGCATAGTTCGTGATGGCAAGCCCTAAAAACCTGACCGACCCGCAGAAGTGAACAAGGTCTGGCTGATGGGGATCGCATGGTAGTAGCCACAGGCTTGGGTTGTTGAGTGTTGTGACTGACGTGAATAACGTGGCTAATTTCAATGATGTACTGTCAATCCTGAAAGCTAGTCGTCTCGATTCCGAGAACAGATTAATTGGAATGGAGCGGAAATCTTCTGATCAACTGATTGGCGGTTAGGTGACTGTTGGTCATTATGAGGTCAATACTCCGTATTGTTTTCCAAAGAGGCAGATGACAAATCCGATACCGTCGTTGTTACCCCACTATCGAGCTCGATGCCATTCCAAATATTAAAATTCGAACCTTTTCATTTTTACCATACTGCCTCTATACAAAAATAACAGCTATCAAATCGTTTAGGGCACTTATGCATTCTCGCACCAAGCCGGCATGACCGACTCGAATACCCATCTAGTGCCCGTACCCTTTACGCAGTCTCGTGCCAAGTCAGTAGAGTCAGAGATCATTCCTCAAAACCTTATTAGCCAAGGCAGAGACACATATACTCCTGCATCATCTCACATATCGTTGGGTAGAGGGAATTCCGGCAATGATGGTGGTACGCTCCAACCAGGACTCAGCAGGGAGTCCAATTTCGAAGCGGCGAACAAGAAGTTCGCCTTCTCGCTGGACCAGCTGAAAAAGCTCCTAAACCCCAAGAGTTTCAGCGCATTTAGCGCTCTAGGTGGCATGAGTGGGCTTGAAGAAGGTCTGCGAACTGACGTGCTGAGCGGCTTGAGCATTGACGAGGCCGTGTTGGACGACACGGGGAGTCTTGACCGGGTGGGTGTACGAACCTTCCTGCCACCGCATGATGCTAGCCTGGAAGAATCAGCAATTAAGTGGCCACAGGACCGATTTGCGGATCGGCGGCGTGTGTTTGGAATCAACAAGCTTCCCGAGAAGAAGCTCAAATCTATTTGGGAGCTCATCTGGATCGCGTACAATGACAGGGTGCTCATTCTTCTATCAATTGCCGCTGCTGTGTCCCTTGCCGTTGGTATTCCGCAATCTGTGCGAGGCACGGGCGTGGAATGGGTGGAAGGAGCAGCGATCATTGTTGCCATCGTTGTTGTCGTTACCGTCGGCGCGGCGAATGATTGCCAGAAAGAACGGCAATTCGCGAAGCTTAACCAGAAGAAAGAGGATCGGTATGTCAAAGTGATTCGATCGGGCAAGAGGGCGGAGGTGTCGACCTATGATATTATGGTCGGGGACGTGATGTGCCTGGAACCAGGAGATATAATCCCAGCAGATGGGATCCTGATTGACGGACAGGGTGTCAAATGTGACGAGTCATCGGTAACGGGCGAGTCAGACCTCCTTCGAAAAACCCCTGGCGACAAAGCCTACAGGGCAGTTCAACAGAACGACGACCTGAAGAAGATAGATCCATTCATCATGTCGGGTTCTAAGGTTGAAGAGGGTATGGGGACGTTTCTGGTCACTGCGACCGGTATCCACTCGACCTACGGCCGAACCATGATGTCTCTCCAGGATGAGGGCGAGACGACCCCGCTACAAGTCAAGCTAAACGTGCTGGCAGATTATATTGCCAAGGTCGGCCTTGCCTCAGGCCTGACACTGTTCATAGTGCTGTTCATCAAGTTTCTAGTCCGCCTCAAGGACATTCAAGGCGGTGCAGAGGCCAAAGGCCAGGATTTTCTGCGGATTTTTATTGTGGCCGTCACCGTCGTCGTTGTAGCAGTGCCAGAGGGGCTGCCATTGGCGGTCACCCTCGCTCTCGCCTTTGCAACAACAAGGATGATCAAGGACAACAACCTCGTGCGCTTGCTCCGGGCATGTGAGACCATGGGAAATGCCACAACCATTTGCTCCGACAAAACCGGCACACTCACCGAGAACAAGATGAGTGTCGTGGCTGCGACTCTAAGTACCACGTCACAATTTGGAGAGCAACCGTATTCGAGCGATGCGGCCAGCGTGGCAGGCTCAGGGCCTCTTTCAGCCTCTAGTTTTATATCCTCGCTTGCACCATCGTTCAAAAAGCATTTGCTCCAATCAATCGTTCTCAACTCAACTTCATTCGAAGGTGAGCGTGACGGAGTGACGACATTTATTGGATCGAAGACGGAGACGGCGTTGCTGTCATTCGCGCGAGAGCAACTCGGGCTTGGACCAGTGGGCGAGGAGAGAGCAAAAGCGAAGATCGTGCAGATGTTCCCGTTCGCCTCAAGTCGCAAATGCATGGCGGTGGTTGTTTCGATGAATAATAGAAAGTATCGGATGTTGGTTAAAGGTGCTGCAGAGATCTTACTCCGTCAATCGACACAGATCGTGCAAGATGCAACCAAGGGTCTGGCGGAGACACCGCTCTCCGAGGTCAATAGACTCGCGCTAGATACCATTATCACGAACTACGCGTCTCGCTCTCTGAGGTGTATTGCGCTTGTGCACCGGGACTTTGAAAACTGGCCGCCACATGGGACACCGACGCACGAAAATGACGGCGAAATGGCACACTTTGAGCCAATATTCAAGGATATGACGATGATAGGCATCTTCGGCATCCAGGACCCCGTCCGCGAAGGAGTCCCCGACGCAGTCCGCCAGTGTCAGCGCGCCGGAGTTTTTGTCAGGATGGTGACTGGCGACAATATTAACACAGCGAAAGCCATCGCCCAGCAATGCGGCATCTACACGCCTGGTGGTATCATCATCGAAGGGCCTGAATTCCGCCAGTTGAACCATGATCGGATAAACGAGCTCATCCCAAATCTGCAGATTATCGCTCGGTCAAGTCCAGACGACAAGAACATATTGGTCAGCCAGCTCAAGGAGCTTGGCGAGACCGTCGCCGTGACTGGGGATGGGACAAATGACGCGCAGGCACTTAAGACTGCTGATGTTGGCTTCGCAATGGGCGTAACAGGCACTGAAGTTGCGAAGGAGGCGTCAGATATTATCATAATGGACGACAATTTTGCATCAATTGTCAAGGCGATAGCATGGGGACGTACGGTTAATGACGCCGTCAAAAAGTTCCTTCAGGTAACATTACCATAACCCGCTCCAAGACCAGAAACTGACTACCATTTAGTTCCAAATCACCGTTAACATCACTGCTGTCGTTCTCACCTTTGTTTCGGCTGTTGCCAGTAATGATGAAGTTTCTGTCCTCAGCGCAGTGCAGCTTTTGTGGGTCAATCTCATCATGGACACTTTCGCCGCTCTTGCACTTGGTATTCTTTTCCCATATTTTGGACTTTTCCAAGGTTCCTAATCTTTCTATAGCGACGGATCCACCTTCAGCATACGTTCTCGATCGCAAACCTGATCCCAAATCTGCGCCACTAATCACCTTGACAATGTGGAAGATGATCGTTGGACAGGCCATCTATCAACTGGCTGTGACACTCGTCCTGCACTTTAAAGGCCAATCCCTCTTCCCAAGGTGGGATAGCAGGTATATGCAGACAGTGGTGTTCAGTACTTTTGTATTCATGCAGATATTCAACCAGTACAAGCAAGTAGTGCGGTTCCTTCCCCGTAGCATCACTTACTGACTGATACCTACAGCTGTCGTCGGATTGACAACCGTCTAAATATTATGGAGGGCATCCTAAGCAACAGATGGTTCATTCTCATTCAGGTCATCATCATCGGTGGCCAGATCATGATCATTTTCCTCGGTGGCCAAGCCTTTTCCGTGCACTGTCTTGACCAGCCCTCCCAGTGGGCAGTCAGCGTGTTGCTTGGGGCTCTTACGGTACCGATAGGGGTAATGCTTCGTCTGATCCCGGATAAAGTCATCTCCAGGGTTATAATATATATATGGAACCGCGCAAAGGGTCCTGAGCTGGATGTCCCTGGGGAGGAGCGCCATTACGGGTGGGATCTCGCACTGGAGGGAATCCGCGACCAGCCGTCGTTCATGAAGAAGATCCGCGGAGGGCGACTGAGGCATATAATACACAAGCACCCCGAAGTTTTCTTCCAGTCCCGCGGCAGCTCACAACTCCCATATCCTTCTACGCTGCCCACAACGATTGAAGGCCCGACGGTCAGTGGCCTTACAGATGAATATTCGACATCTGCGCCTGCATCTGAGCGGACACCTTTAATTTGCGGTAGTGGGACGAAACAGAGCCAGTCGTAGGTGTAGGCATCACACCATCAACAAAGACTTTTCTCGCTATTAGTCTCTTCAAATGGCCATCACGTATTTGTTTGACTCCTGCTAAGTAAATTGATAAGAAATTTTCAACTTCAGTGCCACAGACCCCACCAGTGAGTCGAAATGACGAGGGGGCAAGCCATCCATGATCATGCGGATTCCCTGGAACCGCAGGCGGCGGTCATGGTCAACGAACACCAGAGTTAAGTGGCGCAGGACTTTCGACGTGAGGCTTGTCCCGCAAGTTCTGAAACAAAATCACGTTGTTATGCCTGAATTTTAGGTGATACCGCATAATTTAGGAAAAAATGGACAGTTGATCTAAGAGATCCGGTAGAACCGGGAGGGAAGTTTAGAGTAAAGTGATGGGTATTTTGATATTTAGTGTAACTCTCCTGTCAATCACTAAATTTGCCAGGCAATAGATCAACAACTACTCCTAAATGACAGGGCATTTCATTTCTGGTCTATTTATATATGAGCCACCCCTCCAATGTCAATTGACCGCGAAACTCCGGGCTGTAGACGGAACTCATATTGTCCAAGGTTGCCACGTAGTGATTGCGCCTGCCCGTTTTGCCATGGGTAGTATAATGGGCCTTAAGATTGTCCGCGCGTTTGAAGGTGCGGTGACATTCTGGCACCCAGCAGGTGTACGGCCTTTCATCTGAGTGGCATGTCAGGTGTCGCTCGAGGGCCTTTCGGCGCCTTAATTGGCTGTCACACCCCGAGTGTATGCTTTTAAACTGCCGCTGGGGTACTTTATGTAGCAATTTCTCGAAGCTCCAGTCCAGAGGATCTTGAGGAGAATCAATAGAGAGGTGACATTGGCAGGCGCGAGAGAACCTGGTCGGGTTACAGCCTCCGTATCACTGCCAAGCCACGTAGAACAGGAATGGCAGGTAGGAATAACTTTTTCCTCGGAGGCATGGGGCCTTTTAGATGAATATAACAATCTAGAAGGATACGATCTCGGCATATTTTCCAGACAGAAAATGATCGGGATCGATACCCAATGATCGAAGCCGGAGCCGGAAAAGTATCCTGGTCGTCGAAAAACGCGGCCGAGGTGGCCATTCTGATGAATCTGCAAGATATTGTCTTCTGGATGAAACAGCCTAAGCGTTTGTTATGGAAGGGCCATGCTGATAGGATATGGAATGTAGCAAGGGTCGATAATCGAGAGCCATTTGGCTTTCGCTTCGTTCAGCATTGGTGCTTGACTCAAATGGGGTCGGGTCTGCGAATACTCCTCCGGACAGGGCTCTCTCAGACAATGCGAATCCATTTGCAAGCGATTGTTCGGGAATTGCACACAAGCAGTATCGCAGTATGGCTGTTGGCTGCCTTGTACCGAGTAGAAGAAAGGTAGTACCACAAAGTGGATCGCATAATCCAAAACACCAGCAATGCGACACCGGAAGTTCGGACGGCGAAATACTGTGCGCGCGATAGACCGACTCTTCTGGTAACCGGTACAAACAGCAAGCAATGATGGAAAAGAAACTAGCAATATATCACAATCAGTGGAAGTGAGAGATCTTCCCTCAATTTTCCTCGGAGTAATTTTGACAGCACCGAGTTGGTGCTTTTCACACGTATGGCATTAGCTGAGTTCGACCGACATTTTATTTATCACCGTTTAAACGCTTGAAATGACGGTGATGACTCCATGATGAGACACGCGATAGTCCATCCGGTCTATCTCATTCAAAAATTTCTCTCTTGCACGAATTCTTTTCATTTCTTGTCAATGGTGATTGATCAGTTGTTGCTCTACTCCGTTTGAATTGAAGTGCTTGTTGACTATCTCTTGTTAATAACCAAATTGCCTTCATTAACATCTTCAACCTTTAAATTACTGCGTGAAGAGAGCTGAATTTGTTAGCTCGGTCGGTTTTCGTGACTATATTAGATTAACTAGATCGGCAGTCAAGAACACGACACATTATTCTCAATTTGACCCTCCATTATTTTGCTAAGAAAAATGGATGCTCCGACTTTCTGCTGCGATCCAGAAGGGGACGAAAACACTGAGGCTAATGCAATTCCTTCTCAAACTGAACGGTGCGATCCGGAAATGACAACTGAAAAAGCTCCCCCGCCGGTAAGAATCAATTTGTCCTCAAGTTGCGTACACTTCTGATCATTCCAAGCGGACTCCCAGTCGCAAGCCGAAGAAGAACATTCAGCAGCCGAACCATTCCAGCCGATACTACAGCTACTAGCAGATCTTGAACAGGATGATCCGAAACTTGCCTTTCAGGCAGCCCGGATCTTGGGGCTCTACCGACGGTTGTGGGAGTCGTGTATGTCGAAACGGGTTGGCAGTGAGAGGCTAGAGCAGACCAACCAGGAGTTGAGACAGGAGAATAAACGATTGGAGAATGAAAAGGGGCTACTGCTGGCTCATCATGATGAGCAGTTATCTCAGTTTGATCATTTGAACCAAGCACTGGACTCGTCTAGGGAGCGACTGGTCAGCATTCTCAATGATTGGGAGCAGTGCTCCCAAAGCCAAGTGAGAGGGCTGATGAATTGCGAGAGAGAACATTGATTAGTTCTTTGCCAAATGATATTCCATTTTTCTTGCGAGATAGACCCAGTGAGAGGAAAAGACTTGTGGTTGTCTTCCAACGATTGTGATATACCTTAGTAGGCTCCTTTATAACTGGGTCCATCCGACGTCACAACTTCAAAATATAAATTAGTCTAATTTGGAGACAATCAAGAGGATCGTATGGACTTTTGAGTCGATAAATGCTGCATAGATCGTATTCAACATATCTTGTGAGCTGTTAGATGGAGCCAGAGCTGGTTTTGTGTTACCGCTGGAAGACGTAGCTAGATTGAGAAGGGGAAGCATAGATCGGTAGGAAGTCTTATCCTGGCTAGATATGGATGTCTAACAATTGGGATCAATGAAGTTCATACAAAGCACCTCACGGGCGGTAATTGCTTGGGCCGTAGACCCTCGTCATGATTCACAGTAATTTCTGGCTGATCGTGCGTGGAATGACTGAATCAAGCCGTCCACCATCAACTGTAGGCATGTCTAAAATGAAAAGAGGTACATCGTTCTATGCATCAGGGTCTCTCGATGTGACAGTAAGGTAGATCAATGATTTGCAACGCCGATATGACACTGCCATAAAATGCGTTCAATGCCCGTTTCCGATTCTCCAACTCCAGCGCCTGCCGGTTGCAGCGCTAAAGGAAAATATCATTCTCGTCTTCCAGCAATTCGTTTAACTCGCATATTTGGCGTCGCTCATCTTCAAGCCGGATATATTCCGCAGATTTCAGAACATAACTTTCCCATGGGACACAGATACAAGTCTAGGTGTCTCAGAGCAGGTATTGCGAGATCGGCATTACAGCCTAGGATTTGCTTGAGTTGCGTCGTGGGGAGGCTGTTCGCGGCGGTAGAGATCTGTAGCACGCTGTTGAGTTTTGTTTGCGGTATGTTCGGAGGATACTTACCTTTGGTCTTACGGCGGTAGAGCAGGAGGCTTTCCTTTGCGTCCGAGTTATTTCCAGCGTCCTCGGAGTGTCGTTTAGCCGGTCTGTCGGCTGGCGAAGGGGATGCAGCGGGTGGGCTCATTGGTGAAGAGTGGGAGAGGAGTGAGCGTGCACTACATAGCGGATTCCTCCTAGGCCTTAAATACGAGACATTCCTTTGGATATGAGAAATTTTCCCTCTAATCAGTCTGGGCCGTGCTTCAAATTGGCCGGGTTGAGAGACAGTTCACGCACGTTCTAGCCGTTGATGCACGATGTTGAAAAACCTGTGCTAAAAAGTTCAATTCCTAGAGGCAATTTGGTTGTCACCATGTACCATGAGACTGATGACAAGTTGATTTTTCACGGTTTCACATTCCAGTGCACGCCGTGCATCTTGGCTTATAGCTAGTCGACAACTTTTCTGCGGCCCACGGCAGATATCTCAAGCAGTACCATCTTAACGTCTTCTCTGTGGTCTATGTTGGCGACCCGCGTCACTAAGCCGAGGGCCAATCAATGTGCCTTCAGTCCGTGAAGCTGCGATCCGTCCGCGGCAAGTTCTGCGACCATCGATCTCGTTCTAGATGGCCATTCGGATGTTCTCATGCGTTGCGATGACTCGTGCCTCTCGCAAGCTATATGCATCCACCCTCTGATCCGCTACCAACGCGTCAACGATGAGAGCCTGTGCCCTGTTGTGATATGAGGCTGGTGCAGATCAGGAACCAAGCCGAACCATCGGAATTAATCCCGAGGTATCTATACGAAGAACCAAGTTGATTGGAAATCAACTTGGTTCTTCTCGTTGTATATATACAGCTTAATGTTTCCCTCTGAACAATAACTCAATTCATACCTCTGAACTACAACATAAACGTCTATTGCTAGTCCCCGCCCTACGCTTTGACTGCCGTGATAATCAACAATAATCAACAGCGGATACGAATATTCGTTCTTCGTGCCGACCCCTTAGTAGTGATATCACTCTTTATAAAATTTCCTGTGTTTTCATTATAATTTTAAATCTTTCTCACTCTGCCTATTTAACCTTTCGGTCACCTCCCAAATTGTGTCACATGGTCTGATTTATGATGACGTCATATATCATGCCACGACAAGCTCTTCCCAAACCTCACACCACAATGGTTGTCTCCGGCGGAATACATTACTTTGTGCGTTTACGCTACTGTGAAAAATTCATATTGGCCTGGCCCGAAGACGCGGTAATTCGACTCTCTGGCGATAATTATTTGTCTCTTCCTAGAACAGACTATGCAAGAGACAGGGAACTCTCAAAGTCCTCATCTACATTCTCCCTTCGAGCATGTCCCATCGCCAGATCGCTCTGTGTCGACCCATTATCATCACACGATAAGGGACGATGTTAGAGACAAGCATGATTCCCGAAACCTTCCTATTATTGACGACCTGACGGATGTATTTTCCGAGTGGGGTTGGTCAACGTCGCAGGATTGTAGAAGTCGTTCTCAGTCGGGAGCAAACATCTCAAATCAAGGGCTTACAAGGCAGACAACTGCTTCAAAATCAACTGATAAGCTTTCTGATCGAGATGAATCGGCCCAGGCTCAGAGGATCCCCACAGCGAATACCCAATCGGAGCAGGCATCATTCACGGAATATGGGGTATTCAAAACAGTCCTCTATTACAATAATACCAGCACTGTGCAACTTTTCGAAAAGAAATCACCAGTTTCCCGGCCAATATTGTCGCCGACACAAACCCGGAAAGGGTCCATGCTGACGAAATTAAAGCATGCTTCTATGCCGAAGCCAACAATCAGGGAACTCTACGCAGTCAGAGTATTTCACCATACCAAAGCCAACTTGGGCCGGGTGCCCAACCTCCCGCGAGATGGAAGTAGAAGACCACCACTATCTCATCCAAATATTGTCTCCCTCATCGATATTCTTTATAATAAGCAAGGAAATATTTGTCTTGCCATGCCCTACTGTACTGGTGGGAGCTTGCACGCTTTTCTGCAACAAGTAGCGAGGGCCAAAGATGGCCTGTCACTTGAGGAAATAAACTGCTTGATTGTCCAGATATTGCGTGCAATCGGCTTCCTACACGACCACAGGATTGCCTATGGAGATTTGAGGCCAGACCATGTACTCCTCACTGCCCGAGGTGCGGTGAAGGTGGGTGGCTTTGGGGAAGATGAAGATGCAGTGCGGGAATTGGTCGCATTCTCACGTTTTGAAGAAGCTTATCCTCAGTCTGGACTCAGACCAGGCAAATCACGAGAATCTAGCTCGAAGTTGCTCCTGTGTGTACGAAGAAGTGTGTCGGAGTTGAGTACTCCTTATCTTCCTCCAGAGAGGTTTTCCAGTCGCCGTGACTCTGTCCGTCAAGGCTATACCCACCAAGATATTTATGATGTTGGGGCGGGTGACATATGGGCATGCGGCATGATCTACATGATCCTACAGTCTGGCCAACTTCCCTGGCGCACCACCCGGACAGTGGATCCGGACAAATCCTATACTGAATATCTTCATTGCCGTTTGAAGCAAGATGGATATGGCCCTATACAGGCTCTGGAAAATGTAAGTTACAGATCCGATGGTGCCAGATTCCACACATTCAACATGAACATAATATCTAATACTTCATAACACAACAGAATTGTCGGAATGTTATTTATGCAATGTTGCATCCTGACCCGGGCCTGAGGATTACAGCAGAAGAGATTCTGAGCTCCGAAATGGATGCTGGGAATTGCTGTTTGTGAGATTGGGGAGAAGGGGTTGTAGTAATCCTGTCATTTGTTTTTGTTTTTGTTTTTGCCGCCCAACATGGTATGGAACTTACATTCCACAGCCATTGGGAATGTTCTTGGCACACATGGGAGGATCTTCAAAGGCCCACGTAATTCCCAAGAGATATTCTCCATTCAGACGCCGGCCGACGATCTGTACACTGACTGGGGCTCCGAATAGTCTCTCGGGCAAATCTGCGTATCGTGTAACTTAGACCAAGAATGTTTGCAATATGAATACCTGCAATTCATCCATATCTAGGTTCAACCTGGTTACGCCCTTCATAGTCTAGCGTCACTTTCTCGGTGTTGGTGACACGTGTGACTAGGAGATAGCTGAGATCGGCTTTTCGGGTAATGCAAATTTAGGCCTCCGGGGTACTTCATCTCTAATTTCAAACCCAACGTCGACGGCAGCAAGGGTAAAATATACTCAAATCCCCAGATAGCTCTGTTTACGTGAAAAGGTAAATATAGTATCGTCAGACCTATTATCCATATTTGCAAAAGTACCTAGTGTAAGATGGGAATGCTCGCTGGCAGTCTGTCAAGCAGACGGGTCGATCGCGAAGAGACAAAACCACCACACTCGCAGAGTGCAGGAACGAGATGAGCAAAGCGTGACGCTATAGAGAGATGATTGAACGAGCAATAACAGAACCTTTCATACGCAGTATATCGATACCGCAACCTCAGCAGCCTCAGTAGAACATTTTCATAAAGGGGAACATGCATGTTGTTTTTGATAGTATCGAACGAACGCTACTTAATCTCACGAAACAAAACGGTGGCCTTGTTGCTAAGGCCTCCAGCACATGACTACAGGATACCGATGTTGAGAGCGGGAATCCCCATTACATACCACCCTCCCTGAAAATTTGACTGTCCCCTAGTCAAAACAAAGAAAACAAAGAAAACAAAGAAAAGAACGTCAACATTTCGTTAGACAACGCTTCCGACAGTCATGTCATGCTTCATCCATTAATAGGCACCTAGCCGCTATGAGGAAGGCCAACCTCCGCTTCGGGGGTAGGTTGCTGCATGTTCGACAGCGTTTGAAGTTCAGCATCGACGGAAGTGGGACCATCAGGCAAGAGACCTAGTTCAGGATCGTCCACGAGCATGCCTTTTTCAATGCGGGAGAAGAAGGAGTGCTTGCCATATTCCTTCTTTTCCAAGCGCTTGGTGAGTTCGAAGCAACGCAGGTATTCATACCAGGCTTCCTCTTGCCAGTCACGAACTATTCTTTTTGCAACTTCCGGATCCTTGCCAAAAAGGTCGTCCAATTCCATACAAACCGAGGGGCTGTCCCATCTCTGTCGTCCTACCAGGCAGTTCGGAATATCGTGTCGTGCTGTTCGAAATTGAACTCCGGCCGCGAAAGGAAATGGAATAGTGCCATACCGCGATGAAGGATAGCCAGATGGTGTCTTAGTAGCCGGCATTTGTGCGCGGTGCGCCTCGGCAAGCTCCTCCCATGTATTGGCTTCGGCACAGTCGAGAGTTTCGTGGTCGTCCTGAATGGCAGTATACCACGCAAGTCCTGTTCTGCGTACTGCGGTAGCCGGTCCTGTCGATCCATGAGGCAGGAATGGGAGAGAAAGACGTACGTCACCGATACCACAAACCTCTTGGGTCCATTGGATGCCGTACTTCTCCTCGTCATCTCTCGTCCACATATGGGGTTCAATGCCAGAAATGAGGCCATCGGGAACGGGCCCGCGGGACTGAATGTTCTTCCACCAATCAGCTAACCGCTCTGTCTTATGCATCCCTTTCAATATCGTGGTACAATTCCGTTTATCTTCCTGGGTGAAGGATACAGATCCTTGCAAGATACTGCCGCCCCGTCCTGTGTCGAGATAATCTTGGATGTTGATATCCAAGTGCCGAAACTTAGTATTTTCACCAATCTGAGTGCTCTTGGTGTAATAGGGGTAGGAAATCAGGCGCCATGCATGATCGGGTCGGAAAAAGACGTATGACATGTAGTAGGAGAGGTCTTGCCGAATTAGTTGCTGGATGTTTGAATACCACATCCCACGAAGCCATCCAATCTCTGTTGTCGACTTGCTCAGGTGGTAATGGTACATTCGGAACTCCTGGTGAATCAACGGCCATAGTCCCTCAGGATGTTCTCCGTCGAGGTCTTCTCCGAGCCATGAAAAGAGACCTGGCAGTATAGTGCTGCCATCATTATGCATATCCTTTGCCGGGCGAATATCAGGGGCCTTTCCAGCGTAGATCCGGTCAATCAGGGTATCAACCGACAGCCATTCTGTAGCAGCGGCGAAGTCAGAAACAAGAGGGGCGTAGTGCTGCGGCTTGAAACGATGGAAACCGAGATCGTTTTCCTGCCGGAAACTAAACCATCGAGGATGGTCCTTCATAAATCGGTCCCAGTTCCCAATGTGTCGATATGATAGGGCAACCCGGTTCACCAATTGCTGGTGATTCTTGGACGCACTAGTCATTTGTATAGCTTCCACTAGTGCCTTTGCGTGCTTACTGCAAAGAGTATTGACAGTGATATCTCCGGACCTCGCTAATCTTCTTCCAATGGCTCGCAATGCGACCAGTCCATTTTTCCGCTTCGAGAAATCTTTTTCTTTGAGGGCTCGTATCAGGGTAGCAGGGCGCAGTAAACATCCACACTTCGCATGTGCATCCGCGAGGGCAACTGTTTCTTCGTCGCTTTCTTCGACAACGGCATTGTTCAATACTTCCTGCTGTGTCGGCGGGGCATCCTGCATTTCCTCGTCGCGTTCCGAATCCTGGCTAGATTCCACGCTCTCTTCTTCCTCCATATCCTGGTCTTCCAATTCATCAGGGGGAGCAGCAGCAGCAGCAGCATCATCTTCCGGTAGGAAAACACTCTTCTCGGGAGACGGAGGCAGGGTATATGCTCTTGGTTCGATCCTTGGAAGATCAAATCCTTCGCCTTTTGGACAAACGAATCCATCCTGGTCTATCTGGAGACCCGCACGATCTAGGTGTTCTTGGAGAATCGGCGTCAGGATACGGCACTGGCAGGTCTTGAGCAGGTCACTGGGTTCCAGGTGCTTGGTTTTCTGGGCTCCACTTCCTTTTCCAAAGGTACATCTCTTGATGACATGGTTGTTGATAGATAGCTTGACATCCTCGTAGGACATATCTGTGTTCAGGAGCTTACTAACTTTCTCCGCAAACGCTCGATTCTTGACCCATTGGAAGAACTCGGTGGTATTCCTGCCTGCGGGGTCTTGGTTGTCCCATCTCACAAGCGCTCGCTGTCGAATGCCTTCGATTGTTCTCGCATCCTTTGCTCTTCGCTTTTGTAGCTGGACTGCTTTTTCCCATCGAAGCTGGAATTCCTCTTGGTCTTCATGATGACCCTTCCATAACTCTGCGGAGCTAACATAGTCAAACAGCCTGCAGATGCCGTCACCGAGCAAGTCATGTGCAGCATTCAATTTCCCATAGCAAAACAGTGCAATGTCATATTTTTCTGCAGCGTCACTCTCTTCCAGGGCCTCAAGCATTTGCTCAATCGTGTGGATCTTTTTGCCTTTGATAATCATGCCTGTAGGAATTGGTTCATCCATCCTGGCTCGTCGTATTACAGCACGGTTCACTGGAGTAAAGGTGTTTTGGCTTTCCGCCATCTCGAAATCAGACATCACGGCGTATCTTTATGCGGTTCGTGCAACAAAGGAGGTGATTCGAATAGGTCTCGGAGGTAACGGTGAAAGGAGAGGTTGGTAATCGGATCGGTCAAAGGAATCGTATCCGGCGAATGGCTTCGAAGCACAGGTAAGACGTATCAAAGACGTAGGTTTCGAGGCATATTAGAAGAGGAAATAGTAAGCGGGGTCTGAAAGAAACAAAGAATCGCAGGTTTCAAAGAGCTTCGGGAACAAAGAACCAGGTCCTTTCCCTCCTCCCGACTCGACCGTCCCCTGGTCGAGTCACGCAGTGCCGAATAGTTGCAAAGCTGCAGCGAGTCCTCCGTGGTTCGTAAATGGTTCGGTGGTATCGGGCGAGCATCAAAACGCGTTCGAAAACGATGAAATGGATGAAGAAATGATGAAGGTGAGTTGCGAAAGAGAGGGGGGGTTGAAGAAATTGAAAGTGAAAGAGAGGGAAGAAAGGAAGTTATATCATGTAGAGCGTGGCTTCCTAATCGGGTCGAGACAAACGGCCAAATCAGGCCGCAAGGCCGCAAGGCCCCAAGGCTCTAAGGCTCTAAGGCATCAATTTCCTGCCGGAAAACGATGCCCCGATTAGGACCTGCGACCCCTCGTTCTTCTCAACGAAGGCCTTCCCCCGTCGTCGTGGTGCTCGCTCACGTGGTGTCTCAATCCATCCTTCATGTTGCTGTCGACCTTGGCCACTACCTCGGCCTCGTTGACCTCTCGGACGTCCATTTGGGTTACGCTGCGGTAAGGATGAAGCCTCTTCCTGATCATTTAGATCCTTCCGAGAATAGAACTTCTTCAATCGATCGCCATTGAATGACTCCGGCTGATGGGTCAGATCGTATAAAACCGTACCATCGAGTTCACTCAGCAAATATGAACCGCTTTTGACCGTATGAATCCGATAAGGCCCCAACCAACGGAATTGTAGTTTTGTCCTTGAATGATAGTCCATGCTGCGAATGGTGTTGTGCAGGAGAACAAGATCACCCTGTGCAAATCGGTCATTCCGAAGCAGATGATGTTCGTCGAAGAAGTGCGCATTTGCTTCTTTCAGACGGCGCATACGCAGGATTGCTTCTTCAATATCCTGGTCCCGCTTTTCGAATTGCCGCGCTCTCATTGCTAGTAAATCCTTTCGGTCTCGGACCTCATGCCATGGCAGCATGCTCCAGGTAGACATCTGTAATTCAATGGGTATAATAGGATCCTTCCCATACAGAAAGAAGAACGGGCTCATTCCAGTGGTGGCATTAACCGTAAAACGATCCGCCATCAGGACAGAATAGAAATGGGGCCTCCATGGTCGCTTGATTTGCCGAGTAACGTTGTCTATAGGGTAGCCTTCTGTCATCTTTGAGAGAGCATCTTTCATAGTTCGCATCGCACGTTCCACAGGGCCATTGGAACCGGGATGGTACGCGGAGATCTTGACTCTTGATATTTGCTCGCGTTCCAAGAAGGCTGTTAATCCTCCACGGTTTTCAGGTCCCATGTCAATTACTATTTCCCGAGGAATCCCATGACGACTGATGATATCTTCCTTGATGAATTGGACGACGCTCTCTGTTTTCGCAGAATGCAATACTCTCGCCTCTGGCCATCCGCTGACAGAGTCTCTCGCTTGAATAACGACACGTTCACCGTCTTCTGGAGGCATTCGAGTTGTGTCAATATACCATTTATCGAAAAGCAACAGCGGTTGCGTAACAATAGCAGGTTCATGCAGACGATTCGGAGCTCTGGCCTGGCATAATGAGCATGTCTTAACATATTTTGACACATCTTCGTACGCGCGAGACCACCAGTAGCGATGTTTGATCAAGGCATACGTAGCTTCTCGTCCTTTATGGCCAAGATCATCATGGGTGCTTTTCAACGCAGCTTGTTGGTCTTCTTTTTTGTCTAGAACCCTGCGGAGCAATTCGGCATTACCTTTGACACGTCGGAACAAATGACGCTCTTGAACGACGAACTTCATGCATTTTCTTTTGAACGAATAGAATTCAGACAGGCTCATGCGGCCAGGTCTTCGGAGGGTTGTCAGGTATCTTGCAATTTGCTCCGATTCAGAAGAGTATCCTTCATGCAGCACATCGATAACAGGATCACCGGGAATTTCAACATTAGCAGAGACAGGACAACAACTGGCTCGGAGATATAGGACCTCCGTATCAACAAAGTCATCAATATCCTGTTCTTGGTCTCTCTCATGTAGATCTTCCTCAGTTGGTGGACGGCGGGATAGGGCATCTGCAGCGCCATTGCCAGTGCCAGGAACGTGCTTGACATCAAAATCAAAAAGCTGAATCCATGCAATCCAGCGGGTAACAAGAGCACCAGGGAGGTCGGTTGCAGTGCGATTCAATTGAGCCACCAAGGTATTAGCATCAGTCTCCAAGACGAAGTGTACCCCATATAGCCAATGGCGAAATTTCTTAAAAGCCATCAAAACAGCACGGCATTCTAGCTTTCCTGCGTCATATTTCGATTCAGCCTGTGACCAAACCCCTGACTCGTATCGTGCAGGATTGCGGACACCGTTCCGAGCCTGCATGAGCACGCCACCCCATCCTTTTATAGAAGCATCTGCAGCAACGATCATGAGAAACGGATTAAAGTCGTAATCTACAGGCAGGACTGAGGGGAACTCTGAAAGGCGTGACTTTATCTCGGTAAACGCCACCTGGTGGACTTCGTTCCACATAAAATGGGCATTCTTTCGCAGTATCTCATAGAGAGGCTTCATGATGACCTGGAATTTCTCAATCAGGATACGAAAGTAGACAGCAAGGCCGACAAATGAACGCAGTTCATCCTTCGACCGAGGCGTAGGCCACTGTGTAACCTTTGCAACCTTCGCTTCGTCGGGTCGTCGGCCATTAATGTCACACACCCAGCCGACAACTTCAATTCCTTTCATCATAAACTGGGACTTTTCGGCTGAGATGACCGCTCCGGCTAATTCCAAAAGATATAGCGCTTCATCGAGATTCTGAACGTGCTCTAGGACATATCGGCGAATCCCTTCTTCTACAAACTCGTCATTGTATGTTGTTCGCGGACCCTTAACGGCAACATCGTCAAGAAATGAACGCGCCTTTGTGCCGAAAATACTATGCAGAATGACCGAGATCACTCGTTGAAACTGGGCGACTGAATTCGATGCACCTTGGAGAATGGTGGTCTGGCGAAGCAGACCGAGGGGAGTTTGAATAGCCGTTAGATCCCGATCATCCTTATGCAGTTCGATTTGATCATATCCGGAGAAGAGGTCGACTAACGAAGCCATCGCCATTCCTGCAAACTCTTCGGCAAACTCATCTGCTATTGGAGGCATGTTGGCATCTCTTTTTGTCACTTTGTTGATCATCATTGCTGCGTTGACCATTCGATATTTGCCAGTTTGCTTCTTGCCGACAAGGAACCACGGGTTCCGATACGGTCCATCACAGGGTTCGAGCACGCCCTTGCGTAGCCGATCACGCAGCATTTCGATGACTATAGCGTTCAGTGCATGGGGGATCTTAAAACCGGGGTGCTGCCACGCTTCATGGGAGACGGTTTTAATGCGTTGCGGAGGCATTACTTCGTTGTGTATCCTCTGAACATGTTCCCATTCCCAGGCTAGCACTCCCTCTCTTTTGAAAAGAAGTTCTCGAAAAAGTGCTCTCTCACGTGGCAGTAGATCCTTTCCTACTAGCAGTGTTATCTCTCGTTCTGGGTAAGACGAGCACCTCTCGCAATCACGGAAATACGAGGCTTGAGCAAATGGTCGAATTCAGTTCGAATGTCAGGTGCGCGATACTGAGTATGGTACTTTTTGAGGCATTCGTGCTGCCAATCAGGGTGGCCGACGGGGATCGTCCCATCTGATTCCGATGAATTTACCGGACGAACTTTGTCAGCCTTCCTTTTATAGAGCGTATTGACCGGTGCTCGATAGTAAGACGGATATTCAGGACGACTCTTCCATAACGGTCGAGTGTCGGTCATGCTCTCGAGAGAGAACCCAGTACGATATTCCTGGGCGACCAGTTGGTCTTGAACGGCATGTAATTGCCGCGCGTAACTGGGAGATGGTTTTCCTGCAGGAAAACCCCTGACTGGCGGTGCCGCGAAGAACTCAATATGATTAACATGTTTTTGTATGGTTTTGTCGTTTTCGACTGTTTTTGGCTGTAGAATTTTTGTTTTCTGAGAACGCAGCTGACAGCAAGAGGAAGAAGAAAGAGATATAATCGATTCGGAAGGCGGTGATTCAGGGCAGAGGATTGAGACCTCAGTAAACAACACCGGAACAGGGGATGACAACACGCCTACATACCCTGCTCGTCGTTTAAAGAAGCGGAGTCCTGGGGCCACAGTTGATTCTCGAAGATAGATCCGCCATCACTGGGACGATAAGCAATGAATGAAGTGTATCGCTTACGGCCTTCATTAAAAATGGTGCACATGACTCGGCCATCTGTCATTTCCTCAGTCCGCAACCCTGCGTTGCTTGCCCACAATCTGCCAAGAAGCAACTCATTCGTGGTATTATCCGTCACCATAGTATGGGAATTGACCGTAACGCCGCTAATGGTGATAGGCAAGTGTTCAAGACATGCTGCAACACTGATTCCACGACCTCCGTCCACTGGGGTGAGCTGAAGATGAGGCTTGAGTCTCATCTCGGGCAACGCGCTCATACGCTTAACCACCTTTCGATGGATAATGTTGACCGCACTTCCTGTATCGATCAATGCCTTGATAATCTGGTCGCCGACAACCGCCGTTGCATACATAAACCCTCGCGTATATTCCTGGTGTGACTTTATAGGGGCCTCGATAACCTGCGCAGTTTGGAAATTGACTGAAGAACTAACAACCGGAGGAACTGAAGCATCATAATTAGGACCTGACGACATAAAATGGGAACGAGCTCTCTTCTGCAATTCCTGAACCTGGGCATCGACGCATTGAGATAGATCTGCAGCAGTAGCATTAATGGGCACTTGGTTGATGACCTCGGTAAGCTTCTGACTTATAGCATCTGTGCTGATATCTTTTCCGACACCAGCTCGAATACGAGGAGCAGCGCCAAGGAGTTCACCAATAGAGATCGTAACGCTAGTTTCCCAAACCTTCCGCAGTATCAGGTCGGTAATCATGGACCTTTTCTCAGCCACAGCAGGATCCTGCGGTCCTCTGACCCGACGCGGAATGTCATTCGGAGATGGGTTTCCTGCCGGAAAACCTTGCAGCGTTTGTTCCTGAGAAGTTCCCTGGGTGTCATCTGGTACAAGCATTGGTTCATCCTCATTAGCCTCCTCAATACGCGGTTGAAAACGGCCTTGCTGAGCATTCCTGGTACGCGCGTATTCAGACGCGCGCTGTTTTCCCTTTCTCACACGACCATCCTGGACCTGTCCTCCGATAGCATTAACTGGACCTGTCCAATATTCCTCTCCATATTCTTCCTCATCCTCTGACAGTTTTTCCCATGCAGGCTCAGATCCAAGAAGGGACGCAGCAACATATCGAACCGGAGCAGAATAATAGTCATGACCAGAGATACCATTGAGAGACGCGCCTAGGAACTGTACTGGAGCAGAGGGTATCGATTGGACATGATTGCTTGCAGATTGCTGTAGGTTTTGGTTTGCCCATGCAGCATATTGTTCAGGAATCAAGTCTTTCCTCAGAACCCCTATTCGCAGTCTCAGTTCCGGGCCCGGATTTACCTTGGTTCCTAGAGTCGTTCGACCAGTTATCTCATTCCGGTGGATCATTCCCTTTGCCTCGAAGTCCCGGATAGAATCACATTGATCGGGGGTGCTGTTGTGTGGACCTCCACATGTCCAGCATTCCCTAGGAGGACCGACCCCCATGCCATTCGACGGTATACCTCGGTTTTGTTCATAAAAAGGGTTATTCCGGCGATCAGACCTAGCATCCAGTTTCAGCGCAAGAGCTTCCAGTTTCCGGGCTACATCGTCAATTGCTCGCGAGGTAGAGTCATCAGCTTGTCGATCCTTGGGTAGAACAACCGGGATAGCAGGTACGAGAGGAACAGAAGAAACAGACTGCTGCTGCAGTGACGAAGATACATGGGGAGAAGGAGACGATTTCCTTGCAGGTTCTTTTATCTCGGTCTTTCGCTGAACTTCAGCCTCAACGCGCAGGGTTGCTTGCACCTGTTCATAGGCCGTCTGGTAGGAGATCTGATCACGGCGAGAACGAGACCTCTCTGCATGTCGCTTATGAATCCTTTTCTGCCATTTTATTGGAAGACCCTTGATAAGCGTGCTTGCTCGGTCAATATCACTCAGAAGACCCAGCAACGATATTTCCGTGGATACTTCATGAAACTCGCTCAGATAATGACGAATCTCATCATTTGTCGAACGTTCAATGGCAACAAGCTGGTCGAGATATTCCTTGGTATACCTCAACTGCTCATCATCCCAGTCATGGTAATTGTCCAAGAAGGCCTCACGAAACATGCGCCAATTCCTCGTTTTCCAGGCATAATGACCTTCAACCCAGACACGCGGCGGTCTTTCGCAGTATTGGGGAGGAGATCCATAATTTCCTTATGACGGACAATACCACTGCGACGACAGGTATCCTCTAGCTTTCTCAGGAAATCAGATGCATTGGTTTCATTGAAAGCAGGGGCCCCCTGGGATCCTGGGGCTGGCATCGCGCTGTATATCATTTGATATATTGGTCGAGGCGGCGGAACAGCATAGTAATGAGTTGGTGGTACAGGATCCCGCGAAGGTATTGTCGGCGGAGGGGGCGGAGGTGGTCTTGCAGTAGCTTCCTGAATTACAGGACTAGCAGGACGAGAGGGTTCACCAATAGTCGATCCAGAAGCTTCAGGAAGCGGTTCGCGAAACTGAGTGAATTGTTCCGCGGCGGTAATGGGTGCAGCCATATCGCCAGGAAGTTCACTGTCATTTCCACCGTCATTGATAGCCATGGTTTCGGGAGATCGTTTTCCTGCAGGAAAACGAGGTGCCGAGGAACAAGAAGAACAAACAGATGTAGTATCAGAGAATGAATCAGCCTGACAAAACGATTCCGAAGTAGAAACAGAAGTAGATGAAGATGTAGACAAAGAAGGGGATACAGAACGGGGAACAGGGGACTCTGTACTCAATGGTAATAATAATAACGACGCAGCCGTTGGCGATTGATTCCGTTCCGACAGTGATCCTTTTTCCAATAAATAACGTAGCGCAAATGACAACAGAATATTAGACAGCGCTGAATGCCAGACATAGCCAATGCCAGGACATCTCTGAATCGCTATCTTATGCAATTGACCCGGTGTCATTCGTAAAATGCCTTCCAGTGTTATGGCATCTCCCGTGTGCCAATCAGCGAGCGTTGATCGTAAAAACTGCACATATTCCGCAGATAGCGGCATTTCGATAGGCCTTTCGGCTGACATTTCGAACATTTGATAGGCTGATCCTACCTAGGATCAAGCCGCTCTTCACCCTTTGTGATATGTTCGAATACCGTCGTATTCTCTCAGGGTCAAACGCAGTACCCACTTCTCACAATGATATTGCTCTTGCTTTCAGCCACCCTTTTGTTAATCGAGCCTTCCCGGGGACGCCATATGTAAGATGGGAATGCTCGCTGGCAGTCTGTCAAGCAGACGGGTCGATCGCGAAGAGACAAAACCACCACACTCGCAGAGTGCAGGAACGAGATGAGCAAAGCGTGACGCTATAGAGAGATGATTGAACGAGCAATAACAGAACCTTTCATACGCAGTATATCGATACCGCAACCTCAGCAGCCTCAGTAGAACATTTTCATAAAGGGGAACATGCATGTTGTTTTTGATAGTATCGAACGAACGCTACTTAATCTCACGAAACAAAACGGTGGCCTTGTTGCTAAGGCCTCCAGCACATGACTACAGGATACCGATGTTGAGAGCGGGAATCCCCATTACACTAGTTACTCGCTGTTTTCAGCGTATAGTTTTGTTGTAGCATGTGTAAAGTAGTTGTATTATCTGAAGACTGTGTGGGTCACGACCCAGTATGATAGATACAGGTCTAACCCTAATGCATGAGTAGTGCGTATCAGGGTGACAGGACAATACCATAAATACAGGTGCTCCAACAAGTTTTGAGGAGTCTGACGAAAGCCAAGATTTGATATCCGTGCTCTGTCTTCGGCTCGAACCATGGTTCCCGGACCCTTGCTCATCCCAAGCTTTGTTCTTCAGTATTTTGACCGCGTAGATCTTAGCACACGGGGGTTGCTGAAAGACTGCAGAGGAAAGGATTTTTCCAGAATAGCATGAGGGATGCTGGGGCTTGAGAAATACTGTATTTGGTACCTAGAGAATATCCAAGAATATTCACTAATAAAAACCAGCTCTGATGGACTAATAGAAAAAGAATTTCGCTTATAGATAAATAAATAAACATATGAAACGTGTGAATCAAACCTACGGAGATTATTTCAGGCCATAAATGTCAGAAAGCAATAAAAAATCTGCGCTTGCTCTCATTCTGTCTCCGCAATGTTTACCTTAGCCAATTGACTCAATATTAATCATGCTTCAGCTGGGTATTAAAGACCTTCTTCCTTGGATCCTGGAAACCTATCATAGCGTAGAAAGCGTGAAGTACAGTATTTCCAGCAGAAGCAGCCTCGCGAGGCTAACGGCCAGCCGGTTGTCGCGACGGTCACAAATGCCCATCGATAGTCCGAAAGGTACAAGGTTGTTTTGATACCAGATGGAGCAGACGTGTTTGTTGACTTCGAACGTAGCCGCCGATGCGTTCCACGCTGCTTAGAGAACAACGCTTTGCGCCCGTGAATTCACCGCCTTGTCCTCCCTGCGGCACGCGCTCGGCGGAGTAGCTCCCCCGGATGCTAACTTCGCCTGACATACTCCCTTTCTCGCTTCTCCCAAGTTTCTCACCTTACTTCCCTCGCTCGCCTCAGGACCACGTATGCTGGATAGTTTATTTCCTATCCTACCGCACTGTCAAGAATGAGTGACCTCGATTAGTCCTATTTCCACTCTGTTAGAGGTTGGTTGGTTCGTCCCAAAGTTTTTGCTCATCTGAACTCGTGCTGAGGCTTTCTGTCAGCATCGCTCTATTTGGCACCATGACGGAAAGCAATATCAGCTTTTCTAGTAACACGCGACAGACTTCGATGGCTTCCGCCTCTGTCGTGGACACTGAGCAAGCCACATGTATCCAGACAACTACAATCTCTATCCCCTCGACCGCCGTTTGTACTGGGGCCGCCACTGCGGCTGTTAATGGCACGTCCACAGATAGGTTTCGTGAACTACCCTGCCAATGGGTTGGATGCAATGAAACCTTTTTCACTGCAGAGGCCCTATATGTAAGCTCGTTGACAGATCAGTGGTCCACCAATTTTCTGACAGTTGTTGCGACACAGGAGCACATCTGCGAGTGGCATATTGGCCGCAAGACTGCTAACAACCTCATTTTAGCATGCCAATGGCGCAGCTGCAATGCCATTGCTGCCAAGCGGTACCACATTACCTCCCATGTTCGAATCCATGTGCCCTTCAAGCCTCACAAATGCCATGTCTGTGATAACTCTTACAAGCGCCCCTGGGATTCAAAGGAACATGTCAAGACGGATGTGAATGACTCGGAAATTCCCTCTCCTGAACTGGACCGGAAGCATCCTGATAAGATATTCCCTAGCAATCGGAAACTTTAGTCTCCTGCTTCCGCCCTATCTCTGGAAGCTTTAGTCGTGTGGCATTGCTCCCCTGGGGTTGGAGACTGGGCAACAAGTATTGGGTCTTATGAAGCATTGTACTTCTCGCATGATTGGGTCACTATAAACTCTTTTTTCACTGGATTGTAAGGTTTAGGCTATGCTGTCTCAGCTGATTACTTCCAGAGTTCGGTTGTTGTTGTTGTTAACGGCCACTTTAAGAATAGAGCACCTCGGAACTACGAACCACACCAACTCCGTCAGCCAGCGAAACCGCCCCCAATGGCAATGCGTACTATGCCGTGAACCAGAATCCAGATGGGACTGACGCATATGATCATAATCCTGGCTGCAATGCGCTGAGCGACTTCTTTAGCTACTGAACGTGATTTTCCTTCGATCTCAGCTCTTAAGTCACGGTCGGGTAGCGCCTACTATATCGCTATTGCGGTGTAACCCGCTCTTGTTCGCTTAATCCTCCACACATTTCCGACTAAGCGAAACATTCTCTCCTTCGCCACCTCGTCGATTCCCAGCACCTGTGCAGCTTACCGCAATGTCCCAAAGCTCACAGAAACTACGGAATTTACTGCCTCCGCTGCTAAAGTGCACGCATGTAACGTCAACATTAAATTATGCCTTTTCTCAAAAGTCAACGACTCCTTGGGAGCGATTATCCATTCTTTGACAGTGCAGAGGCGTATTTGATTAAAATGCTTTGCTTTATATTGACTGTACTGGCTAAGATGTCCAGCGTACGGGTCCAACCATCCGGTCCTGGCCGTAACATAGGGAGTTGTGAATGGCAAAGCGGCCGGGTTAATCAACACTCCCGCTCGCTGACATGTTCCATCAAAGGAGGTGGTGTCCACCCCTGAGACAACTGTGCCACTGCGTCACTTGCAGCGTCTTGAAGGTCTTGACGATGTGGCAGGCTTCCTACAGGATCCCGTCCCCTCCTTCGCGGCTGCCGTCTAACGCGTATTCCTTAGTCCGTTTAACACCCGTGTTGATCTGTTCAGTAGGCTCATGTTAGAACGGCCATGGTTACCGGGCAAGCAGGTATTCTGATTTTTACTAATGACTATAGTGTGTAATCTCTTGCTCTTCGCTTGTGCGCCCTGTATACTCCTCTAGATACAGTACCGAAGAGGTTTTATATGATGCACAGAGGTGACAAGAGATCGAAACCGCGAGAGGCATGAGGATCTGTTCGTGTAAGAGCAGCGAACTCGGTCTAAGTCGATGAGGGTGGGTGAGAGGAAAAATGGCCTTCTTGGTGAATGCGATCATACGACGGTCTTAATGTTCAAAGGCCAGGTCAGTAAAGAATATATAAAGGCTTCTCCATTCAACCTCTTCGCCTATGTGAGTTGGTTAATTGCCTGTGGTGACACATGTTTGTGAGGTTATTGAGATCCCTCCTAAATTGAGACCCCCGAATACGTCATCAGGTTCAACCTTATGAGCCAACGTGGGTTGGAGAAAGCGATGAGTTAGTGCCGGTCCTGATCTTTCTTGTAGCTAGTAGTTGGAGGGTAAGAGACCTGGTGATTCCCGTAGGGGAACAAAACTAAAACGGTAGCACCATCATTCAATTGTTGCCTAGCCTCATTATCAAACTTTAGCCGTAATACGTTCAACTAGCTCTTGTCCGGATTCATTTCGAAACAAAACCTTAGTTCTTGCATCTGACGGCCACATCACTCGTCTGTAGTAGTCCCATTTCGCTACCAGGGAAGGACCATCCTCCATGTAATACAATCCATTCTCCACATCTGATTCCACCACTGTAATCGGAAACCAAGTATCGGTACTCACCCAACGATCTTCGCCTTCTATTATCCCCTCAAACACATCAGAAAATCCCAATCGCTGCAAATAGGTGGGCCGATCAAGATTCTGGTCGTCATGAAGCTTCCACATCGAGAGAAGCAATTCTATAACTTGAGGCGGCCGTAGATACTGTATGACACGCTGCACGAAGAAAGGCCAGTTGGAGGCCACGGTGCCATTGTCGTCGAGGTATTCCTGCATAGTTTCTTCCCTCTCGCCCTCCAGCCAGGCTGGCACGCTAGAGACCGGAAAACACTTGCGTCCAAGAAAGCCCCAGACGAAGTCGACCACTTCAACAAGGTCGATCTTTTCCTCTAGGGGCCGGTCTGGGTTATTTGTCCACTTCGTCCAGACAAGTCCAAAGGACTTGTCGCATTGCTTGGAAGTTGTATACACTTGCGCTCTTCCGAGCCATAATGCTTCGACTGCAGTCCAATGAGCCGTCAGGGCCTTGTAGAACCTTTGATAGGAACGCTGCTTCTGTTCAGCATCCACCTCGTCAAGTATCGCATGACTACTCCTTGATGGAGCCGGTAGGGTGTCTTCACCGGCCAGCGCTACCCAATCCTCTTCGTCTAGCGGCAGGCAGGGAAACCCGGAGACAGAATAAGATTCTTGCACGCAGGAGTCGCAAAACAAATCGAACAAAAGGCGCATCCCCTGCCATCGACAAAGTATTTCCCAAACCGCCGCAGCAGGTATTGTATTGCTTGATCTCACCATCTCTGGATGATTTGCATGGCCGGCAAGGAACCGTGCGCGAGATGCGGCCACTTGTTGGACGGGCGATGCTGAATAGAACTTCTCTGAGAACAGCCCGAATAGCTGAACTCGTTCATAGAGCTCGGTCTCATATGCATGTTGAGGGGCGTTCCTCTAATTCTATGGGATTTAGCACTCAAAAGTGTGAAGTCAAGGCAGTACCTACAATAACAGATCTGAATATCCTCAAGCGTGCCTCCACTGGGTCAAAAATAGAGTTGAGGTATCTACAGGTGCGCGCGAAATGTAAGACGTCGTCAATGTCGCTTAAAGATTGGTATATCCCGATGAGAATCTCGACGGGTAGATGAAATATGTGATTCATCCGGGCATGTGGGGGCGGTTGGGCGCAACGAATTTCGGTCTGGTTAGCTTTTTGCGTGACTCGCCTCAGTGAGGTGAGCTCACACTGGGCAACAGTTCTCGCCAGTATGTTGGGATGGATTTATATTGTACCTCCGAGTTGTGGTGTCCTGTGTTAATTCCCCTCAGGGAGACCAAAATGAATCCGTGGCGGTTGTGCGGTTCGGCCGGTGCGGTTGGTGTGGGGCACGGTCGCACAACCACCCCAAAATTAGGGGATAATAAGTTATGAAAACCATCCGATATTTTTCTACCAGACTCACTCTCGGGCCCTGAAGCTGGCCTTGCTTTATCAGTGGAAGTAATCTTGCTCTAGAAAGAAGGACACCCAGAGCTTGCGTACGGACTGAGATCCCATCGTGCGAGATGGCACTAATTGGCTCATATTCCCTTATAGCAGTACCCACCTTCCCTTGTCCACTTAGTTAGTTCCTAGGAGATCGGTGTGGATATTGTAATACGCAAAGATGAGGCTGATGGCAGAGACAGTTGTTCTACGAAAACGTGATCGATCTCGTAACTCACTCACTATTCAAGGAACTCTTTGGCGAGAAGTGGGCTGTGCGAATCAATCCCAAGCTACATCATACAGTAGCTTGTATCTGCTGAATATAGAACATTCTGCGTTTGGGCTAGTAGGTAGCCCGGAGTGAATTATCGCTTGGTGGTTTTTATTATTGGTGGGGCAATTTTCGAGTGAAATAATGCGCTCATCATCGGTTAGTGAAGGTTGCCGCCCCACCCATCGCAATAACGTACGGACACATGGTGGTGAATGTTAATACGCGGCATCGGTGCGTCTCCGCGCCATTTTCGCGACTATTTAAACGAGACCAACAGTGAGAGAAGCAATTCATATGCTGGATCTTCAGGGAAAAAACACAATGCCTCCGAATGATGCGTTAAATCAATGATGAAATACTCTTTCGTATGGACTGACATCTAAGACTTGCACTTGTAATTTAACTGACCTCTGATACTATGCTAGATGTCTTGTCCATGCTGAAATCTTCAAACAGCAAGTGAATGTAGCTGCCCCGTCATTTGACTTCATGCTGACATGGAATATGCTTAAGATCACTCCTCCGCCGCTACTCTTCAAGGAAACCATTTGACGGAGCTTGGATGACCTCAAAAATCATCACAGCTGCGAGCACGGTGAGTTATGAGTTGCCTTCATAAGCTCACTACTAATATTAATGATAGACCAAATTCATCCCTTACGCAGTCGCTTCGGTCTTGCCAGAATGCAGCGAACAGCAATAGCCAACAATGTAAGGTTTTATCAGCGGCAATTTGGAGAGTATTCATCCTGTGCTGGCGACTCCCTATATTGGAGGGCAAACTCTCGATCACGAGCCGCTCGATCTCCTTTAAGTCATACTGGTGCGTTGCCTCTGCCTCTTCCCACGACCGGGGCTGCATATTGGATCTCAGTGCAGATGTTATTTCTTGAGGTTTGATCTTGTCGTGCTCTCTGTCTATCGGAAACTATCTGATGCATCTTTCTAGTGAAAGGGCAAATTTCAAGATGGCACTCGCCACACCGAGCCATACTTCCCCATTCTCCCCAAAACTTAGGTTGCACGTCGGACCGGACCAATAAATCCCAGTACGTTTCTATTTCACTGTTCCAAGACACCTGCTTGAAACGTCCATTTCGCTCACGTTGAAGGAAGAAATCTAGGAAGGTCCCCATGCTCAGACGGCTCTGCACCTCTTGTCCCATATCCTATTCGAAGCCTCGACGACGGCATGATCCGGTCCCATGCTAAACTGAGGGAGCCATCGCAGCATCCGATGACAACAAAGAGAAAGCTAACATCGACGACCACTGAGAGAGGCCACGTTTTTTATAAAAGCAGAATCAGTCAATGATGCATCAAATTACCTATCACGAGCAGAGGACCAGCGCTGTCAAGTTGCTCAGCTACAACCAGGCTTGACAGCACTTGATCTACCCAGATCTCTCGCCGTGAGAGCAGTCTTTCATTCCCTACGCCAAATACCATGATCTCTCCTCCAGTGTAACTTTCTTCTAACACGCTTGAAAATTTGCCTGGCGCAGAAACGGCAAATACGAAACGGCTATGCATCGGAAGATATGGCCCACATACATTCCCGGCGGTACGGAGTGATCCCGGGCCCTCTGCACGTGTGATTGGGCTGAGCCCGCTACCTCGTCTCTGGTTTGTCTATGCTGATGCCAGACTACATTGACGACAAGTCTGTACCAACCCCAGTCATCAGAAATCATGCTGACATAGGCAGTGAAACATAACCCTAGTTCGGCTGTTCCCAAGTTTCCGATCATGAGAGTGCATTGTGGCTGGTATAAGGGAATCTCATTTAGGCCATGAGCACGGTGGGTTGCGAACACCCATCTTGCGCCAGCTGCTGATAATGGGTGCTAGATCGAGTGTATCCAACGGCAAATTGCCTTGGCCGTGTCCGAACGTAGACGGCGATCAAAGCTGCCACCATGACCTGTTTAGCGAACGAAGGTGGCGAGTACGATCCCATCACTGAGAATTTTTGGTAACCAACTGACCATATTGCCAAATCGCTATAATGTAGTTGGCTATTTTCTCCCGGTGCTATGCTCAAGGCAGCCGCAACCCGACCGAATGCCTCCTCGATATCACCACCAAGTGGCACGGACTCGCCGGCAGAGGCAGCCTCGCAAGTACGGCCAGTCGATTGCGCGACGGTCACAATGGCCCAATTGTTATTCGAAAGATGCCAGGTCGGTCCGTGATACCTGGTGGAGAAGACGTGCTTGTCGACTTCAAACGTAGCCGCTGATGTTACTCTCGGAGTGGGCGTGGCACATGTTTTCTACGCGACGCGCTGCGACGCGTCAGTGCACCCACTGCCTTGTGCCCTTCGGAGCATGCGTCTGGTGCGGCAGGCCCGCGATAACCATCAATTTCAATACCGCCGGTTGCTGACTTCGGCCAACATGTCCAATCGACTCCGCAAAAGTGGATTCACCATTCTCATTTGAGATGAGCAAATAAAGATTAAGCCGCTGAGCGAATATTCGGGAAATGACTGGGAAAAAACCTGGAGGTGAGTCACGGTTGAGAATTGGTTATGATGGTGAAGGGACCGAACATGTGAATCGTTGCAGTGCGGGTGACTCCCGGGCGGTGAAGTGCCGTCATCGTGAGGATCTTCGTTCCCTCGCGAATGCAAAAGTTGATAAAAAGTGCGAAATGATGATTTCTTCAGATGGAATTCGATATTGTAGTACATACGCCGATCGGTTTTCTATACGAATTCCTCTCAGCTCAAACTTCATCTCGTAGCCTTTAGCGGTATTCTATTTCTGATGCAGGATCGCTATGTACGTGCAGCTTAATAGCTCATAAATATATATCGCTAGATCAGCGATATTATGTACATTATCGGCGGTGAAATCGGGAACACACCACCAGACTAACAGGGATAGAAAGTTTGACTCTTCCGAGCATATTTCAGATATCATTTTGTGTCGGCCTGATCGAATGAGAGGAACTTGTGGAGCTCGTAACGCTGATCCGGCTGGATGTATGCGCGGAAGAACGGCGGGGACAGTATGATTACTTGGAAAATCGCGCGTATATTTAAGCAAAATTCGCGCGCCAGCACGTCTCATTTTGTGGTCTAATGGAATTTGCAACATTGGCTTTCTAATAACGGCCCAGAGTCGATTCCTGCGGGATACATTCAAATGACCCTTCATCAGAAAGACTGATTAAAACCTGCTTGGTTTTCCGGGTGATCTCGTGTTTTCTACGGATGATTTTTACCTCTTGGCTACTTCGTGATGACAATGAAATCACATTTCTTGAGCATGCCGGATCAAGGCAGTATCCGGCGGTATTCGGGCATGTGCCAGAGGCGACCAGGCCGTGCGTCGCAGCGTCTCGGGCCGAGAGCACGTGATATTTGACATTTACGAAAACATGACGGCTATTTGTGAGCCAATAACTACGTCTTATCCACAAGTTATGATAAACCGACCTGGCATCTTTCGAGTAATGATTGAGCAAATTACGTCGCGGCAATCGACTGGCCGTAGTTTAAGGGGCTGCTTCTACTGATGAGTTCGTGGCGTTCGGTAATGATACCGAGGAGGGAGCATTCGATCGGTTTTCGGCCACATATGGGAAGAAATAGCCATCTTCATATCAGCGACTGGGCAAAATGGTCGGTTAGTCATCTAAATCTCTTTCGCTGATGAGAACGTACTGACCAGCTTTGAATCGCCGTCTGCACTGGGACACAGCCAAAGCAATTTACTGTAAGATACATTTGATCTAGCACCCGTTCTCAGCAGCTGGCGCAAGGTGGTGGCTCGCAACTCACCGTGCTCGTGGCCTAAATGAAATCCCCTGATACTAGCCGCGAATAGTACCCCGGCCGGGCTCGTGGGAACCGTCGAATCAGGGGCTGTGTTTCATTGTCTCTCCGTGTAAGTTTGTTCTCTGATGACTGAGGGTGGTAGAGACTTGCCGTCAATGTAGTCTGGCGTTGGCATAGGTCTGGCATCGACGCAGGCAAACCAGAGACGAGGCAGCGGGCTCGGCCGGATCACATTCAAATTCTTCACTTCATCTTTTTTCAGGGTTTCGCATGAGATGGAGTCCCGAGTCGCATGTATGTGAGTGACTTTGCATAGTGACGTATGTATCTGCCCCATTTGACAGGTTTTTCAGATAAATTTTTGTCTTGTCTCTCTTTCTCCTTCTCTGATATTTACCTGGGGGCTTCTGTACACTCTCGAAGTAAAGATCTACTTCTCTCCATGTAGCTGAAATATATTGGACGACCCACCAAATTGTCTAAATAATCTATGACAACAGATTTGATAGGCTTATGTGATAAATTGGGCAACCTTGATAGAATTTCTAGAAAAAGAGTTCTCGAAGCTCTAAGCTCACGACAGAATCAACATCATACTGTTTTCCAGGTAAA